AATGGCCCCGGATGAAATCCACTCAAATTGACCCTGGATGGACTTAATCGTCGTTGAAGAATAGCTTCAGCCCGAATCCACCATCTTTATCCTTCAAAATCCAAGGAAAATGGCCTTTCGAGAAAAATGCTCAAATAATAATGAAAATGTCATCCCAAAATATATTGGCCAATTCGGTGCTTAATTGACTTAATCATCGGCGCAGAATAGGATCAGTAGACTTTATTATCGATGGAGAATAGCCTCGAGCCGAATCCGTGATTTGTAGCCTCCAAAATCGATAGAAAATGGCATTTCGGAAAAATCGCCCGAAATCTGTGATTGTACACCTTTGTAGTCTGCCAAAAATGGACCCGGAAGAAATCTGCCCAAATTGACCCTAGATGGACTTAATTGCCGTTGAAAATAGCCTCAGGCCGAATCCACCATCTTTATCCTTCAAAATCCAAGGAAAATGGCCTTTCGAGAAAAAATGCTCAAATAATTACGAAAATGTCATCCCAAAATATATTGGCCCAATTCGGTGCTTAATTGACTTAATCATCGGCGCAGAATAGGATCAATAGACTTTATTATCGATGGAGAATAGCCTCCAACCGCATCCGAGATCTGTAGCCTCCAAAATCGAAAGAAAATGGCATTTCGGAAAAATCACCCAAAATTTGTGATGGTACTCCTTTGGAGTCTGCCAAAAATGGACCCGGAAGAAATCCACCCAAATTGGCCCTGGATGGACTTAATAGTCGTTGAAGAATAGCCTCAGGCCGAATCCACCATCTTTATCCTTCAAAATCCAAGGAAAATGGTCTTTCGGAAAAAAAATGCTCAAATAATTACGAAAATGCCATCCGAAAATATATTGGCCCAATTCGGCGCTTAATTGACTTAATCATCGGCGCAGAATAGGATCAATACACTTTATTATCGATGGAGAATAGTCTCGAGCCGAATCTGTGATCTGTAGCCTCCAAAATCGAAAGAAAATGGCATTCCAAAGGGGTATCATCACAGATTTCCGGCGATTTTTCCGAAATGCCATTTTCTTTCGATTTTGGAGGCTACAGATCACGGAATCTGGCCGAGGCTATTCTCCACCGATAATGAAGTCTATTGATCCTATTCTGCACGGATGATAAGTACATTAAGCACCGATTTGGTCCAATTTATTTTCGGATGGCATTTTCATAATTTACGAGGCGACGAAAGGCCATTTTCTTTGGATTTTAAAGGCTACAGGTCACGGATTCGGCCTGAGGCTATTCTTCAACGATGATTAAGTCCGTTAAGCACCGATTAAGGCGGATTTATTCGGGGTCAATTTTTGGCAGATTCCAAAGGTTTACCATCATAGATTTCGGACAATTTTCCGAATTGCCATTTTCTTTCAATTCTGGAGGCTACAGATCACGAAATCAGGTCGAGGCTATTCTCCACCGATAATGAAGTTTATTGATCCTATTATCTGCGGATGATAAGTTCATTAAGCACCTATTTGGGCCAATTTATTTTGGGGGGCATTTTCGTAATTTACGGGGCGACGAAAGGCAATTTTCTTTGTATTGTGAAGGCTACAGGTCACGTATTCGGCCTGAGGCTATTCTTCAACGATGATTAAGTCCATTAAGCACCAATTAGGGTAGATTTATTCCGACACAATTTTTGGCAGATTCGAAATGATTCCATCACAGATTTTGGGCGATTTTTCCAAAATGCCATTTTCTTTTGATTCCGGTGACTACAGATCACGGAATCAGGCCGAGGCTATTCTCCACCGATAATGAAGTCTATTGATCCTATTCTCCACGAATGATAAGTCTATTAAGCACCGATTTGGGTCAATTTATTTTTGGATGGCATTTTCGTAATTTACGGGGCGACGAAAGGCCATTTTCTTTGGATTTTGAAGGCTACAGGTCACGGATTCGGCCTGAGGATATTCTCCAACGATGGTTAAGTCCATTAAGCACCGATTTGGGAGAATTTATTCCGTGTCAATTTTTGGCAGATTCCAAAAGGGGTAAAATCATAGATTTCGGGCGATTTTTTCGAAATGCCATTTTCTTTCGATTCTGGAGGTTACAGATCACGGAATCAGGCCGAGACTATTCTCCACCGATTAAGAAGTCTATTGATCCTATTCTCTACGGATGATAAGTCCATTAAGCACTGATTTGTGCCAATTTATTTTCGGATGGCATTTTCGTAATTTACGAGGCGACGAAACGCCATTTTATTTGGATTTTGAAGGCTGCCGGTTACGGATTCGGCTTGAGGCTATTTTTCAACGATGATTAAGTCCATTAAGCACCGATTTGGGAAGATTTATTTCGGTTCAATTTTTGGTAGATTCCAAAGGGGTACCATCACAGATTTCTGTCGATTTTTCCGAAATGCCATTTTCTTTCGATTCTGGAGGCTACAGATCACGGAATCAGGCCGAGGCTATTCTCCATCGATAATGAAGTCTATTGATCCTATTCTCCACGGATGATAAGTCCATTAAGCACCTATTTGGGCCAATTTATTTTCGTATGGCATTTTCGTATTTTACGGGAAGACGAAAGGCCATTTTCTTTTGATTTTGAAGGCTACTGGTCACGGATTCGGCCTGAGGCTATTCTTCAACAATGATTAATTCCATTAAGCACTGATTTTGACGGATTTATTCAGGGTCAATTTTTGGCAGATTCCAAAGGGGTACTATCACAGATTTCGGGTGATTTTTCTGAAATGCCATTTTCTTTCTATTCTGGAGGATACAGATCACGGAATCAAGCCGAGGCTATTCTCCACTGATAATGAAGTCTATTGATCCTATTCTGCACAGATGATAAGTCCATTAAGCCTCGATTTCGGCCTGAGGCTATTCTTCAACGATGATAAAGTCCATTAAGCACCGATTTGGGCGGATTGATTGCGGGTCAATTTTTAGCAGATTCCGAAAGGGTACTATCATAGATTTCTGGCAATTTTTCCGAAATGGCATTTTCTTTCTATTCTGGAGGATACAGATCACTGAATCAGGCTGAGGCTATTCTCCACGGATAATGAAGTCTATTGATCCTATTCTCCACGAATGATAAGTCCATTAAGCACCTATTTGGGCAAATTTATTTTCAGATGGCATTTTCGTATTTTACGGGGCGACGAAAGGCCATTTTCTTTGGATTTTGAAGGCTGTAGGTCACGGATTCGGCCTGAGACTATTCTTCTACGATGATTAAGTACGTTAAGCACCGATTTGAGCGGACTTATTCCGGGTCAATTTTTAGCAGATTCCAAAGGGGTACCATCACAGATTTCTGGCGATTTTTCCGAAATACCATTTTTTCGATTTTGGAGGCTACAAATCACGGAATCAGGACGAGGCTTTTCTCCACCGATAATGAAGTCTATTGATCCTATTATCCACGGATGATAAGTCCATTAAGCACCTATTTGGGCCAATTTATTTTCGGATGGCATTTTTCGTATTTTACGGGGCGGCGAAAGGTCATTTTCTTTGGATTTTGAAGGCTACAGGTCACGGATTCGGCCTGAGGCTATTCTTCAACGATGATTAAGTCCATTAAGCACCGATTTGGGCGGATTTATTCCGGGTCAATTTTTGGCAGATTCCAAATGGGTACCATCACAGATTTCTGTCGATTTTTCCGAAATGTCATTTTCTTTCGATTCTGGAGGCTACAGATCACGTAATCGGGCCGAGGCTATTCTCCACCGATAGTTAAGTTTATTGATCCTATTCTCCGCGGATGATAAGTCCATTAAGCATCGATTTGGGCCAATTAATTTTCGGATGGCATTTTATTAATTTACGGGGCGACGAAAGGCCATTTTCTTTGGGTTTTGAAGGCTACAGGTCACGGATTCGGCCAGAGGCTATTCTTCAACGATGATTAAGTCTATTAAGCACCAATTTGGGTATATTTATTCCGGGCCCATTTTTGGCAGATTCCAAAGGGTACCATCACAGATTTCAGGTGATTTTTCCGAAATGCAATTTGCTTTCGATTTTGAAGGCTAGAACTCGCGGATTCGGTCGAGGGTGTTCTCCACGGATATTGAAGTCTATTAATCCTATTCTCCACCTATGCTTAAGCCCGTTAGGCACCGATTTGGACGGATTAATTTTCGGACGATATTTTCGTAATTTTTTGGGCGATTTTTTTCAAAAGCCCATTTTCCTTGGAATTTTGAAAACTAGAGATCACGGATTCGGCCTGAGACTATTCATCACCGATGATTAAGTCCACCAAGCACCGATTTGGGCGAATTTCTTCCGCCCATTTTTGGCAGATTCCAAAGGGGTAACAATAACATCACAGATTTCGGGTGATTTTCCCGAAAGGCCAATTTCTTCCGATTTTGAAGGCTAGAGACCCCGGATTTGGCCCGTGGCGGTTCTCCACTGATGATGAAGTTTATTGATCCTAGTCTCCACCGATGCTTAACCCCGTTAGGCACTGATTTGGGCGGATTAATTTTCGAATGGCATTTTCTTAATTTTTTGCGCGATTCATTTTGAAAAGTCATTTTCCTTGGATTTTGAAGGCTACATATCCCGGATTCGACCTGAGGCTATTCTTCACCGATGATTAAGTTCATCAAGCACCGATGTGTGCGAATTTCTTCCGGACCCATTTTTGGCAGATTCCAAAGGGGTACCATCACAGATTTCGTGTGATTTTTCTGAAATCATTTTCTTCAAATTTTGAAGGCTAGAGACAACGGATTCTGCCCGAGACTGTTGGGCCGATGCTTAAGCCCGTTAGGCACCGGTTTGGGCGGATTAATTTTTGTAACATCCCATTCCGGCAAAACCCATATTTCGATCGCTAGAAAGTTCGCGATTTAAAATCGAGCATTTCGACACTATTTCGACAAAAATCGGATTATCGATCGATCGGATAAGTATACGTATTAATTATATATATATATATATATTAAGCGGCCGGGCCGCATATATATTAATTCCCTGTCCATTAATTCTCACCATCATCATCGTTTATTTCTATTTGTCCACCGAGAGAACAAAACCAGAGCGAGCGGAGAGAGTACAGGGGAACGTCGGGGAAAAACTCCAAGGCTCGATTCTTGAGCTACAGTGATCCAAAAATCCCGTAAGTAATACCTAATTCATCCATACATCGTGATTTATCGATTTAGAGCTTTAAAACGAGTTTTTGGATCAGGAATTTCTTGAATTCTCGATAAGCTAAATTAGGGTTTCGGAGTATCCAGAAGCCGGATTGAGCCCAAATTTCATATACGAGCTTCCTGCAGTGAGGTAATCAATCATCTAGTTCTAATCCCTGAATTTCGGCTATTATTTAGGCTGGGGTCCAAACCGTTGAATTTAGCTCCGGCCAGGGTTTGATGTGTTTTTATCAAGAATTTGACCCGGAGCCTAGAACTAATATTGACGGGGATACTGCAGGGGATATTAGGACAGTCTCGAATTTTAATTCGGGGTTCGTTCGTGAAATTGACGTTTTAGTACGGGAAGGTTAAACCGGTGTTCGAACGACCAGAACTGGTGAGGGATTAGCACGGCATACCGGGTTTGTCGTATCACGATAATTATATTGATGCTTAGAATTGACCTAGGTGAACTAGAATGGCATGATTAGGGGTGTATGGACTTTTGTGCTATATGATGAACCCTGGACTACTGTATGATATTATTGACTTGCCCTAATCGATATGAACCTTGTTTATGTGGATGATTGCCTACATGTTGCCATTTGTGGCTTAACTGTTGATATGACTTTATGGTTGTTCGATAAGGGTTTTTGACATGATGTGATATTGTGGTTGTTTTTGGATTCACAAGTGGGGAAAATAAACTTCCCAGGGTGATATTATGATGTTTAAGGAGGATGACTTGCACGAGGGTTTATCCCGAGGAAATGCAATTATACGACTCCTGATTTACCTATGTTGAGTCAATTGTGGCCAGGTCAAGTACATGTGCAAGTAATGAATTATGATTAAGCAAGATGAGATATGAATCATGTATAAGGATACCAATAATGAGTGTGGTGGTCTCACGGTCAACTACATAGTAATTAGGGCTCCCTATGCTATTACTCTATTATGATATGTATGATAGTCACACCTCTCATTTGGTGGTGACTGAAGAATTCTTATAAGATATGACCACACCCAGAGCGGTGTCGGGGTATGACTACACCCATAGTGGTGTGGGGTATGTATGACCACATCCGACGGGATGTTGGGGTATGTATGACTACATCCGACGGGATGTGGGGTATGTTTCCCGGGAGAGTTATTAGCATGGGAGTAGCCTGGCGCCTATAAGTAAAACATGATAAGATGCATATGCATAAGTCAAGGTGGTTGAGTCTTTTGCCTATTGGGATGTCGGAGAGCTGAGATATGATCCCAGTGCTTTGGCTTGTTTGCTAGATGTATGGTAGGGGTATGCTCTGTTATGAACTCACGATGCTATGATTATCTCACTCAGCTATGAGCTGACCCTCTTTTATCCTTCTTCTCTGCTTATGCTATGTGTAAGCAGATCATCAGCAGCAGCAGTAGATAAGTGTTAGGTGGGAGAGGAGCTAGAGTTGAAGCCAGGATGAGGTATGGTCTTCAACTATTCTGTGCTTGGACTACTACTCGGGATTTTGGCCAGTGATCCACACCTTTTTGTAAAAATGTTTTGAGAACGTTTTTCATGTGCATACTAGCTTCTGATGTAGTGTGAGATATCCACAGGTGTGGAAAGTTGATGATATGTGTATATGTTGTGTAACTGTGTAAGTTGTGACGACTATGACATGTATTAGTAAGGTATGCAGTTGCGGAGTATGAAACTGTGACTATGGCTATGGAAAGCCAATGCATATGGTTGTGAGTATATATGTTTGTGATGAATTATTTTGCAGGATAAGTTGCAAGAACTATTAGCCCATTACGCGAGTAATTCATGTCGAAATTTTATTTAGGTAAATTTTGATAATTAATGTAACACCCGAGGTTAATTCCGCTGCAATTGTATGAACAATATGATTAGGCAAAACGTATAGGGTAGGGTGTTACAGTTTGGTATCAGAGCCCGGTTCCCTCTTTTTGCTGTTATGGCGTACTATACCCTATGGGAGGTTAAACACTCCTAAGGAGGGGAGTACCCCATAATGACTTAAACTGGGAATTGAGTTTGACATGATTATGTGTATTGGTATGTTGGATGAAATTATCTGCATCATGGTTTTCAAAATTGAGTTTTGAACTTCTATGTTTTCAAATAATTATTTTGGAAAATTTTTGTTTTAACCAAGTGAGAAATTTGGTGAGGAATGAATTTTGTGTGGATCAATCTAAGGCCAATATTTCCTTGTAGCTCGCACGGAAGTTGTCATAATGTTCCTACTGATCAGTCGAGAGGAGTGGGGGCGGTTGATGCAAGACCGCCAGTATTAGATTATGCAAAGATGAAGAGTTTGGGTGGTAGGGACTTTAAGGGAGATGTGAGCCCAGATGCTGTAGTAGAGTGGTTGAGAGAGATGGAAGATGTGTTTGAGTATCTTTATGCAACCCCAGAGGAAAAAGTGCAATATGTTGTTTTTCTCCTAAAGGGGTATGCGAGGAGCTGGTGGTCCTCAGTCTCTAGAGTTAATGGTGAACGAGTTCAGTTCACCTGGGAGGAGTTCCTGAAGGCCTTTAAGACAGAGTTTCTTCCCGAAGCTTTTATCAGGGCAAAGAACAATGAATTTGCCAACCTTAAGCAGGAGAATATGACAGTTACTGAGTACACCATCAAGTTTGTTCGACTACTTTACTTTGAGGATGGGTTGGCGGATACTGAGCATAAGAAGAAGATGAGATACTTGCATGGTCTGCGCATAGGATTGAAAGAAAAGATCCACAGGGTTGATGAAGAGAGCATGGCCACAATCAAGGAGGCAGCACTTAAGTATGAAGCCTATGAAGTTGAGAGCCGAGAGGAACACAAGGCCAAAGAAGAGGAGAAGAAGAGGAAGTTTGGAGTAAATTATGCTGGACCTCGTTACCCACCCAGGAGAGGTCCTAGCAGTTTTGGGAGAACACCGAGTCAATCTATGTCAGGAACATCATACAGGGCACCAATTTCCTCAGCCACACAATTTCCATTTTGTCAAGTTTGTCAGAAGAGGCATCCTGGAGAGTGTAGGAGATTTTCTGGTGTATGTTTTCACTGTGGCCAACCTGGGCACATCATGAGGGATTGCCCGCATGCGAGAGAAGTAAGAGCTACACAGTCCGAGCCTTCAGTGCAAATGAATAAAGCCCCATTCAGGGGTGGTTACCAGGGAGGCCGTAGTGGATTTCAGAGTGGTCGTGGTGGTTCACAGGGTGGTAGAAGTGGTGGTCGAAATCAACCATCAGGAAGTGGTACGCAGGGTACCAGAGCACAGGGAGCACCGAGGGTTTATGCAATGACTCGAGGTGAGGCAGAAGTGGCACCAGAAGTTGTGACTGGTATGCTTTCTATCCTTGGCAAGCAATTATATGCTTTGATCGATACTGGTTCCTCTCACTCATTCATGTCATATACGTTTGCACATATGCTACGCTTAGTTCCAGATAAGCTAGGTTATACCTTATGTGTTAAAACGCCTGTGGGAGATACCTTGAAGGTAGATTCAGTTATTAGAAGTTCCTTCATTTGTGTGGAAGGAGCTTTCCTAGCAGCAGATTTAATTCTGCTACCTTTTGATGAATTTGATGTCATCCATGGAATGGACTTTCTGGCAACACATGGAGCTGTTGTGGATTGTCAAAAGAAAGAAGTGTTATTCAACACACCAGATAAAGGTCCTGTTGTATTCCGAGGCATTAAGAAAAAGGAGACTCATGGTTTTCTTTCTGCCTTGGAAGCTTTTCGGTTAGTGAAGGAAGGTTGTGAAGCCTTTCTTGCTCAAGTTACTGTAGTAAATGATAAGAAGGTTGAGGATGTAGAGGTGGTAAGGGAATTTCCTGATGTATTCCCTGAAGAACTTCCCGGCCTTCCACCAGAAAGGGAAGTAGAGTTTGATATTGAATTGGTACCTGGCACAACACCAATTTCAATGGCACCATATAGAATGGCACCAATTGAGCTGAAGGAGCTTAAAGAACAATTGCAAGAATTGTTAGACAAGGGGTTTATTCGACCTAGCATCTCACCTTGGGGTGCACCGGTTTTGTTTGTCAAGAAGAAAGATGGCTCCATGAGAATGTGCATTGACTACCGGAGGTTGAATAAGGCGACAGTGAAGAATCGTTATCCCCTTCCAAGAATAGATGATTTGTTTGATCAATTGCAGGGTGCATCAGTCTTTTCTAAGATTGATTTGAGGTCTGGATACCATCAATTGAAAGTGGCAGATGGGGCAACCTCAAAGACAGCTTTTAGAACAAGATATGGGCATTATGAGTTCCTGGTAATGCCTTTTGGACTCACTAATGCACCAGCGGTATTTATGGCTCTTATGAACAGAGTTTTCCATGAATATCTTGATAAGTTTGTGATTGTGTTCATAGATGATATTCTCATCTATTCTAAAAGCGAGGAGGAGCACAAAACTCACCTTAGAATTGTGTTGCAAATTCTAAGGGAGAAACAGTTATATGCAAAATTCTCAAAATGTGAGTTTTGGCTGAAGGAGGTAATATTTCTGGGACATGTAATTTCTGGAAGAGGTGTCGAGGTGGATCCGAAAAAGGTGGAAGCAGTGGTGAGTTGGACTCCACCAAAAGATGTGTCGGAGTTGAGAAGTTTTCTTGGCATGGCTGGTTATTATCGGCAGTTTGTCGAAGGATTTTCTAAAATTGCTGCACCATTGACTAAACTGTTGAGGAAGAATACTAAGTATGTTTGGGATGAATCATGTCAAAAGAGTTTTGATGAACTGAAAAAGAGATTGACCACAGCACCAGTACTTGCACTACCTTCAAGTCAGGGAGAGTTTGTGGTGTATAGTGATGCCTCGTATCAAGGATTGGGCTGTGTGTTAATGCAAGATGGAAGAGTTATCGCATATGCCTCTAGGCAATTGCATCCTCATGAAGTAAATTATCCCACTCATGACTTAGAATTGGCAGCGGTGGTATTTGCTCTCAAGATTTGGCGACATTATTTGTATGGTGAGACTTTTAAAATTCTAACTGATCACAAAAGCTTGAAGTATATTATGGATCAGAAGGATTTAAATAGTCGCCAGAGGAGATGGATAGAGTTGTTGAAAGATTATGATTGTACCATTGATTACCATCCAGGTAAAGCTAATGTAGTTGCTGATGCTCTGAGCAGAAAGGGGAAGAAGAATATAAATGATCTGGTTGATTTGAGGGCAATGAATGTGGATTTGGAAGTGGATGGTGTGACAGGGTTACTAGCTCGGTTGAACATTCGACCTTTGTTGCACGACAAAATTCGTGAGAAGCAGAAGGAGGACCCAGAGTTGGTAAAAATCATTCAAGACATTGAGGAAGGAAAAGAAAGCCCATTTGAAATGGTAGATGGCATGTTGAAGATTAATGGAAGAGCATGTGTTCCTAATGTTGATAACTTGAGGAAAGAGATCCTAGATGAAGCTCATTCTTCTGCTTATGCTATGCACCCAGGAGCAACTAAAATGTATCACACGATCAAACCATATTTTTGGTGGCGTGGGATGAAAAAGGAAGCGGCTGAACATGTTTTCACATGTCTAGTATGTCAAAAAGTTAAGGCAGAACATCAAGCTCCTGTGGGAAAACTGCAACCACTTCCAATTCCAGAATGGAAGTGGGAAAGAATCACAATGGATTTTGTATATGGTCTCCCATCATCAAGGGGAAAAGATGCAGTATGGGTTATTGTGGACCGACTGACCAAATCGGCTCACTTTTTACCCATTAGGTGGAAACCATCACTGGAGACTTTGTCTCAACTATATATTAAGGAGATCATCAGATTGCATGGTGTGCCAATTTCTATTGTCTCTGATCGAGACCCGAGCTTCACATCTCGGTTTTGGCAAAGTTTACATGATGCCTTGGGAACTAAACTACATTTTACTTCAGCTTATCATCCTCAAACAGATGGGCAGAGTGAACGAACCATCCTTACCTTAGAAGAGTTACTTCGATCATGTGTAATGCAATGGGAGGAATCATGGATTGACCATTTGCCCTTAATTGAGTTTGCTTACAACAACCAGTACCATAGTAGTTTGGGTGTTCCACCATATGAAGCACTTTATGGGAGGAAGTGTAGAACACCATTATGTTGGGATGTAGAAGGAGCAAGGCAAATCTCAGGGCCAGAGATAGTTCAGATCACAGTTGATAAGGTCAAGGAAATCAGGGAGCGTTTGAGGGTGGCTCAAGACGACAGAAAGTTTATGTTGACACGAATAGGCGTGAAGTTAATTTCGAAGTGGGTGAGAAAGTATTTCTCAAAGTGTCACCATGGAAAGGGGTGATGAGATTTGGTAAGAAAGGAAAGCTGGCACCTCGATATATTGGGCCATATGAAATCACAGAGAAGATTGGACCCGTAGCATATAAACTAGCATTGCCTCCAGAGCTATCCCAAATCCACAATGTATTTCACGTTAGTATGCTGAAGAGGTACAGAGTGGATCCTTCCCATGTTATACAACCAGAGGAGATCGAGTTGGGTCTAGATTTAACTTTTGAGGAGGTTCCAGTTGAGATTGTTGATTACCAGATTAAGAATCTTCGTAGGAAGGAAATCCCAATGTTGAAAGTGGTTTGGAGAAATCAAGAAAGTGAGAGTGCTACCTGGGAAACTGAAGCAAGTATGCGAGAGAAGTACCCTGAGTTGGTAGCAACCTACTTTGCAGGTTAACAATCTTGCCTAATGAGTTATGTTTTGAACTTGCTGATGTGTTTTTGTTGTGATAGCCCAGTATAGGTTCTTGAGACCTAAACATGGGAACATGAGGTGTTATGTGTTTAGTTATGTAATTCAGATCTCCTAACCTAAGAGTTAGGTAGTAACAAGATTTGTGATAGTGTAGGTTAGGGGGGGAACGAGCGGATATGTACTATCGACTCAAGGTTAGATTTCGGGGACGAAATCTTTTAAGGAGGGGAGAATTGTAACATCCCATTCCGGCAAAACCCATATTTCGATCGCTAGAAAGTTCGCGATTTAAAATCGAGCATTTCGACACTATTTCGACAAAAATCGGATTATCGATCGATCGGATAAGTATACGTATTAATTATATATATATATATTAAGCGGCCGGGCCGCATATATATTAATTCCCTGTCCATTAATTCTCACCATCATCATCGTTTATTTCTATTTGTCCACCGAGAGAACAAAACCAGAGCGAGCGGAGAGAGTACAGGGGAACGTCGGGGAAAAACTCCAAGGCTCGATTCTTGAGCTACAGTGATCCAAAAATCCCGTAAGTAATACCTAATTCATCCATACATCGTGATTTATCGATTTAGAGCTTTAAAACGAGTTTTTGGATCAGGAATTTCTTGAATTCTCGATAAGCTAAATTAGGGTTTCGGAGTATCCAGAAGCCGGATTGAGCCCAAATTTCATATACGAGCTTCCTGCAGTGAGGTAATCAATCATCTAGTTCTAATCCCTGAATTTCGGCTATTATTTAGGCTGGGGTCCAAACCGTTGAATTTAGCTCCGGCCAGGGTTTGATGTGTTTTTATCAAGAATTTGACCCGGAGCCTAGAACTAATATTGACGGGGATACTGCAGGGGATATTAGGACAGTCTCGAATTTTAATTCGGGGTTCGTTCGTGAAATTGACGTTTTAGTACGGGAAGGTTAAACCGGTGTTCGAACGACCAGAACTGGTGAGGGATTAGCACGGCATACCGGGTTTGTCGTATCACGATAATTATATTGATGCTTAGAATTGACCTAGGTGAACTAGAATGGCATGATTAGGGGTGTATGGACTTTTGTGCTATATGATGAACCCTGGACTACTGTATGATATTATTGACTTGCCCTAATCGATATGAACCTTGTTTATGTGGATGATTGCCTACATGTTGCCATTTGTGGCTTAACTGTTGATATGACTTTATGGTTGTTCGATAAGGGTTTTTGACATGATGTGATATTGTGGTTGTTTTTGGATTCACAAGTGGGGAAAATAAACTTCCCAGGGTGATATTATGATGTTTAAGGAGGATGACTTGCACGAGGGTTTATCCCGAGGAAATGCAATTATACGACTCCTGATTTACCTATGTTGAGCCAATTGTGGCCAGGTCAAGTACATGTGCAAGTAATGAATTATGATTAAGCAAGATGAGATATGAATCATGTATAAGGATACCAATAATGAGTGTGGTGGTCTCACGGTCAACTACATAGTAATTAGGGCTCCCTATGCTATTACTCTATTATGATATGTATGATAGTCACACCTCTCATTTGGTGGTGACTGAAGAATTCTTATAAGATATGACCACACCCAGAGCGGTGTCGGGGTATGACTACACCCATAGTGGTGTGGGGTATGTATGACCACATCCGACGGGATGTTGGGGTATGTATGACTACATCCGACGGGATGTGGGGTATGTTTCCCGGGAGAGTTATTAGCATGGGAGTAGCCTGGCGCCTATAAGTAAAACATGATAAGATGCATATGCATAAGTCAAGGTGGTTGAGTCTTTTGCCTATTGGGATGTCGGAGAGCTGAGATATGATCCCAGTGCTTTGGCTTGTTTGCTAGATGTATGGTAGGGGTATGCTCTGTTATGAACTCACGATGCTATGATTATCTCACTCAGCTATGAGCTGACCCTCTTTTATCCTTCTTCTCTGCTTATGCTATGTGTAAGCAGATCATCAGCAGCAGCAGTAGATAAGTGTTAGGTGGGAGAGGAGCTAGAGTTGAAGCCAGGATGAGGTATGGTCTTCAACTATTCTGTGCTTGGACTACTACTCGGGATTTTGGCCAGTGATCCACACCTTTTTGTAAAAATGTTTTGAGAACGTTTTTCATGTGCATACTAGCTTCTGATGTAGTGTGAGATATCCACAGGTGTGGAAAGTTGATGATATGTGTATATGTTGTGTAACTGTGTAAGTTGTGACGACTATGACATGTATTAGTAAGGTATGCAGTTGCGGAGTATGAAACTGTGACTATGGCTATGGAAAGCCAATGCATATGGTTGTGAGTATATATGTTTGTGATGAATTATTTTGCAGGATAAGTTGCAAGAACTATTAGCCCATTACGCGAGTAATTCATGTCGAAATTTTATTTAGGTAAATTTTGATAATTAATGTAACACCCGAGGTTAATTCCGCTGCAATTGTATGAACAATATGATTAGGCAAAACGTATAGGGTAGGGTGTTACAATTTTCGAATGGCATTTTTCATAATATTTTCGGCAATTTTTTTTGAAAGGTTATTATCCTTCGATTTTGAAGGCTACAGATCACGGATTCGGCTTGAGGCTATTCTTCACCGATGATTAAGTCCATCAATCACCGATTTGGGCGAATTTCTTCCGAACTTATTTTTGGCAGATTACAGAGGGTGTCATCACAGATTTTTTGTGATTTTTCGAAATGCCATTTTCTTCTGATTTTGAAGGCTTTCCATCATAGATTTTGGCGTAGTTTTGAAAATGCTATTTTTCACCGATTTTGAAGGTTATCCATCAAAGGTTTTGCCCGATTTTTGGGAATGCTATTTTTCACCAATTTTTAAGACTATCCATCACAAATTTTGGCTAATTATTTTGAATGGTATTATTCTTCATTATTGAAGTCTATACAACACATATATTAACCGATTTTTTTTAATGTTATTTTCGATCAATTTTGAAAACCATCCATCACATATTTTGACATGTTTTTTGAAAGACTATCCATAAAGCTATACATCCCATATTTTAGCCAATATTGTGGGGGATGAAGCTGGCAACGACGAACCATTTCCACCCGATGCTGATGGAGAGCGATTGTCAACCTCTGATCAAGAAGCTCGATCGACCGGAAGCAATGAGTTTGGGAATCCAAAGCATTTGTGAAGAGATCCGCGACTGGGCGAAGAGAAGCGGAGGAATTGATTGGAGATGTTGGGGAAGAAATGAGAAAGGGAGAGCTCATGGGATGGTAAAGATGAGATGTCGATGGGAGGAGACGAAAGTCTGATTTTCTCGTCCTCCAATCTTTTTTGTACCTTGACTTTTACAAGATGGCTATGTAATCCATAAAGTTTGGTTAATAAATAATATACAGGGTAGTTATTGAAGAAAAAAAAACAGTAGCGCCCAATTGGACAAGCATCCTAAGACCTAAGTACCACTTAAAAGTTAAACCTTACCAAGGTTTCAAATCGTACTCTAAAAGAAAGCTATCATAGATTTTTGGCGATGATTAAGTCCATTAAACACAGATTTGGGCGGACTTATTCCGGGTCAATTTTTAGCGGATTTCAAAGGGGTACCATCACATATTTCTAGCGATTTTTTCAAAATACCATTTTCTTTCGATTCTGGAGGGTACAGATCACGGAATCAGGCCGAGGCTATGCTCCACCGATAATGAAGTCTATTAATCTTATTCTCCACGGATGATAAGTCCATTAAGCACCAATTTGGGCCAATTTATTTTCGGATGACATTTTTCGTATTTTACGGGGCGGCGAAAGGCCATTTTCTTTGGATTTTGAAGGCTACATGTCACGGAATCGGCCTGAGGCTATTCTTCAACGATGATTAAGTCTGTTAAGCACCGATTTAGACGGATTTATTCCGGATCAATTTTTGACAGATTCCAAAGGTTTATCATCACAGATTTCTGGCGATTTTTCCGAAATGTCATTTTCTTTCGATTCTGGAGGCTACAGATCACGAAATCTGGTCGAGACTATTCTCCACCGATAATCAAAGTCTATTGATCCTATTCTCCACGGATGATAAGTCCATTAAGCACCTATTTGGGCCAACGATGATAAAGTCCATTAAGAAAGCTATGATGGACTTTATCATACTCAAATTGGACCGAAGTATACTTAAACCTTACCAAGGTTTCAAACCGTACTTACTAGGAAAGCTATCAGACTCGAAATGAACCGAAGTATCAAAAGAAACTAACCGAATCATCTGCTTGAAAGCAACCCAGAAAAAATAATCACTAGAGTAATGCGCGAAACGAAATCACCAGCAAAAAAAAAGTGATGAGAGAGGATCAAAGCAATTCTCCTTGTGAAAACCCTTTCTGCAGAGGTGCGAACAAAATGCAGCAAAACTTTGGTTAATACAGCATAGCAAAGATATTACATGAGGTGATAGTAAGTAGTAAACGTAGGCATATTACATGAGGAGATAAACAAATTATGATGGCAACCCTCTAAACTCATCGACTGATTCACTTTTTAGTATAGCTGTATATACGACAAACCTAAAACAACATTCAAATCCTGTTTTTCTGGTTCTTTTGCCCTACTTGACTACTCCTTTTCTTTTACGCTCCTTCAGGTCATTGGGTATGATAAATACAGAATCTACACAAAGCCCACCTTTGGAATGTGTGCAATCGATCTGTTTCATAGAGAACCGAACCTCGGACGTGGGGTCTGAGTCGGTCACCACGAACTCGCCCACCTTGTACTCGATCCAGTAGCCACGCTTGTGATTGCCATACTCTTCGTCGAGTTCATCGGTATCGTCCAGACAGCATTCAGACGATGCCTGCTGGCCGTCGGATGTGGACAACTCGAACCGGACTGGTTTGATTTCCCAGCCATGGGTTTGATCGAAATGACATACACGTCTTCCGAGACGTTTGGCAAATCTTCCAAGGTGAAGCCTGAAGGTTAGTGTATAGATATCAGGAGGGAAAGGGAACTTTACAACCCCGTCTACTTCGAACCACCATATTTGCTGTAGATAGGCCACAACGTGGAATCTGAAAAAACAACGATTATGTACTGTCAAAATCAACAAAGAAATTCTCTACCAAGCTGATCTGGGAGTCAGTCAGACTTCAAGGGAACAAAGTTGAGTGGTGTGCTACTCTGTGGAACAAATTTGTGCTACCAAGGCATCGATTTCTTAGTTGGCTGGTCATTTTAAATCGAATTACTACAAAAGATAAGTTGCTGGAGTGGGGTTGCGTAACAAGTGGGCTGTGCAAACTATGTCATATGGAAATAGAAACAAGAGAGCAACTCTTTTGTGCTTGTCCATTCTCACTAGCAATTCTTGCAGAATTGGTCCCTGCTGTCAGTTGGCCTGGAGAATGGGAGGGAATGGTTAGCAGAGTATGTTCCCTGACAAGGAAGAGGGATGCTAGTGGCAGAGTTATAGGCAGCCTCTGGTGTTGGTTTTTGGCTGTTATATGGAAGGAAAGGTGCCAGCCTATGTATCGTGGTTCAATGCGGACAGTGGAGGGTATCTTGCTGCAAACAACGTTAGATATGGCTACCTATTGTTCCTGTAATAGTGAATATGCTTTTGTAATGGCAGAGTCGTGTTTCTCTAGCCTATGTAGATAGTGAAGGTAAGTGTTTAGGTAGCAGTAAGTGGATTCTGCTTCTGTCTGTTGTATGCTGTATGACTCTAAGTGGAGTTTTTGTGGAAGCTTGGTCTGATTTGGACCAATTATGGGCTTAATAAAGAACAACAAAGAAAGAAACTTTACACTCTTGAATGCCAAGTGTCGACATAATTATACTGCACAAGGAAAGCAAGAGTTGGAGAAGAGATACTTTATCAAGCAAGAAAGTAATAAGAGCTTAACCAACTGGAGAACTACACCATAGAAATATGAGGACGACAGCATTTCCGGAAACAATCGAGAGAATGACTAATGTACAGGGAGCATCAAACCGAGAAAAACTGTTGAATTAGCTAGGCCATAATTTGCAGATCAGCTGAGCTTTGGACAAAGGGGCTCCAAGTTTACTCCAAGTCTCATCATTAGGAGGGAGAAAGCATACAAGCATCTTGCAGATACCTTTAGTCTAGGCAGAATTCATTTTTGACTAATACAATAATACCCAATCAACACTTAAACTAAAGGAGTAGCTCCATATCCAGAGAATTCAATATGCTATTTGGGACTTTCAAGCTATATCCAGGGGCACTAATCATTCATACGTACTGGGTGACTACCTACAAAGGAGAAAAAATTCAACTGAAAACACACAGCTCCCACAACCCCAAGCCATCCTCCGGTTCCCAAAATTACCGAATCCCTTTTCCGACAATCAATAGTAAATGCCATCATATCGATGTTCTTTTCGATTCTGAAGCACTAACGAGCTCGGCAGAACCCCCCTCAGCACATAACCAAGAACTTGGCAAAAATGAATTGATCATCTCTACTAGAGCAAAACTCACCCACTTTGCCAAGCTTACTACTATTCCAAACCTATCATTTTGATCAACCTCAAAGGAGGCTAGTATTATAACCTAGCAGAATGGATTACTAGTACCTAACCAATTCAGCCTAACTCCTCGGACAGCTATTCCATTCAGTACATATAGTCCAAACAGGACCCTCTCGGAAATCCTAAGCACATATTCTGCAAACGGAAATCATCAGGTGAAACAGATCTTGACAAACATAACCACTGCAGAAGATAAGGTTCACACACCGAAGCTGTTCCAGTGAGTGGTCATGTCTCATGACAATGGGAGCAAGATTAGAACGCAAATGCCAGCAGGCCTTCTACAATCCCATATAGGAACTTATCTCAACGCAAACACTTGTTGGAAATAGCACTAACAATTGAATCCTAGAGAATTCATTTCTACTATGAAGAACCAACTGGTAGGACAGAACATAGAAAGGAAGCAAGCAGACAGACAGATCACTAGTTCAATTTCCAATAGCACCTCCATGTTCAGTTAAACTTTCCACTCCCAAGAAGATAAACACACAGCATGGGGAGGAACATTCTGCTTCTTGCTTCATCATGAAGCAAAACACAGGAGACGAATCCAAATGAATACTAATTGCTATCAATCGTGCATCAGAAAGCAAATAAGAAAGGAGATTTAATCAGAAGAACCAACCTGGATTCTTCAGTAGCAACCCAATTCCAGTACCGCCGATCCTCGATCCCGGTTATGGCCATGCCTTTCGCCGATATCGACACGCAAACCCTCCCCGTAACTCGGTCCAACCATAGCTCCTGCATTCAACCAAAACAAAACTTGAATTGAAACCGGAAAAGCCACAGACGAAAGGGAAACGAATCGAGAGAGAGAGAGAGAGAGAGAGAGAGAGAGAGAGAGAGAGTAAAAACCTTGTTGCCGTCGTCGAAGGGGACGGGCCTGGAGAGGAGAGCGTAGATGTCCTTCTTCTTCGACAAGCCCTTGTGGCGGTCGGGAGGCAGCAAATCGAGCAGATCCAGGTAGTTCCTCGGAAGCTTCTTCTCCCAAACGGAGTCCGACGACGCCGCGCCCCGGAACGCGTGGTTGAGCCGCGCGAGGTTGCAAATCTCCGGCGGCGTCAAGTAGGTGAAGACGCAAGCCACGCAGCTCTCCGGTATGTCGCCGAGCCCTGGCCCTATGGCCGCGCCGTTCGCACCTTCCGTCAGGTTTGATAGCGACGCACCCATTCCACCCTCCCCTCCCGCTCCCGCCGGAAAATGACGTCAGACGGAACGATCAATCCAACTAATTCTTCGTTTCTTCCTTCTTCTTAATGTTGCTCGCGCTTGCTTGTGTGCGCTCTCAGGCCATTCGCGGAGGGGAGTGTTGGGCTGGTGAGAAAAGTTCAGGGGTAGCAGCAGTGGTGGAAGCCGGAATTTCGCGGCTTTCCTTCATAGCTTTCTTTTTCTCTCCCTCCCTCCGTCCGTCCTTTATTTTTCCGGGAAAGTTAGGGCAGGAAAATTGGAGGCAGAAGATAGAAAGGGAGCGATAGGGTGGTGAGTTCTTACGTGGGGTCCAGTATTAGGAGAATTGAGCTAAGCCCCTTTCAATTCCTTTCATTTTTTTGGTTTTGTTTTGTTTGATAATTGATAGATTAAACATGAAAATTGGAAGAAGATCTTGCTTAATTTCAAACTTAAATTAATATTAAGAATTAGTCTGTCTTAACATATAATTCATTAGAACATTGTTACGAGTAGGAATAATAATTTTTCAACATACTGATATTGATCCATCATGAAGAATATTTATAAAGAGAATAGATGAAGATAGGATGAATTTCGTTAGGGATGAATTTAGTGAAATTACCTAGCTTTAGGCTCTACTTATTACTAATTCTTCTTGTTAATAAATTGGTAAATAAAAGAGGGAGGTGCATTTTTTTTTTTATCTTTTGCAATCCTCCTAGATAGCTTGAGTTAAGCACTATAAACCAAATATTGCTTTAATTTGCTAAAACCAAATAACTAAGTTTAATAAGAGTTGAAATTAATCGACCACCACCAGACAATTGACGTATAGACAGTCTCGTTGGCAAAATCTGTGCGGCTCCAAATGTTCGAATTGCCTTCTCCAGAATTGTTTGCTTGATGCTCATTTGGGGAGATCACATAATTAATTAATTTGAAAGAAACTCCAAAGGACTTTCTCCTCACTCCACTCCAAAATTTCGATGTGATGGATAATTAATAAGATCTAGTTTAAAGGGTTTTTAAAATTTCGATGTGATGGATAATTAATAAGATCTAGTGTTATGCTCTGTGGCTTAATTAGTTTAGTCATTAGTGGTTGTGTTATAAACATTGTGGTGTGATCTAATCAATCCCAAATAAAAGAGGAAGGATAAATAAGGTGTAAATTAATTAAAGAAAGCGAATATGTGATTAAGGGTAATATACACAAACCATTGCTCATATATATGAAAACAAAAAATCAAATCAAACAATAGATGGACAGCTTAATAATAAAGATTGAAAGGTCAAATGATAAATTAGCATGAGATGACTTCTGCTATAAAGTATTGGTGATTTAATGTACAACTTGACATTGTAACGTAACTTAAATGTATAAATTTAGGTTGTACCATAAGAGAATTTGTACCCTTATGTTACTTATGGTACAACTCAAGTTGTACCATTACATAAATGTACAAGTTCACGTTGTACCGTAAAAGAATTTGTACAAAAGAGTATAAGAATTTGTACCATAACGTAAAGGCATAACTTCAAATTATACCATAAAAACAAAAGGCTATAACACCAATATTATATAGCACTGTAAAATTCCTCGTGCATAGAACATAATGATATGAGGGAGGTAGGGAACAAATGAACAGCCACAGCGTTAGTCTTGATTGTGATATTCACTTTAGCTATCAAACAAAGTTCATTTCTTCACATCACTACACTATGCAGTAGTACCGTTCTGATTTCTTACGATAGATGAAAACATGGCCTGCCCTCGATGGTTATGAATCATAATCAACTCTAATCACCTCCCCTAGATAAAATAAAAAAACATTACCTTTATCGATCGAAGAAAGAAAACCGATTCAATTGAGTAATTATAGTATCGAATTTTGTATATAACTAACAATCACGATTGAAGTCTTCTAAAAACATAAAAGATACTGAAATCAAATATTAAAATCCATTATCTATGAACTGAACATGGGAAGGATCTTGTGTATAATCCAAACATGCCAAACCTATAAAAACCACATATCTTACAATCTTTGGTTAGATGTTTACCACATTAATAAAACTCGTATCGAGAATGGTAAGACACGAGGAAATTTTATAGGTTTTGCATATTTAAATTTTTCATCAGAATTGAGGACGAAACCAAAACGTGGAAATCATGAGTTACCTATCTTTTTCAATCGGTATACAAAACAAAATTACATGATTATGTGCCTCATGATCTCCGTATATATTCTATTAATTAACAACCAATCTATATATAGTCTATAACTTGTATAGGTCGTTTCCTTTAACAATTTGCTTAGGCATGACATGTTTATTGCCGTAACAATCAAAATAAGCACAGTTTTGATTAACACAAACCACGAAAACCATGAGTTATCTATCATTTTCCTTCTTTAAACTAAACAATAAAATAATAATAATAAAAATGACGTGTCTCATCTTAGTTCCTATTTAACCACAATTTCGGCAACCTATACGTTGAGAGTCAAACTTATTATCTTCAAGAAATGTGAGATATGGCATCAGTCTCTGAGTTCATGTTGTTTTCAGACAACACATAATATTATGATTAAAATTTTGTAGGGTTGTTGTTGACGGAAAGTTAGCCATTTATTTTATTTATTCTAAGACTAAGTGATGATATCTTGTTGGAATGTTATCCTGTTATAAAATAACACCACCCCTGGTGGAAATGAAGATTTAAGACGGTACTCCAATGCATGTATGGTTTTGTAGAGAGTAATCGAAGAGGATTTGGAAAATAATAAATTACATGAAGATACCCATGAATTACGAATTCATGTAGATGGTATATTGTTGGCAATTAATTTCACGGCATTATGTTTTCGTATTATGTAGCAAAGTAACGGAATGATGTTCAATCGTTCTGTTCTTCCTTTTTTCGAATAAAATATAGTGATAGAGTAGGCTTTAACACATATGTGTCCTTTTGGAACCGTGTATGCAACCATGAGTAGGGATCCATATTATGTAGCAAAGTTACGGAAATGACATTCAATCGTTCTATTTTTCCTCTTTCGGAAGCATGTATTGTATGCAACGATGGGTAGGTATCCATATGTTGGTGTTGCACGACACAGAACAGAACAGAACAGAAGCATGTGCTGTAATATGTTGGTGTACGTTGATCATCAGTTGGGTCTTGTCCTTCTACAAACTTTCATTTCTAACTAATAAAGAGAGATTGACACTCGATTGCCGGCCGGTCGGTCGGTCGAAGCAGACAAACAAAAGTGGGAGAGAGGGTTTCTTTTAATCTCCTCTTGTTGCGAGCTTTAATTAGTTTGTTCCCTCCCTGCAAATTTAGGTGCGTGTTTGTGTTACGTTTATCAAATGCATGCTAACGTACGTGCATATATATGAATATGATTGCTCCACCAACACGCGTGCAGTTTTCAGCCACAATTCGATCGGTACTGGAGAAGATGCTGGGCTGGCAGTTAGTTGGCACAGAGAGGGTATATTAATTAAAAACGATGATTACTACTTAATCTGCTGCTTAGTAGCTATCTAATTCATCCAGCCGCCATTCCATGCCATGTTCCTTGCCAAAATATCAACTCTGATACGTAACATATATAGCCAGCCATATCATGAATGTTTAGCTCGGGACAGGTTACGGTGACTACTACAAAGTAGTAATCACCGTGGTTACTAAGGGTAAATTGGGTATGGAAAAATAAATTATATTAATTAATTTTTTAATAAATTACATTTAAGGTAGTTACAAAAATCTATTAATTAAAAATCTCTCTTTCTCTCACTTCCATAATCTCCAGCCAGATTTTCTTTCCATATTTTTCTCAATCTTTCTGCAAAAAAAAAAAAAAAAAACGAAATCAGTACCAATCCATTAGACAAACACTACCACTTTGAAAAATATCAATACCATTGCAGAAATAAATCTATACCATTACACGAAAACTATCATTGCATAAATAAATTTATACCATTACACGAAAACTACCATTCAAGAAATAATAACACTACCATTTCACAAAACATCAATACCATTCAAGAAATAAAAACACTACCATTTCACAAAACATCAATACCATTGCAGATTTAATCACTACCAATGCGACAAAATCAATACCAATGCGACAAAATCAATACCAATGCGACAAAAATAACACCAATGCGACAAAAACAATACCAATACAACAATAACACTACCACTACGAAAAAATTGACTACCATTTAAAAAAATCACTACTAAAAAGTGATTAAATCACTACTAAAAATTGACTACCAATACAATAATAACACTACGAAAAAATTGACTACCATTTAAAAAAAATGACTACCATTTAAAAAAAATCACTACTAAAAAATTGACTACCATCTAAAAAGTGACTACCGTTTCTTTTCACCCCCAACTTCCTCCTTCCGAGACAAATCGTCTTCCCCCATCAGCAGATCGAAGCACCACCCCCACCGCCGCTGCTCCTACCTGCAGCTCGGAATACAACTCCGGCGAGGAGTCACGCAACGACAATAAGGCCGTCGGTGGAAGCCGTTCTCCGATCTCGACGCTCTGATTCCCGTCGCCGTCGTCCCATGAAGAGGCCGAGTCGCAATCACAGTCGCAGAGCACCGTCACGGCGGCGAAAGAGGATTGCTCAGAAATGTCAAAGTTCTCTTCCATGGAGGCGCTCTTCTCCGACGAGGCGTACGATTTCAATAGGGTAGGGTTTGGATCTAATTTATAGAGTAATCAGGTGTGGTATATTTTTCAATTCCAAAATTACCCTAATATAATCTTCATCGTTAATTTAAAATTAGGGTGAAAAAGAAATAATCAATGATGTAGATTAAGGTAGCCACCGTGATTACTAAAAATTAAGTAACCAAGCTAACTCATCCCTGCTCATATATATTTCGGCTTCCTGGTTGGAAAAACAAGATTATCATCTCAACATGTTAAAGAAATTCCTAAGGGATTCTATCTCTACAACAACAATATGTAATAACACTGATTTAAGGGTTTTGTCTAGTAGTATTAATTATTACTACTAGTTTTGAAACTGGAGGTCTCAGTTTCGTGCTCCTACAGTACCACTACCTAACTGTAAAAACTAACATGTGCTACAGAGTTTTATTGGCTGAAACACTCAGCATTAAGGTTTTAACGGTTTCTAATATACACACAATTAATAATTTATAAATACGGTAGGTTGATTTTCTGCAAATTTCCATGTTTGGATATTTCTAAGATAATCTCCGCATATAGAAGTAATCCTAAGGGATTCATGTACTTTGAATTTCACTTGATAAGTTTGAGTGATTGAACTTAGCTAATTATATAATTTTACAAATATTGGTCAATTGTCACCTCTAACAAACGACAAAATTACTATTAACATCAATACAACATTGTTTCAATGCTTAAAGTTACAATTATGGATGGTAACTGAGCTAATGCTTAACTACTAAACAAAGTCTTTTGTCTTCTACTCTTTTTTTCAATCAATGCTTAACACATGTTTATGTCATATCCCAAGGCCATTAAGAAAAGAGAAAGTACATGTAATCCTCACTGGCCCAAAATCTTGCCAGAAAAGAACATTTAACCCAAGATGACTGAAAGGTTTCGTAGCCCTTGGGGGAGCATAGCCCAAAGGCCCTGTCTACTCTATCTCCCTAAAGCAATGTGCCTCTTTGGGCTCAACTCAGCCCAATCAGCTCCATTAACACAACCAATAATGAGTTTTGGATTCTTATGGTACGACTCCACTAGATTTCTTAAAACTCGATTAATTATTTAAAAATGAAGTGATACATGCATTAGCAAACCTCTATAGTATAATATATCAACACTAAACCACTGCCCAAAATGGCAAACCGACAGTATTAGAAATCTAGGCAATCAAATTATGGATCCGGCCCGCGGGTGGACTTTTCATCAGTAGATACTCCAATTTCAGACGAATAAATATGAGGTCACTAAACTTTGTGATAATTGTTGAACTAACATATGACTTTAACTTATCAACAAAGTACTGACCGGTGGAAAGTAACACAATGTTTACTTTATCTGTCTCTCCTTGATTCTCCCTCTCGATAGACTGGATTGTCTGCTTGAAACATATCAAACTCATCCATATTCAAAGCTTCAATGATGAATTCTATAAAATTGAGAGTTTGATGACCGATTTGTTAGCCACTAAAAAGTTAGGTAGCATTGATGTAGTTGACCCTTCCCAGCCCAGTTTCGGGGTAATCTGTGGACTGTGGGTTATCGTTTTGCCAAGAGAGAGAGAGAGAAAGAGAGAGAGAGACAAGGAAGAAAACTGTTGAGCCGAAAATGGAAAGAAGAGGAAAGGAACAAAACCATGGGCAAATCCTCTGGCGACCGCAAAACCAAAACCGGCTGCTCCCTCCGCCACCATCTCCTCCTTCTTCTGTATATTACTTTCCTTCCTCCGCTGACCACCTCCTTCTTATCCCCACTCATTATCTCAAAACCCTGCACTGCTTTTGACACCGCCGCCTTCGTTTGATCTCCATTTCTTGAAACTATTCATCGTCTCCGGGTAGCTAGCTGTTTCCTCTTCTGGGATAACTGAGTGAAAAAGGCTTGCTTTTCAACAAAAGCAGTCCTCTGCGGCATTTCGTCGAACACCCTGTTCCGCTCATCATTTCTCCAGCTGGGTATGTACCAGATATTATTTCCCCCTCATAAAATTTCACTCTTTATCCCCTTGAGGCCAAAAGGTACATTGTAATTCTGCTGTTTCCCTTTTCAATCTGATGTGCATAGAGCAAAAGAAAGAGAAGATATTTAATTAATTAGAAGCAAAAAAAAGAGAGCTGCAAACTGCTGCCGCTGAAACCTTTGCTTGCTTTCTTTTCCTAGTGTTGAATGGAGCAACAACAGAATGGTTTACCAGGTGGGTTGTTTTCAGGAGGGATGGCATCTACAGGAATGCTACAGGGTCTAGAATTTCCGCTCCACCCGCAACAACCAAACCCTCAAAACAATCCCCAGCCAAACTTACAGCAGCATAGTTCACACCACCACCACCACCACCATCCTCAAATTGTGGCTTCTGCTTTTACCGCTCCCCACCAACTCCAACCAGTCAAACAAAACAACCCATACCCACCTCCTCAATTCACCACCTCAAAGCCCAAATCCCCGCTAACCGACGACGAGGATGCAGCCGGAGAAGACCCTCTCTCTGGTGGGGATCCCAAGCGAAAGATGTCACCTTGGCATAGAATGAAGTGGACTGACAGCATGGTAAGGCTTCTAATCATGGCCGTGTACTATATAGGCGATGAAGTTGGTTCAGAACCCAGCGAACCAGCCCCAACAACATCGAAGAAGAAGGCAGGAGGAGCCCAAGGAGGGTTGTCTCAGAAGAAAGGGAAATGGAAGTCTGTCTCAAGAGCCATGATGGAGAAAGGCTACTATGTATCGCCACAGCAATGCGAGGACAAATTCAACGACTTGAACAAGAGGTACAAAAGGGTCAATGATATCCTCGGCAGAGGAACAGCTTGCAAGGTTGTGGAGAATCAGTCTTTACTCGAGACAATGGAATTGTCTCCCAAGATGAAAGATGAAGTGAAGAAATTGCTCAGCTCCAAGCACTTGTTCTTCAGGGAAATGTGTGCTTACCACAACAGCTGTGGCCATGGCAACGAGGTCGTTGCTCATGCAGCTCCACCACCAAACCCTCAATTGCTGCAGCAGCAGCAGCAGCAGCAGCAGAAGTGCGCCCATTCTGAGAACAGTGGCCACGGGCCAGCACCCAATTCCCACGAAGATGATGACGAGGATAGTGATGATGATGATGATGACGACGACGAATACAATGAGGAAGAAGAATTCGAGCATAGCAGCCATGGACATGGTCAAGAAGAAGGAGACGACGAGGTTCGTGATCAAGAGCTGCGGCATAAAAAGGCAAGAAGGAAGGGGGAGGAGATGATGATGACGACCTCGGCTTCAATGAGGGAATTCGGTGGGGAATTGGCAAGCGTGGTGCAGGACGGAGGGAGGAGTGCGTGGGAGAAGCTGCAGTGGACGAAGGCGACGATGGTGGAGCTGGAAGAGCAGAGAATTGGGTATCAGGCGCAGGCATTAGAGATAGAGAAGCAGAGGCTGAAGTGGGTTAAGTTTGCTGGGAAGAAAGAGAGGGAGATGGAGAGGGTTAAAATAGAGAACGAGAGGAAGAAGATTGAGAATGAGAGGATGGTTTTGCTTATAAGAAGGAAGGAGCTTGAATTGCTTGATGTTCAACACCAACAGCAACATCAGCAGCAAAGTTTGTTCGAGCAGGAGGAGCGATCCCTCCTCGTTTGCTGGGTGAATGAACACATTGCAGACTGTCACAATAGGTTGCTTAGGATAATCTTACTTTTGGTTTATGATAGTGATAAATGTTTTGAATAAAAGGTCTACTTGGAAGAGAAAATATGGCTGATTGTTTTTTTTTTTTTTTTTTGGTAGTAAAACGGAGCACTAAGGGCACCCCAACCTTTAATTAATAGTAACCATGCGAGGGGTCTGAACCCCAATCACATTAAAGTACAGCAAATGACTCAAACGCGAACATGGGAGTTCGATGATGTGATCGCCAGGCGGTAGCCCATGCCCTAAGGATGCAAGGTAGTCTGCAACCACATTTCCTTCCCTGAAAACATGTTGAAGGTCGACTTCCCAATCACGGTCTAAGAGTCTACGAACCTCATTGATAAGTGTGAAGTGAGGATGGCAGTTTCTTGCCTCCTTAATCAACTGAATGATCACCATAGAATCCACTTGTAGCCGACTAACACTTCAGCACTGGTGCAAAAGAGATTTTGGCCAAAGAGGGATGGAAAAAATGAATTTACACACCTGGTGGGACTCGAACCCACAATCGTTTGATTAGAAGTCAAACGCCTTATCCATTAGGCCACAGGTGCCTGTTTACTTTTTTTATTACAATTCAATTTTTAAATTCAATTATATGAAGTCATTATGAGTGGTAACATCACAAACCATCCACTAGTCCATCTAGGAGTACAATATTTTTGGCGCATGGATCCGCTTGGGATTGTTGAAATGAATGTAATTTGTGCTGTGTGTTAACTAAAATGATAACAACATAGCAATTAACATTCTTTGTTGCTAAGCATTTTAAAGAAGAATTAGCATTTATACCCATTTAGATACTTCGACGGCTACTATGCATAAAACAATGAAACTTTTTCACAGCCACTAAGTCAAGATCTCCCCAATTTCCCCCTACCATTAGTTTATAAGCTGAACTAAAACAGATTGCTCAGTGTATTTTGTTTCCTTGATACAATCTCAAAACCAAGAATCAAAATACTCCCAAAAAAACTGGAGGCTTTCACACCCTCCGCAGTGAGTGCGTAATAATATCATAAACCCTTGCCACCCACTTCCTTATATAGTTGGTCTTACATGTAGGGAGGGGGGAAAATCTTGCCCATTGTGTCTTCGCCTCTAATCTTCAAGCTCGATGATCTTAACCACCGACGCGTCTCCGACTTTCTGGCAGACGACTACTCTGTCGTGGGACTTGATCACGCCTGAGGCCTTCCCGTGGTCCAAAGCAACCTTCAGGACTGATTCATTTGTGGCACTCGTTGATTCAGCCTGGTCACAGAGATATGAAGCAGGTATGTCAGAGTTGTTAGTTTTTAAATTTGAAGATGGAACACACAAGTTTTGGAGCAGAAAACGTACGTGGTGTCTCGGATCAGCGAGCATTGGGAAGAGACCTCGAACTATAAGCGATTGCCTTGCCTGCAAGTGTACAAGATTACCTTAGGTTTCTACAACAGGCACATCAATGATTAAGGATTCATAGAAATGCTCTAAAAACCCATCTTTGTGCAAACTCTTTTTGCTAGTCAATGACAGCTGAATGGCTGGTAAACCCACTTTCTCTTGGGAGAAAAGAGATATTATAGAGGATGGCCTTGGATTCCAGTTCAATAGTAGCTGAATTAAAATAATTATACCTCAAAAGCACCACTGAAACTCCACTTCAGTTGGTTTGTCTTGAGTCTGGGGATAACAACAGAGATGACTGGCATCGTTGGTCTATACTTGGCAATCAGTCTGCACACAATAACAGGATTTTCTAGTATAAATCACTATCCGACGCAGCACATTATCTTTTCCACAATTGTTAACAAGAAGAAGAAGAAAAAAAGACTTCAGCACTCGAGGAAAGTTGTATTAGGTACCTAGCGGCCCTTCCTGATGATGTGAAGCATATGATGACAGAGGCCTTCACCTTGATGGCTGCTCGAACCTGGATGAAACCAGAAAACAGGGATTAGGATTATTCTATTTTCAGGTATGTACTTGACAATCAGTCTAACAATCTATTCAATGAAAAATATTCAGAATAAGTGCATTACCGCAGAGGAGGCAATAGATTCTAAGTGAGTCATTGGCTCTCCAACATATTTGACAGTTTTCTTGAAATAGACATCCTGATTAAAAACCTTCTCTGCCTGCAAGAATTGACCAGCATAGCAAAAAGATTAAGCTCATAATGGAAGAAAGAAACATCACATCTATGATCAGGAAACCAAAAAGGTCTCCCGTGGATAACAAGCTTATAACTTTTGAGTCGCTACAACACAGCCTAGTGATCTACAAGCTGCAAGATTCCAATGAAGTAGACGAAGATATGGATAGTTCATAATAAACATGAAAAAGTTAACCTCACAACAAATTCTGCCAACAGTAGAAATGGTTTCCACAGGATATATCCCACGAAGAGTTTCAGCACCAAGAAGAATTGCGTCACTCCCTACGCCAAGCAAAAAAATAATTGAAGTGCATATTCAGCAAGCTTTAACACAAATATTATGTAGAAATCAAAATCAGAGATTCTGACTTCCGGTTTGGGAGTTCACCATCTAGAACAGCATTGGCAACATCAGTAGCTTCAGCACGAGTTGGCCTCAAATTGTTTGTCATAGTGTCTACAACACGGGTGACCACAGCAGGCTTGCCAGCCATGTTGCACTTGTAAAGGGCAGCTTTCTGAAACAAGAACACCTAGAAGAAACAAAAACAATATAAGCCAGCAACCAAGCACACAAAATACTTGGCAGTTTGGACACCACAAACTGATATACTTCAGTTAAAGGAACTGCGATTTGTAAATTGGAAAAAAAAAATTGTAACCTTCTCAGGGGGCAGATCTATGCCCAGGTTCCCTCGGGAAAGAATAATGCCATCAGCCTCTTGTAATATCTCATCAAAATGCGTCAATCCCTACAAAGAAACAACAGTAAGGAAACATAAGCCCCACGTAAGAGAGTATTGCTGAAAACTAACCTAAGAAGCTAAATGCTGTATAATAGTTACCTCAACATTCTCAATCTTAGCGAAGATTTGAGTTTGGCTCAGGTCGCCTAGCTTAGAGAGGTATTCACGGGCCTGCATTACCATACAAGAAGCCAATTTTAAGAAAACGGATAGCCAGTATAGGTTTTCAAGATAACCGTGAATTCAGTGATATGAATGCCTTATAAGAAGGCTTACCTGACGGACATCTTCGGCATGTCGTGTATAAGATAATGAAAGAAAGTCGATTTTATTTGGCACTCCCCAGGCACTAATAACCTAGAATGAGAAAAAAGAAAGCAAAAAAAATGTACTTCATAAAAAAACAAGAAGAGTAAAAAAGAAAATTCACATGGAAGAAAAGGAAAGGGAGCTCATTCAGCTCAAATTCGAAGGAGTAAAAGAACACTGACCTCCTTATCCTTTTCGGAAAGGGTAGGTAGTTCAATACGGATTTGAGAAGCATGCAGAGTGAACAACGACCCTGCCAATGTAGCGGTATTTTTAATCACACATACCACATCTTCTCCTTTGACCTCAGAAACCTGCACAATTCGAAAACGATTGCTGTCACTAGGAGTTCGATTATTCAGGAGACCTAGGTGTAACAACATATTTCTTCTCGAAGTAATTCTATCTACTTGGAAATGAAGAGCCACTGAAGCTTTATTGAAACAGCTGTTTCTGTATAGTCCAAATCTCACTTCGTCCTATGATAGCCAAATCAATACAGGGTTGTCTTGTACATTACCTCCAGCCACACAGAAGTAGTTTCACTGCCAGTGAAGAGATATTGACCAACAAATATGGTATCTCCAGGTTTCACAGCCTGGAAAGGGAAAATAGATCATCAGTCATCAGATTCAGAAGGTGAAGAAAAATTCATGATATGAATAAGCCCCTCTCAATTCAGAACAAGCAAATATGAGTTTCAATGACTATGAAACTGAAACTGGTCCTAAATTCATTGTAGTATGCCAACAGCATGAGCAAAGTCCCACAATGCTCACTACACTCACAACTGAAAATACGAATGAAGAATGGCAAAAGAGAAAGGGGAAAAAATGGAGAAAAAGTTAGAACCTTGGCTAACCCATCAAAGTTAATGGGCAATATTTCTGATGAGGCATTCTGTTCCTTATCAGGTGTCAGGATGACAAGACCATCTTGCAGGAGTGAAATGGGTTGTTCACTTCTGTTAAGAACCTGCAACTCAGGACCCACCGTATCGAGCATAACCTGTATCACGGAGAGAATTCCTCAAATTATCATCTACCACCATTCACCACTACCAAATACAACCATAAGGTAATCTCAAAACTACTAAGCAGAAGCAATCAAAATAGGCTAAAATCCTGAAAACAGATCAAAATGTTTCATAGTAGCTACTATGAAAGAAGTGGCTAATCATCACTGCTTCGTTCTCAATTAAGCACCAAAAGGGGTGACCTTTTAGATTCTTAAAATCCATCTTTAAAAAAGTAGTACGAATGAATCCATAAACTAATCATCAACAAGGGGACACAATCAAAGGCAACAAACCGCGCAGAGCTTCCTGGTGCTCTTGATGGCAGCTTTCAGGTTCTCCAAAGTCTGCTGGTGATACTCAGCGTCGCCCCAGGAGAAATCGAATCGAGCCACTGCACCAAAAATGACAAAAAGAGATCCATTACCTCCGGAACGGAATCAAGTCCAAACGCAAGTAAATGGGGGAGCAAGCAGTAAAGTACCCGACATTCCAGCCGTGAGGCAGCCCGCAATCATCTCCGTCGATCGCGAGTTGGGGCCGAGAGTCCCAACAATCTTAGTCATTGCCGGGAAGAAGCTCTGCAAATTCAAAAGTCAGAAGAATTAAATCAAACAGTTGGCGGAAAACTCATACGTGTAGTTGCCAGATCCGAATCAGCATCACCACAAACGAGCCATGGAGATTTGCAGGGCGGAAGGCGATTTTGAATTGCGAGAGAGAATGGTACTCACAGACTTGGAAGACTCGAGGATTGACGCCATGCGAATGGGCTCCTCGAGAAGCAGGTGGCTGGAATGCATCTTGGCCGAGTTTGAGCGAGCTGGGAGAGAGCGATCGATGCGAGGGGAAAAGGGAGAAGAAGCAAGGAGAAGCGTGAAGCCGACGAAGGAGGAAGAAGAAGGGAAGTTTTTTTTGCCCTTTCGATCGAATTCCGGTTGCTGCCCTGCCCTCCTCAGAATATGCCCACTTTGGTCCTTTTTGTGTTTGCTGGATGGCCCTTGCCTTTTTGTTAGGTCGAGAGAGAAAAATTAGTAATAAAACGACCGATCCGATAGTGAGAAACGGTGGGAAAAGGGGAAGCGGCCCGGTTCCTCTACACTACCGCCACGGAAGCTGTCTGTGTGCCTTTCTACTCGAGTTGCCCATAAATTGCCAATTCAAGGTTAAGTATTATAGCAGAGGTGAACCCAATTGTACTTGGATTCAGTGTTAGTCGTTACAAATTTCAATTTTTTCAATATAAATCAAGTTGATTGTCCTTTTTATGTTTAAGGACAAATACAATTTAATATTCAAACCTTTTATTTTAAACAATATAATAGTCAAACATTTTCGAAAACAATCTAATATCCAAATCGTCAATTTTTCGTCCGTTTGACCGTTAGTTGACACTTCAAAAAAGTTTGAAGTACGACACTTCATCGATATCTTCTATGAAAAACCACCAACATATCGTGGTTCCGAACCCGTGAAGTCCATGAATCCACCATGATAGTATAGAATATCTAATATTCAGTCATATGCAATGCCAAAACAAGAAAACAAAGTTGTATTGTGACAATTTTCTCTAAACAAAGCTTTTTTGAAGTGTTAACTAACAGTCAAACGGACGGAAAGTTGACGATTTGGATATTAGATTGTTTTCGAAAAAATTTGGCTATTATATTGTTTAAAATGAAAAGGTTTGGATATTAAATTGTGTTTATTTTTTTATGAAGGTGAAATTTATTAATATAACCAAGAGCACAAAAAGTGCATCACAAATGAAAAAAAAAAACGACAGCAAAGCTACAATATGTGTATTTAATCCCCGAAAGATAGGTTGCATGTGAACCTTTCATACTCATCTCTTTCCTCTTTTGTGAAACGTAATTGTAGCTTGTACGTTCAATTTACGAGGAGAAAGCACCACTACAATCTCTTAAACGCACCAAAAATTAAGCCACTGTGGCAACCTAGGTGCATGATACTCTGGCAGGCAATCAAATTCCTGTCGTGGGGAAGGAGTAAGTAGGAAAAAGAAAGCGACACACGTGGCGCGTGGCGTGGGTTACCGAGCGCGAACCTGTTGGCTTGGCGGCTACTGATCCGCGCGCGTGGGCGGGAGGGAGGAGTTGGTTCGGTTAGTGCCGGGATGGGTTAGGTGTAACGCACGTGCCTCGGCTGCGTAGGTGGAGAGGGGTTCGTTATATTATTGTCTCCTATACATGTTTTTTTGTTAGCTGATTATTATTGTGTGTAGACGTGGAAAATAGTGAGGAGGAATGGATGCCAAAGTGGAAAAGTGGGGGGACGCCCTCAGGAAAGGAAAAGGTCAGAAACAACTTCGCCAAGGTCAAAAAAGAACTCCTAAAACAAAACCAATGGGCCGTCGCTTTAATAAGTCTCAAGGAGGGAGCCGCTGCTTAGCTTAAGGACAGTTGTTTTGTTACTTAATAATATCTTCCCTAATAATCACTTTGTCCCATACCAAATCACAGCAGGTACCAAAAATGTTTGTACCTGGATCGTTCCAGGCAGATTTGTGAGATTTCACTGGCTTTGGGCGGCTTTCGATGGTCAAAGGCGGTCTCTGAAACCCTGCGAAAAAGGTCCACAGGAGGGCTCCTGGGACCTCCTCCAATGCTTAAATTAGAGAGAAAAGTGAGGGAGTTGTAAATAAGAGAGAGAAAGGAGTAGGTAGAAGTTACCATCAATGTAGCCCATCTATGGGTATTTATCAGTGTTATTAAAGCCGAGCCGAGCCGCTCGGCCCGACCGGTAAAACCGCCACCCGGTCACAAAACCGGCTCGGAACAGTCTAAAAGCCGCTCCGGTTTTATGTAGCGGTTGGCAAGCGGCCGAGGTGGTTAACCGTTCGAGCCGATCGAGCCGCTCGTCCGGTTTTTGCCATTCGGCCACTAAATTTAATTAAAAAAATTATAGGAAATTGAAAATTGAAATAAACCAAAAACGTCGGGCTCTCAAATTGAATCCTTATTTCCATTTCACAATTTCGAAGGAAAGAGATGAGCTCTGATTAAGAAATGTCCACTATTTATACTGATAACGTTTATTAGATACCGGTTCTCTAACGGTTTTTAAACGGTCTAATGCCGGTTGGACCGCTAAAGTGCGAGCCGTTCGCATTATCGGGTCATGCTCCGGTTCGGTTCTGACAACATTGGTATTTATACTAGTTGTGGTTGGATTATGAGTATTTAATGCCTTGTCGGGCGTCCCAGGGCGCCTCTGACTTTATCGTCAGAACGTACTTTTGTCAGTCTCCGTACTAGGAGGGACAGATATCCGTTTGCCGTTATGTCGGGCGGTCTCTCGTCCATGTCGGACGATTTTCGTCGTGTTTGTATGGAAAGACCGCCTTGTGCCTATTTTTTTGGCTCATTGCCCCTGTTCAGGCCCAACTCGTTTCTTTATGGGTTTTGGGTAACTATGGGCCTGGAGCCCAAGTGTCTCAATATTTGGCCCAACAAAAAAAATTAATAATAATAAATCACAAACAAAACGGAGGATTGTTTTTAAGGGCCTGTGATTGGGCTTTAGGGTGTGCACAATATGTATGTAGCCGATATGCGACAAGGTAAAAATCCAAGAAACGAGAACGGCCATCATCAGTGATGGCAATGGAGCGGACGAGGCGGGTACCTCAATACTCATGTCTCGTCTCACGTTATTAATAGGTCGGGGCGGCCTACTCTTATATGTTATTTGAAAAAAGTACGTACAAATTTACTTTTTATCATAAAATGAAGGGGAAAACCTTTTATGAATGAAAAATAGTGATAGTAGAATGAGTAATTGAATCTAACTAATTGAAAGATCGAGTCTAACTAGTTGAACAAAAATCAAAATACGATAAATATGAATAGATATTGTAAGAAATTGAGATATAATGGGTCAAGAACGGGCGGGTGGGACAAAGCGGGTCGCAAATAGATACTCATGCTCCGTCCGACCGCCCCACACTACTACGGGCCGAGTAATACCGGCCAAATCGCGAGTTAGGTCGAGTAATACCCGACGAGGCTGGTTCAAATTGCTATCACTATGTACGGGATGAATTGTGCTCTAAGGATTACTAATACGTCGTTGCATCATTATATGGGCTTGGGATCTAGTTATATTGAGTACGACCAATAGGAAGATACTATGGTGACAAGTCATGTATTATATTTATCTCCACGTTTGTTATACAACTGATAGTGGTTCGACTTTGGTTCTTGACTGCGCACAAACATGTAAATCAATCTTATATTTCCTCTTCATGAGTGAACTATTGGGGGAAAAAGAAAATGAAGAGACATTGGTCCGTCGCAATCACAAAATTGTTGGAATATATTAATAAATCAAAATGATAATATGACAATATTTACCTGTACCAATAGCAGGCTAGCTTGTTAAAATTTCAATTCCCATAAACATACAACGGCTAATATAAGTGAATCCCATTGATAGCAATGCTTAAGTTTTCTTCTAGGATGAGGCAAATTTGTCTATGACCCCAAGAAGGATATAGCCATCAAAGGCTAACTTCAGGCCCTATAAGTTCATAGAAGGCAGTTCACACCTTTAGAAGGCCTAATTGGTGAAGAATAACAACAAACGACCACATCTTACGACTCAAACGACACAAGTACACTTCACAGGAACGAAGGCTTAAACAAAATATGTAGCAAACTAGACAACTAGCTACTAAACTACACACTTTGTTGGGCCTGGACATCCAACAGAAACAAGTAATTAATGAACTTAACAAATAACTTACTACACTTAAGCCACCACTATTACGACAGTAAACAAAGTTATTCTCCTCGAGAAATAAATGAGATCAGACTCCGTCTAATTCAATCCTCAGTAGTAGCAAGCGACGGCGAGAGCGAGTTCCTCGACTCGTCGCAATCTTCCCCCAACGGCGACTGCTCCACCCGAATCTCCTCAATCATCCTCGCCACCTCCACCATCTCGGGCCTCTTCTCCGGCGCCGGGGCCACACAGGCGAGCGCCACGTGGAGCATCGACACCAGCTCCTCCTCGATGTTCTTGTACCTCAGCAGCTCCTGATCGAACACCTCCGCCGTCCACTCCTCCTTCACCACCGACCTCACCCACCTCGGCAGATCCCCTGCCCCCGCGGCCACCCCGTCCGTCACGAGTTCGTCGGGGTTTCTCCCGGTGAGGACTTCGAGGAGGAGGACGCCGAAGCTGTACACGTCGGACTTCTGGGAGAGGCGTTTGGTCTCCACCTGCTCGGGAGCCCGGTACCCGCCCAGCCTGGCGACGGCGTGGACCGGGTTGAGGAGCAGGGAGAGGCCGAAATCGGCAATGCAAGCGATGCCGTTTTTGTCGAGGAGGACGTTGGATGATTTCACGTTGCCGTGGGGGATTCGAGCCGACCGGTATTCCTCGTGGATCTTGGCTAGCCCGCGGGCGGATCCGAGTACTAAGCTGATCCTCGTGGTCCAATCCAGTGGGATTCGGCCTGGTCCTCTGTTTCCTGATCAAATCGAAAAAACCCAATTTGATCATCATCATCAATACAGTCTAGTCTGAATCTGAAGCAGAGAAAGTTGGTTTAGAGAACTACTAACCATGGAGAAGCCAATGGAGGCTGCCATTGGGCATGAAATCGTACACCAGAAGCTTCTCTTCCTTAGCATAGTAATAAGCTCTGAACCTGACGATATTGGGATGCTTCAGCTTTCCGATCACTTCCATGTACTGTTCGAACTCCCTTCTCCCACAAGGATTCGCGTCCTTCAGCCGCTTCACGGCCACTGTCCACCCGCCGTCCAGCACTGCCTTGTACACCGTCCCCAAACTCCCCTTCCCCAGCATCTCCGCCGACGCCTTGAGCAAATCCTCCAATTCGAACGGCATGGGCTGATCCTTCCCGCCGTCATAGAACACCAGCTTGCTCCTCTCCGTCCCATCGCTCTCCGTTCCGCCGTAACTGCTCCTCCTTTTCACGCCGCCACCGCTCTCGATCTCGCTCCCCACCTTCGATGATCCACCGTCTCCGACTCCGCCGCCACTGCCGCGGCCGCAGCAGTAGGCGACTAGGAACGACGCCGCTACGAGGAATGTGACACAGATGGCAATGATTATCGCCGCCATCGCGGCGGTGCCCAATCCTCTGTGCCCCGGCCGCTGCGAAGTTTGGCTTTCCACAACGGGAGGGCTGCTCCATTGCGGAATCGTGGTTGGGTTCGAGGGCACCGTTTCGTCCCCTGGGAATCACACAGGTTAGAGATCATATACAACACTAAGTATATATGTAAAGTAAGGATTAAAGATTCCTAAGAACTCCATTAACACCTGTAAATGAACACACGGGCAGCGAAGGACCGGATCCACAGAGCCCTTCGTTCCCGAAGAACCCCCGGCGGCCGAATTTCTTCTCCAACCCACCGGGGACCCTTCCGTACAGCTCATTATTGGACAGATTCAGCTCTTTCAATCCGGGGATCGAACCAGAGATGTCTGGAATTCGGCCGGTGAGCGCATTGTTCTGGAGCCGAAGAGTCAACAGCTTGGTCAAATTGCCAATTTCCGGAGGGATTGAACCGGCGAGGTTGTTGTCCGACAAGTCCAAGCGGAGGATTCGGTGGAGGGAGGAGATCGACGGAGGGATCTCGCCTGAGAAGTCGTTTCCGGCAAGGTAGAGGAGCTTGAGGTTGGAGCAGTTGGTGACCGGGGAAACAGTGCCATTGAGGCGGTTGTCGTGAAGGTCGAGGAGGCGGAGCTGGTCGAGGGAGGCGAGAGAGTTGATCGGACCGCGGAGGGAGAGAGAAGGGAGGGAGAGTGAGATGACGCGGCCGTTGTCGGCAGAGCAGCCTACGCCGAGCCAGGAGCAGGGGACGTTTGAGGTGGTGGTGGTGGTCCAGTTGGAGCGGAGGTTGCCGTGGGTGTCGGTTTGGAGGCGGAAGAGCGTTAGAGCTTCCGTGTCGTTAGCCGGAGGAGCTGCGGCTGAGATGGAGAAGAAGAGGAAGAAGAAGGAAATGGAGAGTTTCGGTTTCATGGCGGCGAGGACAGGGAGAGCTCTGCGGAGTGAGGCGGGAAGGAGTGTTGAAGAAGGGAGTGGTTTTGTTTTTAAAAAAACACATATTTTCTTACTTAGCGATGGGGAAAAGCGGGGAAAAGAATAGGAATTAAAAAAAAAAAATAATAATTGAATGCTTAGAACGTTGAAATGATTGTTTTTCTTTTCTTTTCTTTTTCTTCCTTTCTTTGCCGCTCAAATGATTCAACTTTTACGGAGATGTTACCTCAAACTTCTGTGATTAACATAATTTAAAGGTGGAAGGGAGGGTTTAGTATGAATTACTAAGAATGAAGGGGTTGGTGATAGCTACAATAATTTGCCTTAAGCCTTCAATTTCTCCCATCTTACAATCAACTCTTAGTTGCTTACATAAGACCACAATCTACTTGCCCTTTGTCTATTCACACTACATTGACATGCAGCGGCGGATCTAGGGGGCCGCCCCCGGGCCACGGCCCAGCCCTCTCTCGATCCAGAGCTAGTATAACACGTGTAAATTTTTTATTTTTGATGTTTGTTTCGGTGTTTGTTTCATTATTCGTCGTGTTACGGCCCAGCCTTCTCTGCTTTTTTCCAATGTGGCCCAGTGCTCTATCTAATCCTGGATCCGCCGCTGTTGACATAAGCTTGTGTACGTACCCCGCTAAGAAAAACTACTTTAGTAAGTTCGGCAGACTAATTTATTATGCATTTCAAGTATCGATAAAATCCATATTACCAATCACATTTGCTAAAATAAGAGCATGCAATCTCCATTCTACCTAAAAATATATATATATGGCATCAGGACTCTTGGTTAAGTTAATAATGACAACTGAATTGACTTATTGCACCAATTTATCATCGTGTTGCCATGTGTTGCTTTTGTGTCATTTAACTCTATTGTTTGGTAAATATAAATGATAAGGAGGGGGAGTGGGGAAAGGCTTATTAGTTGGCTAGTGATGATGATGGATAAGGGCAATTGATTAAAGAAGGGAGTGTGGAGGAAAAAGTTCATAATTACAAATATGGGGGTGAGAGGTTGGATTATAATAAAATTGGGGAGGTAAAAGGGAGGGAAATCTGCATGATTAAAGAGAAGACATGTACAATAGGGGGATATGGTTGCTAGAATGATTGCTGTTCTCCACTTTGCTATTTGTAACTTTTCCCATTCCGCATGATAATAATAAGTGAGAAATTGGACAACCCCTTTTTACTATTCAACCTTCGTTCATCAATTTTCCCCTCTCCTTCTTCTTGCCTATGCTTTCTGTTATAACTTATAACCATCAATCATGCCATGCATTGGTCTTCCTAATTCTAGAGTATTTATACACTATAAGCTTCCCACACAATAATTTTTGAATGAGTTTTTCAATTCAATAATTACTCAATTGTATCTGAATAATGACATTCTTCAATAATACTACGATTCTTACATAAATATTTGTCTAACCACAATTTATGGACATAATTGAAACTTGATATTCATGTGCTTCTACCTCCTATACATTCTCTTGCATTTCCGCATACCCATATTAACCCACGGTTAAAATCCTAGCAAACAATTAATTCCTTACCTCCTGCTTCTCTAGCTAACCCTTCTAGCTAGTACTTTTCATTTTTATTGGAGCTTGTGCTTTCTTTAGAGCTACTGAGCTAACATTCCTTATATATTTTCTTCAAGTCTTACAAGATCCAAGGTCTTCAATCGGATCCAAGGCATGGATGTAACATTTACTCTCGTGTATTAGTTAAATTAAATAGTAAGTATTTCTGCTAGATTATACTATTTAACTCGTTTGACCCTTGACAATTGACATATTAGGCTAGCCAGATCATGTCAAAGTTGTTATCTGTCTAGATACTCAGCTTTGCTTTCTTACCTATATTTATAAATAAATAAATAAATTGAAAGGGAAAAACAAAGGGGGGAAAAGTGAAAGGGAAAAGAAGAAAAATGGATAGAAGAGGAGAAAGGGAATGCATAACATAATGATTAGAGGCAATGGTCCCCCTTCATTCTAATATTATGGCATGCAAGGCTCTCCCAACTTTAAGTCATGAGGAAGCAAAAGGCAAAAAGCTGCTTGCTTTGCCGTTGCCAATGAAGTGAATGATCACCTCCTTCCCCCCAACCATCCTTAGTCTGTCTTCCCCATTTTGGTGATTACTTAATATTATCATACCACAGCCATGACTACTGAAACTATGGCTCATCAGTGGCTAATTAATACTCAGAAATGTACGGGTTGAAATGCTTACCTAGGGAGAAGAAGCTAGCACCAAACTACTGCTTCAGCTCCAAGCTTGATTGAGCAGGGTGGGCATGACGCCATGACCCGATCCAGAATCGAATCTGATCCAATACAAATGAAAGAAATACAAACCAAAGCTGGTAAGTTATCTTGGGTAGCCATAAACATTTGCAATTTCAGAAACTGAAAACTTTAATCACTTTGCTTCTTCCACCACAGTTCTTTATTTCCCTCCCCCGACAAGTACAGTGTCAAATAGAAGCAATCCAGCCTCCTAAGCTTTTTCTTCTGTGCATTTCTTTATGCATGCATTGTGCACAGTGGTGGAACAAGGGTAAGAGGAAAAGGAAAATAAGGGGGGGAAACACAAAAGCATGGAAGAAGTGAATTTTGGTAACATGGAAATGGGGCATGGTTGTTGTGTGGGTGGAAGGCAATTTTTTGGTACCAACTTTCACAGTAAAACGATAACCAGATTCCTATGGGTGGGTTGTCTCTCTAAAGTGATGGACTTTGGAGAGTAAAATGAACAGTCATAATAATACCAAAGGACCAATCAGGAAGGGAAAAGTGATAAAGGGGGCTGAATGGAAAACGACATGAAATTGGTGGCGGGAATGGCGGTCTAAAATTTCTCTCTTATCAGTTTTCTTTCTTTCTTTCTTTTTTCTTGTCGGTCACTCAACAGGACAGAAAGGCTCAATGAGTTGACACGTTAAATAAACTCTTTTAGAAGCTTCCCTCTTGACTCCTTAACGAAATCCAGACACGGGCTAAAAGTGCATTAGTAATTTATTATACAGTGTACTTCAGTCTCCCACAGGGATTATACAGAGACAGAATCCTAAAATTTCCAGCTACAGAGATGGGGGAGGAATGGAGGAGCCGCATTGAAGCAGTAATATTTGAAGATTTTCGCTGGTGCTTGTTTGGCAGGTGAATGCAAAAGGGTAAGGCACATGCGAAAATTGGAATCCATAATATATTTGCTCACATGGGAAGGGGAAATAGTGGGGGAATAATGGGGGATTAATCACAGTAGATTATGAAAATGAAGAGGATGCACAATCAAAGATCTAGGTCTTTAAAATGAAATTTGACTATTCTATTGATCGCGTAGACGTAAATATTATGATTACACCTACTCAAATTAGATGTATTCGTTTCACCCAGACACAATTATACGATCAAGTTGGATCGCCTTAAAACAATCATCCCATTAAGGACATCCTAAAATCTATCTAGAGGACAGTCACCTCTGGCACATTAGACCAAGTATTTAACCAGTCAGATTAGGCGGGGAACTTCTATATAGAGGACAGCTGGTAACTAAGAATTATCAAAATGCATGAAATTCGATTGATTCTGGAAGATAACATTATATTATAATTTCGTGTAACGCTTAATATCATCTAAGATAAGTATGAACTACGATCACGATGAGACATTTGTAATAAAAAAAACAGATCTTTGAGAAGTATCTTACCGGCCTGGCCATTGGCCAACCTAGGTTGGGCTGGTTACAACCGCTCTCTTCTGTCTTAATGGCGATTGGAACAGTTTCTGCAGCACAAGGAATAGGACATAGGGTACGAGGTTACACGGAAATCTGACATGTCTGAAGAACAAACAGCAACGTAAGATAAGAGGTGTGTAAGCCAAACATCAAATTCTCGTCGCCTCCAACACTTGCCTATTTCACGCTAGCTAGCCGCACCTATAGCTAGTAGGGAAGGTCCCGTAGCCCACCAAACCTATCCTGCAAGCAACATGCAAAACCAGATTAACATACCAGCCCTTGGGCAAAATCTGAAAACATTTGTGAAACAATTGCCAATTTTCACGGTATCGGTGGCTAAGGTTCATGCATCTCATCTCACAGCCATGTTAATGCAGAAAGAAAAACATGACACACAAAGGGAAACCAGGACATTGCATCTGCATGGGGGTTTGACCTCACGGGAAAAATATCAAACATGGAGAAAAAAAGAACTTTGCATTGCGTGTAGAAATGAGACATGAATGATCCTTTCTTGTCGAGGGTAGATAAATAGGCATGGCCTCTCTTCTAAAGGGTTCATTCAACATTCTAAAGCAACTTTCGAAATGGCTTTCTCGGTAAAGGGATTAGAGTGTGGTGGGATTTGCAAGATCATGAAGCTAAGGAAGATTTTTACCGACGTGTGCCAGAAGCATAAGCTTCCACGGGATGTGCCTCCTGGTCATTTGCCAGTGATGGTAGGGAAAGCTGGGAAGAGGATCGTCATAAGAGCAGATCATTTGAACCATCCAGTTCTCAGGCAGCTGCTGGACCAAGCGTACGAGGAGAATGGCTGGAATAACGACGGACTGTTGGCCATACCTTGCGATGAGCCTTCTTTTCGAGATATAATCCACTCGCTTACGGTTGGGGACGAGATATCCAGTTCTCGCACCAGACACCAGAGAAATCCAGGGGTCCAGATTTCAGACGGATTGGAGGCCTCTCCTTCATGATTCCAGTAAAAAAAGGTGCCAATTTTCCTCCTGGAAGAGAGTAAGAAACTCAACGTCAGGTTGAATTTAGCAAACAAGTCTGGAAAAACGGGCATTTATGTTTAGCAGGATAAACTCTCTCCCACTATACACGACCTTCCCCTTGAATATGCAATGAGCATGTAGAAAACAAACTCAAGAATGCATGTGGGAAACAAAACGAGCTGTTAGAAGTTGGTATGTTCAGAAATTTCAACAGCTGAAGGTTCTGTGAAGACACTTTGTCAACATCTTTCGCATGCTGTGTATTACTAGAAAACATTATTTTGATTCAGTAGACAGAATCTTCAAGGATTATAGTGAACCAATACATCGAAAGCAGTGTTAAGGAATGAAACTGATCCTGATGTTCATGTTTGTACAAGTGGACAGAGTGTTTTGAGCGCTGGTATTTTCCACGGTAGAACTAAAATGCATTACTTCATATATTTCAAATGAGGACTACTTTCACCTAGCCATTATCACTTTAGCATATAGTTTCATAGGAATACCCGATTTGCAGCAGAACACAAATGAGGGATATGCCCACGGACATCCTTATTCTAAGAGGTTCCAAACCTTGGCAAGAATTCCACTAAACTAAAATATTTGTTTACCAAGCACACAGAACTTAATTATATTTATATCTAGTGACAACGTAAAGCAACTTACCTGGAGCGAGTTTTCAAAGGGAAGGGTGAGAAATTCAACTGTTGCAAACCACTCGACAAGTTTAAGCATGCACGATTAGCCTCTCCTCTGCGAAATATCAGCGTTGTCAAACCGAAGCAGCCATACCAACAATGCAGACCTTAGCTTGGTCCAGGGCAGGAAGGTTCAACATTGAACGTTTATTAGCACCTTTATTACTGAAATATTTGAGCACCAGAGCAAAAACTTCAAGCATCATATATAAAAGAGTTGGCCTTCATTTCCATTTTAGGGTGATACAATAACCAACTTCAACTTACTCGTCCTGAGATATTCATGATGATGGTGATTGAAGATGGAGGCCGCCTCTATGTTAGTAAACTCGTCAGACTCTAGCTCCACTGGGCTGAGGGCTAATCGAAACATAGTGCAGAAGACCACCTTCATTACCATGGTATTAGGAAGCAGCAGCATATATCGGATCACTCTATCAAACACTTTGATTTCTTTGTAACCCAGGAAATAATCCCCAAGACTAGTCGAAAGTCAATTGCTCCAACAAGGACACGGCAGGATCCAAGAGACAGAAGCTGGCTTACAATGTTCCTAATTTGAAACCCAATTTGGAGCGATGCCTCTTTAAACGAAGGACTGGTACATCGATCTTCCCACAAGCATGTCCACCTCCTGAAGAGGATACTGGTTTCAGCGATGGTACAGGGTCGAGGAAGGAGATAATGTGATGCAGACTGGTTCCAGCTGCTCCCATAATACTCCTCTCCAAACTTCTGAACCCTAAACCACCAATCGCACTGGAAAAGAAAAGGAAGGCTTATCTGTCAGTTAATTGAGGTTATGACCAATACAAAAACAAACGAGCAGGGTGCATGGGCGCGCTTCCTCGTACCAATATGAATTATCCTTCAAGTTCGTTCGCTCTACTTGATGAAGACCGTTTCCCCGTACGGAGGCGGAGCAGTTCTCTGTCAGCTCCGGCCGGCGCGCCGCGTGTTGTGTTTTTGGCTTTTTGCAAGGTGGGAGATGGAATACGAGCGGGAAAGAGAGGAAGGCGGGGGGGAACTCAGGCGATCAAGAAATCACACGCCTGAAAATTGGGAAAACGGCGGGAAAAGGTCAGAAAACGCCAGGGAAAAGCGCGAAAAGGAAGGCCGAAACGGCGAAACGCGAAACGTTTCGGACCCTCAAAACCAAAATCGAAACGCGATAAATTGACGAGAACTTGAAATTGGCGATATTTCGCGATATGACAATAAATCGCGATATTTTCACGGTATTTTGGGTTTCCCCGATATTTTGAGTTCCCCAGGAAAACTCAGCCGGTGAATAGCTAAGAAACAGAAAATTACAGGGTAAAACTTCCCAAACAGAATCATAAGAATCGAAAATATTGTGCCGACGCATTTTGGGAAAGAAAACAATACATTAGGAAGAATTTCATCGCTACAAATTGAACTGAAAATAAGAAAACCAGAAGGGAAACAGATACCTCACCTACCGGCGATCCTTAACGACGCAGACTGCTGACGACGACGGACAAGCAGCTATTGCGGCTGTAGATTTCGAGAGAGAACTCAGAAATTGATCGATGTCGATTCATCAATATTCAATCATCATGGTGTATTGAGCAGCATGCTAACAATCACAGATTCAATTTTCACGTACTAACATAGCTTGATTACCTTGCAATTATGATGAATGCCGCTTTTCATTTTATTTTATTTTTTTCAATAATGGAGATCCTGTCAAGGACATGGGTATCCAAGAGGTTCCAAACTTTGGCAAGAATTCCACTCGAAAGGGTATGAAACGTTTGTTTTGAAGCCATGCGTCGTGCTTTGAGCATCTTTCTGTCACTGAAGAGCTGGAAGAGCGCTTCTTGAAGTTCTTCCTTTCCAGACACCTGAAAAAGTGAAACAGGACAAAAACAGTCCACTTAAGGAACTAAAATGGTAGCACTGAGAAGGCTATGAATGGACCAGAGAAGTGAAGGGGGCATCGAAAACCTGCACAACTGAAAGAGGATCCAGTCGTTGCATTTCATTTATCATGTGTGAGAAGTGTCCGACATGAAAACCTGAAAGCAAAAGGATAGTAATGGGTTTTAGAAAGCATGGCATGAAGTCTGTATATAGCAGGAAAGACAGGGGTCAAGAGAGAGAGAAGAACAATGACCAGTTAAAACAGCACAGCCAGCTGCGGTAGCTTCGGATATGTTGTGGCCAGCGAAACCAGGACAGAAGGAACCTCCAACTAAAGCTATTGGAGTTAGGCTATATAGATGCCTCAATTCACCTATTGAAGAAGTTTGAGAAAACGATTTAAGAACATTAAGGAGAACATGAAAAATGGAACTTGGGAGAGTTTAGAAGCAAACCTAAAGTGTCGACCACGTACACGAGTCCTCTAGCCGTGATCTTTTGCTTTCGAGACCTCAAGGCTACATGAAGTCCTTCTTTCTGCAATTCCTGCACATTTTCAAAACAAAACATTAAACGAGAAATTACTTGAGTTTATAATCAAACCAGTTTCACTAGATCCAGAATATGAAATCAAGACATCAAGTTCCTTCGGTCCAAAGGATATCAAGTTTTCCAATCTTACTATTTAGCTGTCAAGATGCTCGCATGTGGGTATATGCATGTGTCATGCTGCAAGATGTCAGCAATATGAACTAGTTGGAACATAAATGACAGAAATAGAAACAACCAACCATGGTGGCCTATCATCAATATGTGTCGACTGGGCTAAACAACTTGCTCATCAGGCCATTGTCTACATGCTCTTAAGGCAACAATCATGAACAATGCCTCTATTTATCTTTTAAATGGTGATCAATGCAACACTAGGAGATGTCTTCTACAACAGGTCTAACTCCTAAGTCCAGACACTTGAGTTAGATCAGACTTATCAGAAGGCATCAATTTACCAGGGGGAAATACAACAAGCATATGCATTGATATCGTTTAGACTCGAAACACCTAGCTTAGGGAAGAAAGATGGAACTGGAACTGAAGTTCATACTTCAACAATATGGTGGGCAAGCTGCAGGTGGCGAGGGACAATAATAGTCACCAAGTCAGGATACCTTCGCACTAACAATCTGTGAACTGCTAAGATTACTGAAAAATGGCAGTCGTGAGTGATTAGAAAGCCACAATAACTTAGGGCCACCAATACAAACAAAAGTAAATGAAATTTTGGCATTTTGTAGTGGAAATATTCTATGCCATGCGCCATCAAGCTGTAAGATAGACTCAGAGTTAAACTGTAATGAAAAAGACGTGACACATAGATAGACCAAGTCAGAAACCAGTGCAGCTTGGAACACACCTTGTTCTTCACCTCTATGAACTGATGCAGCCATCCATACATGCCTATCAGAGAGCTGCTCCTTCAAATCTTCAGTGCTTGCTATATTCCTCTTGGACATGTCATGTTCCACCACTGAAATAGAAATACCCTCACCTTTCCATCAGGGTGTATACCCACCTCACTCTAACTTGGGAACCCCCAAAATATCATAAGAAGAGAGTCTAGATAAACTAAACCTAAGAAAAAATCAGATATCTAGTTCTCAGCCATGGGCAAAATCTATACTTATGCCTCACAACAACCAATATTGTGATGTGTGTGCCCATTGACCAAACACAAAAAAAAAAAATAGTAACCATACCTGTCAATCTTCATTTTTAGAGGAATAACAATACCACGTTACTAGAGGATAACTGTAATAAACATACCGTATTTCAAATCACCAGCGAAATTTATGATTGAAGGTGGAGCTTGCAGAAGCTGGAAGCGTATTGCCTGAGTGGTACTCTATAAAAAAGGACACTGTCAGCATCAAGCACACCACAATGATAAAAGAAAAGAAGACACAATAGCCCGAGAATGTACCAATGGGACAATCAAAGCAAACTTGGATAGCATTAATGATATCAATGGAAGCGCCCATGCTGACCAAAATTTGAAGGACTTCACAGACATCCGAGCATTCAATAATGTAAGTGGAATCTGCAACATCATTCAATGGCGATAAGTCACTCCACAAGGCATATAATCATGCATATTGCACAACCCCGCAAAAAAAGCTATCCCCTAAGGAAGCAGAACGATGAATAGCTTTCATTCATGAATTTCTCCCTCCTAATCTTTCACTTAAACTCCTCCAAAGTCCAAGCAAAACCTAATTCACAATCCCAGTCAACTACCAATTCAATGTTGGAATACTTGATAGGTGAAACAATTACTATATCATAATTCACAGGGAAGAACCATGGCCTATGATGCACATGGATGGATAACTCATAACTTACACCCTTAGTTGAAGATACCATGATCAGATTCGGCCAAAGCTCACTCTCCAATAAGATAACTGCACTTGGCTTCCAGTAGCAAAGGAAAGCATCAATGGCGGCCGGGGTATCCACAGGACAAAACTGGTTCAATCGGAAAAGGCTACAATTACTACCAATTTCACAGCACATACGGAGAATTCATAACTGCAGAAACATTAACTACTCATCCACTGAGGAATCAAGCAGTGAGGACGGACGAACGAACCTGGTGTAGAACGCCACTCGGAAGATCATTCTCGAGCACCTTACTGCAGCAAGCAAACAAAACGAATGAAATCCTCACCGCCACAGCAAAACAGTTTAACAACCGATGAATCCCGGAATTATTAGAATCTTACAAAGCGGACATCGTCGTCGTTGTCATCAGAATGTTCAACCCAGGCCGCCGACGAGCGCACTGCCTGACGACCGGAATCGCAGCCATTCCTTCGCCTGGGAAATTTCACACACACACATGCTCACATAATTAATCTTCCATTTCAAATTGTGAAAGCGGCAAAACAATCGACTGTAGAAATTAAAACCACGGAGAGTACCTAGGGAGACAGCGTGAAACCAGACGAGAGGACCAGGCGGCCGGGGGAGAGAAGGCCGGCCAATTCTCTCATGCCACCGCGCCGGGTGCTCGCGGCCGCGGAACACGCGCCACCGCAAGTGAAGTTGCAGCAGCGGCGACAGGCCGCGAGTTAGCTCCCTGTATACCTTGTAAATCATCAGTCCTTTCGCCGCGGCGACCATTTCTACACTGCTCCGCCTCTCTCAGCTTCTCTACCCCCTCCCGCAATTCTGCTGTTTAGTGGTAACTGTGCGTTGTCTGTTTGCTCCTCTCTGCTTTCAGTTCAAACGAATTAATTCTCGACTCCGGCGCCAGAGTCCCCAAAAAAATTGCCGCCGGATCTGGAACTGAAAAGTGAACGTCCACGAATGGGCCGCCTTCCCGTGTTCTGTTCAGTAAGCCCGAACTGGCCCATTTGTTTTTTGTTTAGATGGGTAACTACTAACTAGCTTTGTGCCCGGCCGGATGGCCGGGTTCATTACATTTTATCATTTCAAATAATTGTCCCTTTGAGACACATGATCAAATGATTCAAAATAAATAAATTTCATTTTTTACATCTTTTAGATTTTTGAGGTTTTTGTGATAGTTGATTTGAAGGTTTTGGTCATCGAATTTGGTGTCTCTTTTAACTTGATTTCTATGAGATTATTTGACATAATTGAGTTATGGTTTAATGGGAATATGTTTTTGAATAATATTAATAAGGGGTATTTTTATTTTAGTTGATTTCCCTTTTTATCTAACATGTTATTTTTCATTTTGTGAAAGGGATTTTAGTAAATAATTATTCTTATTTTCTGGCTTTTATTAGTCTTCCTTTATAATTTTTGTAATTAAATAGGTTAGATTTTTGGGTTAAAATTGGATAAATAAAATATTATGTCATGCTCTACTACCACAATTTTATACAATTATTATTAACGTATCTATTTATCACAAAAATAATAACAAATTCAATATCACAATTAAAAATACAAAAATAAGGCGGCTTATTAGGAGTTTTATAGAGGAAGGGGACATGTTGGGAATGGTTTTTAGGAGAGAAAAAGTTTTAAAATTTAAAGGCTAGTGACGTGGATGCATAAAAATCGTTTAAGGCTTACGTGGAGTGGGTTAAAATCTCAAACTCTTTTAATATATTTTAAGATGCGCGGCCTACTTCTGAGCTCGGTTTAGGAAAAGAAAAATGACGGGTTATAATTTTTGGTTAATAGCATTTTATACTCCTCTACTTTGGTAAATTAACAAACGTACCTCTATACTAAATTTTTTCACAAACATACCCTTCTAATATTAAATCGTAACAACTTTACCCTTCCATCTAATATTAAATAGACTGAGAAATTACTCAATTGCCCCTCATTTAGTCCTAATTTCAGTTTTAATTATTTTATTATTTATGTCTAAGAGATCAATTAATTAGAAAAACAAAACCCTAAACTAAGTCTCCCCTAGCGCCTCCTTTCTCGTCGCCGGCTTCCTCTGCTCCTCCGCCGCGAAGAACAAAGCATCCGCCAGCAACCTCTCCTTAAACGCACCGAACTGAAGCAGCCACCACATCATCCCCAACTTCTCCAGCTCCAAGAACCTCGAAACCACCGCCTACAACAAATCGTGTGTGATTCAAATCCCGAATTCCAATTTATCGCCCTTACAGAGCGGGTTCTGCTTGACCAAAATCTCGCGCGCCATTCCCTTAACGTCGAAGCAGCACCCGTTTTCTTCGTCGTACCGGTGGGACCCGCAGAACACGCCACCGCATCGTCAGGAGAAACCCGGCAGGGCGACCTTCTTGTTGCACGCCTTGTACCGGCTCTTGCTGGAGTAGAAAATGCTATTAATCCTATAATTTTCTATCAACAAATTAAAATCGATTTAATAATTTCTGGCCAAAAAGACATAGTAGTTAGTAATAATAATAATTATAGATCAATTCAATTAACAATGGTACCATAACGTACGGCAACTTAGCGAGCGGCATAAGACAATGGCTATAATAATACTAGTGTGGGCCCGATCATTTGGCCGGAGAAAGGTGAGATATGAAATTTGATAATGTAATGGGGGTATATAGCTTATTGATGTTTTTTTTTAAACACGTGATAAAAAATAGTGAATTTTAGTATAAAAGAGACATGAATGATGCAACGAATCAAAAATCAGTCTTATGAACCAAAATCAAGTACCTGTTACCTTGTAAAACAATATTGTTTCTGGTAATATGATGAGGTGGAATAAGTTTTATAGAAACCGAATTACAGAAAATAGAATAAAAAATCGCCTATCTCGCTGGTTTCGGGAAATGAGCATCTCACAATCGTTGCTACCTTTTACTCGGTCCGTTGGCCGATTAATTTGCTTTATAAAACTTTCATCTTGTCATCATTGTGCTTTCTGGTTTTTTGCCAAGCCATGATAAAATCTAAAGAAATCAACAATGAACAACACGATTAGGGATAGGAACCACCATTCCTGTATCCCTAGAAAATGGTGGTAAACACGGACTCACCTGCCGAACTGGTTTGGATTGAGATTTTTATCGGGTATCAGGGAACCATGTGATTATAAATTAAATAAAAAATTAAGTAGAAATTAAAAACAATTAATTCATAAAGTTCACAATGTCATGTTTATAACGAATCGCGATGACTTTTCATCTGCTGCAATGTCTCTAAAATACATTAATCACTTATACTGCAAAGAAAATCTTTTTCAATATACACAACTAAACAATCATTCATAAATTGGTCACTCAACCGATTTCGAAGATCATTCTTGATTATCTTCATTACTAAAAATGTTCTTTCGCAGCTTGTCGTTGCAACAGGTAATGATGGGGAGTTAGTGGTCGCCACTCGCCTGGGCTATTGGCCATTAGGCTTGTTGGGTTTTTTTCTCTCTTTTAATTGTAGGCCGAGGCCCAACACACATCACACATGTAGATTGTATGGGTTGAGAGTTTGATTATTTTTTTTAATAGGAATTGATAGGATTATGATTTATGAGTTATTTTAAACAAAATTAAAAAGGATTATGATTAAGATTGATTTATTCGGATAATAAATTCTTCGAGTATAATGAAGGTGTGTCGGCTATAATCATTGAATGTGTGTCGGCTATCTCGAAATAAAAAAATTTATACCAAAAATATGTAGGTCCTTCACAAAATTCTCGAGCGAGGGTGTGTCGGACGACACACCCTCCTTGCCTTAGGTCCGCCACTGTCGGGGAGGGATTGCTCGATATTGCAGTACTTTTAGGTTGTTTGTATGTCACTCCTCAAATAAGTAAAGAGGGATTTTTTAAGACGAAGTTGTAAATATCATATCCTTCATCAAAATTATTTTAAGAAACTCGTAACTCTCTTGTATGTAGTTGGTGACACGAAGTGCAATTAGAGAAAAATTGTCCCAACAATTCTACAAAAGTAACCTAGTTCCAAAAGGTGGACGCAATGTTGTTCCCGTGTCTATAAACGTGGAGGGCCATATTGGATAGAGAATAATACCTTATGATATTGAGAAAGTTTTCGTATTATTTTCATAATTTTTGTTGATATGAGTTGAATCAAATTATTTGTCATCGACCAAAAATCACGGGGTATAGGCTTATAGCTTTATACACGTTTATGACCTTATTCTTTGCTATATTAGATTAATGTTAGTTCGTATTGAAAAGTAGTATATATACTTCTCAATCTTTCTACAATTATAATCTGTTATTTTCTCAAATATAGTGAAACTAATTATCTCCTCCACGTGAATTAATTAATACACATTGTGTCAGTAAACTATGTAAATATGTGTTTTTTACTTTCTTGGATTATAGATTATCTCAATCCATTCTTAACTATGAGAAATAGAGATAGGAAGATTGGTTTTAAAAGGTACGAATTTTGGGGAAAATTCTTGCGTCCAACCCCTGTTGGAGTTAGAGGCTCCAACCTGCCATTTGTCAGCCCCATATTGGCCAACCAACCTTCCTTTTCCCTTATTTTAATTATTTTTTATCCTTTACCATTAATCAAATTATGAATTAAAAATGAAAAAAAAAGCTTTGACGGAAACGACAGAGAGACGGAAGGAAGCTGGGAATGCAACTTCTGGATTATAATTTTTATGTATGTTGTATAATTTTATTTACTACTATTTTAAATTGATGTCAATTTTTCTCTTTTTTGCATGAAGCAATAGCAAATCCTCATTTTGATTATGAAAATTTGTGATAAGATATATGTTTCAACCGCCATGGATTATTGACTTCGTTTCTTTTATTCGGATATTCTATTTATGTTTATGTTGGCACCGTAATACTAAGTATGGTGTTCAAATTTTTTTTTAAATTATTTATGATATTGTGAGATATTTTTTTCCGTATTTTGTACAATGGTCATATTAATGTGAAATTGTCAAAATATTTCAAAATTTGAACGCATAAGTATTTCAAAATTGGTTCTAGTGCACGAGCAATTTTTCGTATTCTGTTTATTTTTGTTGGGGTCAAGTTTTCCTATAGAAGAACATATAAACCTAAGATATACCTAATTAAATTATAATCCAGAAGTTTTTTTTTTCATTTTTAATTCATAATTTAATTAATAATAAAGAAATAAAAATAATTAAAATAAGAGAAAAAGGAAGTTTGGTGGGCCAATATGGAACTGCCAAATGGCAGGTTGGAGCCTCTAACTCCAACGGGGGTTGGACGCAAGAATTTCCCGAATTTTGGGAACCCAACAGCCTAGAAAACAAGCTCTCGGTGATGGTTGGCTGGACAGACAAGTTGGGCTGCTTCAGCTAGCTAATTTCTTTTTATCATTGTTGACTTTCACAGAGGAAGGCCGGGTGACAAATAATAGAATCTGCTATTCGCCGTTGCCCCAGCACAAGTCCAACGATCAGCTTCCAGACACTACAGCCACCGCCTTGTCTTTTCTCGGTAGGTACGTAGCTTGGAATCGAGCATAAGAATCATCGGACAGAGTAACAAAAAGAGATTCTGTTTGGACTGCAAAACAAACCTAGGCAGGTGTCTTGGACGTATGTCAGGAATCGATAGTTGACAAACTGTTTTTAACTTCATGTAATCGGCAGGAGAAAAGGCATCTATCTATTAATCAATCATTATAAAGGAAACCAGTGTCTAGTTATATCTCTATATATCCTGGTTCCTGGACAATGACGATTGACTATATATGACCCAAAAAAAAGTAATTATTTGTACGATTGCCGGATTAGATTGAGAGAAAGAAACTATACAATATCACACGAGTATTCATCATCAGGTTCCTTATATTCGAGTTTTTCCAAATAATTCAAGTTATTATAATGAACTGATTTTTTACGTCATAATATTAGAACTTTTAAATGAGCAACTGCGTGTTTAAGTCAATAGATTGATAATTCGTATTTCAGCTAAATATGAACTTAACTGGCCTCGTTTGAAAAGGAAAGGAACAAATCAGTAGCCAAAAAGTCCACAACAATTAGCCGGCATATAAGGCTTTGGCAATATGTTGATATCACTAATAACGACTTAGTCTAGGTTAATAATTAGTTGTTACTGTTCCCTAATTAAGAAACATTTTCGTGGCCATCATTCGACTAACAATAGTACAAAATTTAAATATGATGAAAAGGAAAATCCACTTGCATGATATTCAATTGTTTATAAGAAATAATGGAATATAAAGTCCATTGTTACTTCTGTAAATTAATTAATCAGGTGAAAGAGGGTTTTCTCCTGTGAATTAAGGTAGAGTAATTAAGTTACATAAAAATTAGATGTATAGTTCTCTTATGACAAGGGATTCTTCATCACTCGTAAGGTAAAATCTAATTCGCTTTCTCATATGACTAATCTATCCATCAATTCAGAGCTTACATATCTTGATAGATATCTTTCATATAAGACATATATAGATTGTCCATAAATCGATTCTTATTTCAATAGAGATATGTCAATGTAAAATCGGAAACTATAACTATCATATAAATCCCTCCCCAACGAAGAAACAAAATCGTATAAGAGCAACCTAAATCAAGGAGATAAATTACTTTTTTGAAGGTCGCACAATTTCAGAAATTGTACAAAACTCCTAACCTATATCTAGATCTAACTACCATATGAAGACAGGCTCCCAGCACAGGACCATACCTCTATAATCAGTAGTCCATACTTCATATATACCAATATGTATAAACATTAACTAGCTACCATCTTCAATAAAAATTTATTTTTCCAAACACGATCGAGGCTGGACCATTAATAATCCTTTACTTTACTTCCAAATTAAAACCCACTCCCATCCCATACCCATTATAAATAAATAGTACAGTCCCTCCCACTGCAAATTAAAAGCAGGTCTCCGGAATCACAGTACTCCTCAATCAATCCAATCATCATGATCTCGCCACATCACTACTGGTCAACGCTATGGCCAGCTAACATCCTCTTGCTTCTCACCCTGCCGGCGCTACTCCTCCTCCTCCTCACCCGCCGCCGCCGCCCCAACCTCCGCCACCCTCCCGGCCCGCCGGGGTGGCCGGTGATCGGCAACATCCTCGACCTCGGCGCCATGCCCCACCGCTCCCTCACCGCCATGCGCGACGCCCACGGCGACGTGGTCCGCCTCCGGCTCGGCTACTCCAAGAGCGCCGTCGCCATCCTCTCCACCTCCGCCGCCGCCGACTTCTTCAAGAACCACGACCTCGACTTCGCCGACCGGACCGTCACCCAGATCATGAAAGTCCACGGCTACGACCGCGGCTCCGTCGCCCTCGCCCCCTACGGCCCTTACTGGCGCGTCCTCCGCAGGCTCGTTACCGTCGACATGCTCGTCGCCAAGCGGATCAACGCCAGCTACCCCGTCCGCCGCAAGTGCGCCGACGACATGATCAAGTGGGTCGGCGACGAGTCCGGGTCCGAGATCCAGGTGGCGAGGTTCGTGTTCCTCACCACGTTCAACCTCCTCGGGAATCTGATGCTGTCGAGGGACCTCCTCGACCCGAAGTCGGCGGAAGGCAAGGAGTTCTTCACGGCGATGATGGGGCTGATGGAGTGGGGCGGCCATGCCAACGTGGCCGACATCTTCCCCGTGCTGAGCTGGATGGATCCACAGGGTTTGGTCCGGAAGATGCGGCGGGATCTCGGGAAGGCGCTGGAGATCGCCTCGAGATTCGTGAGTGACAGGATCGAGGACGGCAAGGGCACGAAGAAAGAGTGGGACAAGAAGGATTTCTTGGACGTGTTGTTGGAGTTTCGAGGGAACGGCAAAGACGAGCCAGAGAAGATTGCACATGGAGACATCAACATTTTTATCCTCGTAAGTTTATTCATTTACAACCTTGAATGATACCTAAAAATTATGACAATCGTTCGTAGTAGTAATTAAGTAATGTTTTTGGGTTTGGCAGGAGATATTTTTGGCGGGATCGGAGACGACGAGCAGCACGACGGAGTGGGCCCTGACGGAGCTACTCCGCCACCCGGAGTCGATGGCCAAAGTCAAAACCGAGCTGAGAGAGGTGGTCGGACCGGACCGGAAGCTGGAGGAAAGCGACATCGACAACCTGCCCTTCTTGCGGGCAGTTGTGAAGGAGACTTTCAGGCTGCACCCGCCGATCCCGCTCCTGGTGCCACGTAGGGCGATCAGGGACACGAAGTTCATGGGGTACGACATCCCCAAGGACACGCAGGTCTTCGTCAACGCCTGGTCGATCGGGCGCGACCCGGACCAGTGGGTGGACCCGTGTAGCTTCAAACCGGAGCGGTTCCTGGACTCGAAGGTGGACTACGCCGGCCAGCACTACCAGTTCATGCCGTTTGGGGCCGGACGGAGGATGTGCGCTGGCGTGCCGCTGGCACACCGGGTGCTTCACTTGATACTCGGCACCTTGCTTCACGAGTTCAGTTGGGAGTCCAAGGTGGATCCTATGAGCCTCAACATGGACGATCGTTTGGGGATCACTATGAGGAAGTCGGAGTCGTTGATGGTTGTGCCGACTAAGGACAAGATCATGTGATGGTGGAGAGTACCAAGTCAGAAGGGGTTTGTTAAGAAGAAATAATATATAATTAAAAGTTTTTTCAAAGCATCTATATTATGTATGTACAATGATATGTTCTCGAATATATTATATATGCCTTCCTGGCCCCAATGCTTTATCTCCAAATGTCTTTGTAGTTAGGTACGATCACTTTGCTGGAAAATGCATAATAATAGGTCTCCAAAGTTGTTGGAGCATACGCAGAAAGATTCAAAATCGCTTTCGACACAACAACAGAATGCGCTTGTGAGCATGTTCTTACAAAGCGCCTTTCCTTGCAACAAACTTGTGTCGACTTTGTGTTAGAGTTAGTCAATAGAGTTGTAATACGATATTAATGGGAGAAGTAAATTATAAAGATGGAGTCTTTTGGCAATTTAATTAATTAATTAATTTTATATTAATTAATTAACGTTTGAATATTGTGAAAAGAAGTGTCCTTCCAGAATGGTAACTCCCCTTTTCTGTGAAAGGATATGTCCTTTCGGGAAAGGTAACTACCTTGTTTTGTGAAAGGATGTGTCTCTTCGGAATGTAACTTCCAATTTTCACAACTATAAATAGATGACTGTCATAACTCTTTTTAGACGAAACATGCGAGAGATTACTTCTTCTTCCCGTTTTCCTTCTCTATTTCATAAACACAGAAGTCTGCAAGATTGCTGCTTCCAAACTTAAAATTGAAGGGACTCCTGGGGGTGGGTTGCTCGAGCCTACCAGCAATTTATAGTGGGGGCAAATAACACTCTAAGGAGAGTGATTAATCACGCCTTCAATCCGATTCTTTCCTATTAGTTCCTGACACTTTCCAGATGATATCCCAATGAAAAATCGGATCATGAAGCTCTAAGTTGAACAATGAGGGGAACGGCTACGGTGCTAATTGTACAATAGTTAGCACCGTCCTAACCAAGGGAAAAACTACTACTAGTTTGAATTAGTAGTGATTTAGCTTAAATGTTGTATTGATTTTATAATAATCCGTAGTGATTTTTGCTAGTTATCATGGTGCTAACCCCTATAAAGGTTAGCACCTAATCCCATCCCAACAATGAGAAGATGTTTGATCTTTGTCTTCATGCCCATTAGCTGTACATGGAAACACATGGCCCATAGGCCCGTTGGCGTTCTCTAATGCACTATGCCACTATCATACGATTTTGGATTCTAGTTTTGTATTGGGCTCCTTTTAATTTTCATGAATCTAAAATATTAGCGACGGACCTTGTGTGGCCTCGATGTTTCCCAATATTAAAAGTTTTTCTCTGCTTCGAAGTAGGTTTGGTGAAACTAATTACCATGATAATTGTAAATTAATTAAGATATATAATCAGGTGATCCGTCGAGATTGGTAATGAAATAGTGTGATGGTCACCTCAAAATTCGTAACTTATGTGTCATGATCGTGATTTTGAGCAAGGTAGTTAAATTTGTTTGAAGAGTCGAAAAAATCGATTTATCATATAATATGTCATTCTTAGAGAATATATACAGAAAAATCAAAGGAGTACTAAGGGATACTGTCAGAACAGAAGAGTGGCAATCAATAATCTAGATCAACACAAACAAACACAAATTTAACGTGGTTCACTAACACAATGTGTGCTAGCTAATCCACGGGCAGGGGGAACAAATTTCACTGATTTGAGGAGAGTACAGGTTACAAACCAAATTCCAAACGAACAAACCAAACAAACTAACCTGACTGACCTTACTACATACTAGGGTGATGAAGAGTATTTATAGAACTCTTCTCCTAATCCCAAACACAAAACCAAACATTTTTTCCCAAACATACAAGGAAAAGGTCAAAACAAAACTCAAACCCAAACAAAATAGGCTCAAACACAAAACAAACTCAAATCAAATTCAAGTCATATTCTAACAAATACATAATTAAGTGGCTACTGATGTAAGGAGGGAGGAAACTAATAAGGACAAAGATAAGGGCAGCAAATTGCCAAATTTGAAGACAGTTTCTCTTTTCCTCTGTTTCTTAATTGGGATACACACTTTTGCTGAATTTGAACTATTGATAGTGTTATTGAAGAAGTAAAATTGGCAGCCACAAAATTCCACAATGGCTGCACAGTTACGGTTGTTATGTTTCCCATTCCCATAAAGGATCATCGATCCATAAATAAAATCTCAAATAAGAGTTTTTAAAAATATTACATAACCAACCGTCGTAGTTGTTGACTAAACGATGTAATAGCATGAAAGTATCAAACTAAATCAAATTTCATTTCAAACCTCCAAGTTCGTGATCAGCCACGCTATTCGATAGGTATAGAGCTAATAACCAAATAACTAATTAAGATTTATAGCCAAAAACAAATTATGAGTTAAACACCATCTTGTAATATCCTGATTAAGTCAATAATTCAACCATTATTATGTACACATTCACATTTTTCTTCTTCTTTAATTTCTGCCTGCCAACTTCCAATAGCAGGGTCCATTTTATTTTATTTTTTAATGGTATGGCATCTACTGGTCACTGTTACAATAGGATGTGTATCCAATTACCAAGAAGGAAACCACAAAAAAAAAAAAAACTGTCCTTTAATCCCCCTCGTCAGCTGATTGAATGAACAGTATTATCAAAATTAATCAATTTCATTCGAAGACTAATTATTATTTAATTATGGCGGCTGATCAATTTAATTAATAACTAAGCCTTCAAACAAGGCTGTGCGCGCAGTCGACTTCTTCCTCGTTGGTTCTCCATTGGCTGCGGCTTACCAATAGATCAATTAGTAACAATTGAAAAAAATAATCTCTAGCTAAGAGCCTTTTCGACATTGACTGGCGGCTGACCATCAAATTGCTATTATTCTAGCAGGGGATGCTATTATATATCCAGAAATCAGAATCCAATGTTTGTGGAAACAATTAGTGTATAGTAGAATAGATAATGGGAGGAAACAACTCTCTTTAACTCTTGAGATGATATATATGAGTCGGTTCACCCCGAACTGTATCGAACGTGTCCAACCCATTCAATATTTACATTTATTTTAAACACAAACAATTAGATCTGTCATTAGCAGCAAGTCGTTAGGACTTAGGGTAATGCAATCTCATTGAGGGGAGGAAATAAAAGTAAAGATTATAACAATTATAACTCAGCGCATTTTTCATTGAACTCAAATGAACATAACGATCTCGATATTGATACGTACAAAGACTATGAAATATGTGGTTTTTTCCATTCTTCCATTAAAATATATATATGACTTTCTTTTGTTCACTCGATGTTATAAAATATTCTACTTAATTAGAAAATGTTCATGGAAGAAAGAAAATGTTCATGGAAGAAAGAAAAGTTCCACGTTGAAACTTTTGGAGGAGTAAATAATTCATTGAGAGCTGTTAAACAAAGTATATATAATATATTTCATACAGAAACCCTTGAATTAATTTGGAGGAGAATTTATCATCATATGCAGCTGTTTTCCAAGTTCAAATACTTAAATTAGAAAGTGAGAGATATTTTATAATCTGTTCATCATTTTTATTTATAATAATCAAGGCCGCCGAAGCCGATCGATATATTCATCGAGCAAAAGGAGGTTATCTTATGAATATATAATATTTTTGTCCATTTCTCTCCTAAGTCCCAACACCAAAACTAGCTTGCTGGTAGACACTATTGACCAGCCCATTCTTTTTTGTCAAACTAAGAATAATTGAACAAAAGAAAGGAAGAAACGGTCAAATTTCCCTTTCATTTCATTTATTTGCGTTGGTGTGACGTTCACATCAACATCACATGCAATAATATACGATTTTATTTCATTATTAATCAAGTATAGACAACACCTAACCAATAATCAAAGGATTTAATCTCTTACATTATTATATATTTTCATTTCTCGAATCCTTTCCGTCCCCTTTGTACCTATTACCCGCCACAACTTGGTATGCAACTTCGTATCAATTTCCACTACCAACCATTCCTCTCTCTATAGTATATAAACCCTACCGTTGTTCCCCCTTCAATTATTTCTCATCATCATAAATCCCTTTTCTTCACCATCAAACTCCACACAAAAAAACATGGCGACCACAACGTTAATCGACTATGACAACCCCTCCACCCTTCTCATCCTCTCCCTATCAACCCTCATCGCCCTCTTTTTCCTCCTCCGCCGGAGCCTCAGGAAGACGGCGGCGCCGTTTCCTCCCGGCCCCCGCGGCTACCCGCTCATCGGCAACATCCTGGACCTCGGCAACATGCCCCACCGCACCCTGACCGCCATGCGGGAGAAGTACGGCGACGTCGTCTGGCTCAAGTTCGGCGCCAAAAACACCATGGCCGTCCTCTCCGCCAAGGCCGCCGCCGAGCTCTTCAAGAACCACGACATCAACTTCATGAACCGCAACCTCACCGAGACCACCAAGTCCCACGACTACCACCAGGGCTCCCTCGGCCTCTCCCCCTACGGCACCTACTGGCGCGTCCTCCGCCGCCTCGTCACCGTAGACATGCTCGTCCTCAGGAAGATCAACGACGGCGCCCCCGTCCGCCGGCGCAACGTCGACAAGTTGATCGACTGGGTCCGTGACGAGTCCTCCCCCGCGGCAGGTAGACAATACAAACCTTTAAAGTAAAAAAGTTGAGCATAGTTTTTGTTTGACCAAGTAAAATAAAATAAAAAATCATTTTTAATACTAAATATTACTTCTTTTGAAATTTCATTTATCATGACCTCTTGAGTTGAGTGTGTTTAAAAATTTGTTTTTATCACGAACGTGACAGGTCATCAACAACCAGCGCGTGAGATCCACTTGGCCCGACTCGTGTTCCTGACCACGTTCAACCTGCTGGGCAACCTGCTCATGTCCAAGGACCTGGTGGGCTCGGACTCGAACGATGCGGACACATTCTTCGAGGCGATGATGAAGCTGATGGAGTGGAGCGGGCACGCCAACGTGGCCGATGTGTTCCCCTGGCTGCGATGGCTTGACCCTCAGGGCTTGAGGAAGAAGATGGACCGGGACCTTGGGATCGCGCTAGGGGTTGCTTCCAAGTTCGTCAGGGAGAGGATCAACCAAGGAGAGAAGAAGAAGGAGAAGGAAGGCGACAAGAAGGACTTCCTCGACGTGATGCTCGAGTTCCGAGGCAACGGGAAGGACGAGCCCGATCGATTTACCGAACACCAGATCAACATTTTCATCTTGGTAAGTTTTCACTTTTTAGTTTTTACGATACCTTAATCTTTTAACATTTTCATCTTGGTAAGTTTTCAACATTTTAATCTTTTATCTTCCTGGAGTCAAAGTCAAACGAATTTGTACGTTCTCACGAGTCATGTCATACCAACTTTGACCACTGAACATTGGTAAAAAAAAAACGGCCGAAATTGTTGAGAGCCAGCCACCAGCCACCTACTGCCACGTCGATCGATAACGAAAACTCCTCCTTTTTTCTGACTTATTATTGCAGGAGATCTTCTTGGCGGGATCGGAGACGAGCAGCAGCACGATCGAGTGGGCAATGACGGAGCTCCTCCGCCACCCGGAGTCGATGTCCAAACTGAAGTCCGAGCTGGACAAAGTGGTGGGACCCGACCGGAAAGTGGAGGAGTCCGACATCGACGACCTCCCGTTCCTCCAATCCGTCATCAAGGAGACCTTCCGCCTCCACCCGCCGCTCCCTCTGCTGGTGCCGCGGCGCGTGGAGGAGGACGCAGCCTACATGGGCTACCACGTCCCCAAAGGCACGCAGGTCCTGGTCAACGCCTGGGCGATCGGGCGGGACGCGGAGGCCTGGGGGGACGACGCGTGGGGGTTCAAGCCGGAGCGGTTTTTGGGGTCCAAGGTGGACTTCAGGGGCCAGCATCACCAACTGATCCCGTTCGGAGCCGGGCGACGGGTCTGCGCCGGGTTGCTGCTGGCCCATCGGATGGTCCACCTGGTGTTGGGGACGTTGGTCCATGAATTCAACTGGGAGCTTACCGTTGACCCCAAGGATCTGAACATGGATGATAGGTTGGGGGTGACTATGAGGAGATTTGAGCCGTTGATGGCCGTGGCAAGACAAGTCAGGGAGTGATGATAATGTTCGTACGTCCATGGTGACGTCCCACTTTGACCTTGGAGCAAAATGTGTTTTGGTTTTTCTCTTCCTTGAATAATGATATAGTCACAGTATAAGTATTCATTGTTTTGTTCTACGTATAGTACGTTACGTGCAACTTAAAGTTCGTATCGTACCGATCGAGCTAATAATAATGTATGTTTGGTCAGTACTATCCAACACTGATTTTGCAATATAGTAAATTTTAATTAATTATGTGCCGGATAATTATTATCAGCTGGTTCTGGACACCCCCTCCCCCAATTCCTTCTTTATAATTCCTAAAATTTCACTTCTCAACTTGTAGATCTGTACAACTAGCAGTTTTTTTACAGAAACCTGATACAAAGTGCTACTAGAGGGTACGTGGAGGAATGATGGATACAAGTGTGAATTCGAACCTGTGGATTACTGGATTAAGACTGACAACCAACAACATAACCACTCAGTCACGATCTCGATCTCGGTCTCGGTCTGGTCGCATACAACTAGCAATTTTTATTTTTCTATGGGCCAATATAGGTATAGCCCACACAAACAGGGCCCGTATGTGGCGGCTAGTTGGGCTCCTTTTGGACCGTTCTCTCGCATAATGTAAAACGTGGCCGCTGGCCCACACCATCGTAACTCAGTCGGTCAAACTGAGTGGGAGAAAGATTCCCAAAATGGCACGGCGGCCGAGCCTAGCGCCTTAGCCTTTGTGGTTGGTAGTCACATATTCGTCTCCTAACTAGAACTAGAAAGTGACCCAAGTGATCCAAATTGCAGGACTACAATGGACATCCAATATTTTATGTATATAAACTTGTGAGACGGTAATGATCGATCAATCCTTATTAGACAATGATATATATATATATATGATCAATTGAATATGAAGATTATTTTTGTATCATTGCGTTACTTTTAACAATGGAAAATGTATAAGCAAATTTCTTCTATATTACAAGGCTAACAATTTCACACTACAAGTCAATCATCTCCGGTCAAGACGCATCTCCTCGAGTCTCTTGCTGATTCTATATAAGTAATCCAACCCGACAATCAGCTCGACGATCGCCGCCTCCGTCTTCGCTCTGTCAGCAAAATACAGCGTCTGGACCAACAAGACATGTGTTTTCGAATCCGCCTCCTCGTGATGCTCGCGCTCGAAGTTCCTCACCGCCTGCCACCTCAGCATGTTGTGCGCCAGCGGCAACAGCCACTCCAGCACTCGCGCCACCGTCTGCCTCCATGCTGCGGCAACTGTCGCATCATACCCTACAGAGGATACTCGACACGTAGCGTGATCTCGCAACCGCTTTCTCAGCACGCTGCGCAGGCTCCCGGGAAGCATTCCGTAGAGCTCGTCTCGTGACGTGGATTCGATCTCATGAGGCGCTGACACCATTTTCTCGATCACGGTGATTAAGTTCGCGTAGTGTAGGTACAACCCGGTGTCACCTAAAGTGGTTGGCGCCGGGTTGATCAGTTGTCCCCTCTTGGATCCCAAAAAGGCTAATTTGGAGTAGATCGCCTCAGCTACAACCGTCGAGGAAGAACACGACGCCTGCTGCTCTGGCTCTTCATTTTCCCCTGCCACCACCGGAGAATTGGACACGTGGCGGAGGGAGCTTCCGATTTGGTTCCTGTCTCGATTGTTGTGCATACATCCATTCAACCCACCAACGTCGCTCAACCGTGTTCTCGACCGGCGATGGCGGCAGCCACGTGGAGGGGATGGCGGCAGCGAGGGTTCCAAATGGCCGATTTTCCCCTGTTCGGGTCTGTACCTGAACTTTTTCCGGGTTGGGCTGCCGACACCCGGCGAAGGATGTACAGCATAGTAATGCTTCATGATCGACGACATTGACTGGCTCCGAGTCAAAGCAGGACCGCCTGCCGGATTCCTTGATTTCCGGCGGAAGGCGATCCTGTTAATCTGGCAGACGGTTTTGATCCTCTCGAGAATCGTGAGGAGAGATCTGACGAGCAGTCGGACGACGTAGTCGTAAGATCGGATCCACGGGGAGATTGCTCGAAAGTTTCGGATCTCCGTTCGGTGCCAGAGCACCCTCTGCTGCGATTCCAGCAGCTTGATCGGGTCGGTTTTCGGGTTCCCGAGCATTCTCCGGCGAGACCGCTCCAGCTCCGCCAGAACGTCGAGCTCCTGTGCCAGAACCACCATCACTCCGGCGAACCTCTCCATCTTCTTCACCTTCCTCTCCATCTTCTTCGGCCGGTACTCCCACCCGAACCACTCCAGGTGGTTCCGAATCGGGTCGCTCACAAACGTGTCGAACCGGCTGAACCTCGGGTCGGCGCATTTCTTCCCCAATTCCGCCACCGAGACGGCGACCTCGGCGAAGTTGTCGAGGATCTCGTTAAGAGCCAATTCCATCAGGTAATCCCCGTCGCCGGAGACCAGCATCCGAACGCCGATCGTGCCGGCGACGTCGTCCCGGAGAGTCCGTGTCTCGCCGTCGCCGAGAAACCGCCATAGGTTCACTACTTTTGACATCAGCTTCGACACCTCGAACGCTAAAACTCCGATGATCGCTCGGTCGGCCTCCGGCGGCACAGCTTTCCTCGAGTGCCGTATGAAGTTCCCCAGCCATGAATCAACGACCATTGTCTGGATTAGATAAACGAAGAAGAGTACAGTTCGTCGGAGGTATGCTATTTATCGGGAATCGATTAAAGAGGAAAACAGAGTGGAACAGAGTAGATTGCCGCCATTGTTAACATCAAGAAAATTCAGGGGTGACGGAAGGTTTGACCCCAGAACTTTACCTCCATCGGATACAATAATTGATGGGAAACCCAGATCGAAAGAGCGCTGGTTGAACAGCTTTACGGCGGGGGAAGTAAGACAGAGGGGAGAATCGATGGGGTAAAAGAAGGAAGGAACGCCATTAGAGCTGGAAATTTTTGGGCCGAGGAACAGAGGAATGCGAGCTGGAAGCGGCAGGGTATATTGCAAGGAGAGAGCTAGAAAAACGAAAGACTAGAATAATTGTTTGTATGGATTAAAAATGGTGGTGGGGATGAGGAAAGACGACGAGGGAGGGAACCTTTTGTTGGAGTTTGGCCGGCGATTACTGCGAGGCGGGAAATTTGTACAGCGCGGAAACAAGGAAGGATTCTGTTGTTCGTCAGTATTATACCCGAGTTTTATGCCTGCAGACACCGAGGGATACGAATACGATCCCGGTTACTCTTTTAAGATTCATCGAGGATAATTAGGCCACAGGCCAGGGTAAAAAAAAAAAGACAACAGGAAGAGTTTTTATGGGATTGGAATATATCATTGTATCATACAATTGTAATTCCATTGATAATTTGGATATTCTCAATGTTCTGTATTATCATTCTAATCAAGATTGAAAACTTAAACCCTACATAATTAAAAGCTGACGAATAAATTGTATTTTCTTCAATTGTAATTGTTGTACATTTTATCTAATCAATGTATAAATTTCGGATAGACTCTCTATTTTTGTTGAAGAATTGGTGAGGAGTTTGATGGCAAGACACTCATATAGTTTTTTTTTTTGGGGGGTTTAAGACACTCAAATAGTTTATTGAAGTTGATGAGTTTAATCTTGTTTTGAGATATTGGATTTTTTTCAACAAATAACACAAGAGGTAAATACCAGCATAAGTTGGGGCACTCCTTATTCATTCATTTCGATGTTCTACTACTATATCAATTTGTTAGCCAAGCCTATGTTAGTGAAAAGAGAAGCTCCCCTGGCGCTAATCAAGAGAGAATCACCAGGGACGTGGCGTGGAAGCCGCCTCCGGAAGGATGGGTCCAGGTTCAAACCGATGGATAAGTTTTGACGGATTCTGGACAGGCGGTGGCGGGGGGAATCATTCGTGATCACCTGGGGAGATGTTTGAACTCCTTCGTCTGCAACCTTGGTTCTTGCACGATCACTAATGCGAAATTAAAAGGAGTTGTTGAAGGTTTGTCTTTCGCTTGGCAGTCTGGGTTCAGGAAGGTGCTGCTTAACCTGGACTCTTCCACGGCCATAACCATAATCAAGAATAGCAATGACAGTAACCATCGTCATGGTCTACTTGCTCAAGACATTAATAGGCTTCTGAATTTTGAATGGGAAGTTAGAATCTCCCATGTTTTCAGGGAATGCAATTATGTTGCTGATTTCCTTGCTAGAAAAGGTCACCTTTTTCCTTTTGACACACGTCACACACATCCATTCGATGAATGCGACCCTAAGTTTAGATATTGATTGTTGTACGATATTATAGGGACTACACAGTCCCATACATTTATTAATATGAATTAAGACGCTTTTGCGTCTGTCTTCCTAAAAAAAACTTGTTAAATGCGAAAACGAAATAGTACCACTTACACGAAGCAAAATAACTTGGCATTTTCTGTTTGCTAGTGCCTGTGGGCTGTGATACAACCTCACCCAATTTTATATGGGCTCCCGATGTGCAATGGCTCAGTAGGCCTAGTCGAGTTGGGCCTAGTTTTAATATATTGTCCCCACCAGTTTGTATTTATTTACTTTAAAATTGTTGGAACTCTAAGAAAAAGGTTCGCCCAATTATCAAGGGGCATCAGTCAAACAAACTCTCTCTCAGTCGCCGTTTGTCGGAATGCACAAAAAATTTGCTCCGTCCATTAGCTAAAGAGTAATAAAGAGAAAGATACAAATTTTTTCAAATATATATTTCAAATCACAAAAAAAAAAAAAAAAAAAACTCAAATGGGAGGAAAATCGAGTCTTTGAATTTTAAAGCTCCTACTAAAGAAGACCTAATCCGCCCTTCACATGGTTACCACTTCGCACTAGGGGGCATATTCCCCATTTGGTGTATCATTTAATGAAATAAATGATCACTTAATCTGGAGGCAATACCTAAAAAAGACCTAAACCAATCTTGGGACTCTCCAATTTATAGATCTTACTATTCTCACCTCGATGGAATAAAACTTATACAAACGTTTTAATAGTGTCAACTTTATATCTCAAAATCTTTCAATTTTTATAGAGTTAACAATACGACGACTCAAGTTACTATTGTGGATAGATTTTTTTTTTTGCATTAAAGGAGGCCGTGGCCAAGAAGGGGGGTTACAGGAGGAGATTACAAAGTATGAGGGGCATGAGCCACTATCCTGCGCTCAACAGAAAAACCCCTCGCATCCTCTTGGAGGATCGAAACAAGTTCGGCAGGCGGGTGTGCCACTATCCTGCGCTCAACAGAAAAACCCCTCGCATACTATTGTGGATAGATGTAGTATTTTGATTTCACTTTGTCCACAAACATGATCATTAATTGGGTGTTTATAAGAGATGTTGTTATATATAGTTTGGACTCAAGAGATAGGCATGATTTGTACATACTACATTCTTGATATTATTTATGCCTCGAACATATGTGCCGATGAAAACAGATTAATATTCTAAAAAGTTACGAACATAATCTGAATTCTTGATCCAAATTCCAACTAATGGATACTCCGACAATATTGTGTCTATAACCAAAACCCAACGCTACGTATAATGCATTAGCCATTTTGCTCTTCTATTATGCACCTTTTCCATTTGCACAAAATCCTAACATTTGGAGGATTGTCTTGTTTTTATTTTATTTTATTTCTTCATATGAGTAACGTAAGTGAGGCGAGGGAAGTAGTCATACAAAAAAGAATTAAAGTGAAAGTGGCGATTTGAACTTTTGTGGCGTGAACATGAAAAAAATCCCACCTTTATTTATATTATTATGGCCCCCGCCTTTAACTGCCTAGCAATGGTTTGACTGGCAATGGCCTCGTTTGTCCAAATTACGTTATTTGAAACCCTAAAATACAAAATCATAAAGGGGAGGTGGATAATCATCATCGTCAATCATCATTTACGTTATTAATTAGCTAGCTTATTTTAATTTTCAGCCGAGTAAAAAGCAATAAAGCAGTAAATAAAAATAACTAGTGATTATTTGGTCAAAATATCTTTGAAATAATGTTATTCCGCATGAAGAATAAATACCGGAGAAACACCTAAACATTTTGTATTTAACATTCTGATCCATTTCCAGATTTTCCATGGATAAACACAAGAGTGAAGAGACCTCTCTCTCTCTCTCCCTCATTCTTCTTCTTCTTCCTCCTCCATTACTAGTTACTCGCCTCTCTCTCTCTCTCTCCCCCTCTACTTATATTTCTTTAACTTCCGAAAGTGAAAAACAAAGCTCTCAGTGCACCTTCTACTTCTGGATACTTACTGGTGTGGCGCCATCGCCAATTTCCTTTTCCCACCTCTCTCTACTTCAGTTTCTGTCATTAACCGACCCTCCCCCCCCTTTTTTTTCTAGTAATGGAGGAAAAGGAAAGTACGGTCTCTGGGTCACTCGGCAACTCGGACACCGACTCGCCTCCGCCCGTCACCAGCCTCCACCCCCAGCCGCCACACCACCACAGCCAGCCCGCCGTGCCCTCAAATGATGCCTTCGGCGGGGCGGTGGTCGAGAGAAGCACGGTTCCCCTCGCCGGCGATTATTTGGTGAAGAAGAAGAGGGGGAGGCCGCGGAAGTACGACGCCGACGGAAACCTCCGAGTCAAGCCGTTTCATCATCAGCATAACACCAACGGTAACAATAACAACTCGGTGCTGAGTTCTGCTACCTCCCCGCCGCAGCAGCAGCCGACGACGATGTTCTCTTTCTCGCCGTTGTCTCCGCCGTCTACGGATCAGCATCACTACCAGCAGCAGCGGTCGTACCCGCCGGCGAAGAGAGGCCGCGGTCGTCACGCTACCTCCGGTAACTGGCAGCTTCTCGCTTCGTTAGGTGAGTTTTTTTTTCCTCTATCGGGAAACTCGAATTTATTATTTTTCTATTATTATTATTATTTTTCCCTTTAATGTATCGAAAATTAAATTTTATTTACTGTTCGGTTGCCTAGAAAACCGTAGGAGAATGGGAGAAAATTAAGGGTGGTGGGAATGACATTTAAGATTTCAAATGGTGTAGGTAGAAGAAATGAAGAATGCATGTGTTGTGTACTTGTGTTGATAGTCTACACAAGGTTTACTATTAAACTCTTTTTAGTGGAAATTGTAATTTAAATTCGTCAAAGAAGTTGGTTAGAATTGGATGCTACGTTGGATTTATAGACCAAAATAGATCAAATGACCCACTAGAGCATAATTTTAGAAAAAAAGGACTAATACACAATAAACATAATATTGCTAGAAGCCTAGAACATAAGTAATTGCCCTGAATCATAACAATTTTTCTTGCCATTAAATTTTAGATATGGGAGTGATTCTTGGTATATTTTTACTCCCTAATCTATGTGTATTTATTCGGTCATTTTAATGCATATATTTGCAATTGCCTGTATTATTGCTACTCATATTCACTTATTGAAAGTTATTCACTTATTGAATCCTATAAAAAAATGCTCACTTATTGTATTGAAGATATTTGTGATTATAATCATGAGTTCGAGGTGAATTATGATGTTAGTAAGGTAGTTAAGTAAACCCTAGCGGTATAGGCCACGTCTGTTGAAGGGGTTGTCAATCTTTTTAATCTCGGTGTGACTTAATATGTTTTTACCTCTTTTTTTAGGGGAGCTGTTTGCAAATACGGCAGGAGGGGACTTCACTCCTCACGTGGTGACTGTAAATACCGGGGAGGTAAAAATGACATTTAACTTTTAGCTGTCTTCCTTTTACCCTGAAATCTCTCTTCTTTTAAGGCCCAATTACTACACAAACGGTCATTAAAGTATTTTGGTCAAAGTTGACCGAATCAAGGTGTGTATCTACTTGTCCAATTTCAGAATAAGAAAGCTCATATAAACCTTGTGATTAGCACCACGTGTAGGGAAGAAGAGATTATAGTGATTTCAGGTAATTTACGAATTAAAATTATATAGAATAATGAGTTTCTTACTTTGGATTTATACGTGTAGGACTGACTAACCACACCAACTAATTAGGATTTTTTGTGGCATTTTTATTATTAACTCTTAATTCTGTACATTATATGAAGTTCTTGATCTAGAAGAACGAAGTGATTATTAGATTTGTAGTTGTTTAGTAAGTGATTTGCTATTAGTGCCAAGTTCTAGTGACCCAAATAGTAATTGGCCTCTGGCTCTGTTATATACCACAAGACAAATTTCTTCTTGGTTTTCTTTTTCCTCTCTCTTTTTGGAATTGCGCGTAATAACTTCAATCAATGTAACCATTTTCACACTTTCTTTTTAAGTCCCATTCTTTAATGGGTTCTTCTTTTACCCACCAAAAAAATAATAATAACTCTAGCTCTCTTTGGTTTCACTTTTACCCCAGGACGTTGGCGGTAAAATTCTGTCGCTGTCTCAAAAGGGTTCCAGGGGCATTTGTGTTCTCTCAGCCAACGGCACCGTCTCAAATGTCACCATTCGTCAACCTGGCTCCTCCTGCGGCATTTTGACATACGAGGCAAGCTCTCTAGCTAATCTAAACGATTTAAGTAATGTAGGCCGAAATAATCTTGTGAGTAGATCGTTCGTCATTCTTAATTACTTATGGTGTGTTCATTTGATGAATGGCAGGGGAGGTTTGAAATACTGTCACTGACGGGATCATTCACAGTGTCCGAAAATGGAGGGAAGACCAGAACAGGCGGCCTGAGTGTCTCCCTAGCTAGCTCCGACGGCCGTGTCATCGGCGGCGGCGTTGCCGGACTTCTCTTGGCCGCCACTCCTATCCAAGTAAGGAATCTTGTATACGTTATGTGGCCTTTATCAATTCGTTAGTACCTTAACAATTAATTTATCCAAACTTATTTTTCAATGGTGGTAAAGATGGTTGTAGGTACCTTTATGCCGAATGGCTACAAGGTCCAGAAGAGAAAGTACACTCACCGCGACCAGCAGCATTACTCGTTGCCTCAGCCGGCAACTTCCCAGACCGCCGCGGCCGCCCCCCAGCCGACGGCCATCCCGCAGCAAGCTGCAAAATGCGAGGCGGCGGCGGCTGCACCACCAACTTCCTTGCCAGGACAGAGCCACCACGTGACGGCGGCGGCAGCGGCAGCGGATAATTACAATATTAATGACGGGAGGCAATTCTCGTTCCACGGTAACAATAGTAGCAATCATAACAGCCACCATAGCTCCTACAATCACGAGCGTCCCGATTCTGGTTGGAACAATGGAACGACGATGGCCATGAACTCAGGGATCCACAGACCGTCCCCTGACATCAACGTTTCAGCTGCTAGCGACGAGGATGTTCCACCAGGTACACGTGGCTGATGTCTAGTAGTGATCTAATTTTTGGAGGGTGAAGATTTGCAATATCTGAAGCAACGAGTTCCTGTTGTTTTCAGGTGTGTTCTGATTCAGTTAGATTCCGAGGGTAAAACGCTACTGGGAAAGTTGGGAGGAGGGAAGACTGTGGTTGATTGTTTAGCTAACTTTGTTCTTGTCTTGGATTAGTAATATGCTTATTTTTACCGAGAGTTCATTAGGAAACCTTTAACCTCATCACAACTTGTTATTTCCTCTTGTAGTCAAATGTTGTGGTTGTGGAGTAGTAGCTTTTTGCTTTGCTGCTTTACATGTTCTGTTCTGTCCTGTTCTTGACAGGGAACCAATACTTCCATATGCAGTGTTTTATTTGCTGTGATTTGGAGAGAACTTGCATGATATGATTAGCATGAATTCTTTAGGCTTTCTTAGGTTTCATGTTTGTTAATACTCATTAGTTCGCATCTTTTCATAGACTAGAACGAAGGCAATGCATCTGTGTGATTCGTACATACGTACCTATAAAGTTCTCGTGGCCAGCGTCGTTAGGACAACTGGCCCGACGATGTTGATGAGATTGGCTAGCCATGAAAGGTCCAAGTTCAGTTCGACTTCCTTCTCTTCGTCCTTGGCATTGCCGCCGGCGTCCTTGGATTTTCGAGGCAAGGTTGCCTTCAGCTTCAGCTTTGCTGGCATGCCTACAGATCGAGAGAACACTCTGTTCCCCTGTTTGTGTTTCAAGATATGAGACTTGGCCCTTGGGCTTGGTTGAGGAGCGTGCGTGGTTGTACTATTTTCTAGTAAATAGTACTATTTTCTTTAACGTCATTTTAGAATGCATATTGTTACGAATTTTGAATTTAACATTGAGAATATGTACTTTATTCGAAAAAATAGTGGCACGATGGAAGGAAAAAAAAAAAAAATATATTCACATGCTTCACTAAAAGCACGCTAAAAAATAAATTTGTTACCAATAAGTAACAAGAAGAACGGTGAATCAGATTATGACAAATTCAAGCAGAGTTGGAGGCATTCTTGTTTTGAATTCCAGTGCACGCTCTTTAGCTATATGAGCTTGTTCTTCTGTGCAAAACCAATTGTGAACTCCACAAAAACCAGGTATGGTCAAACCTCTATCAATAACAAATCTCTCCAGCCCGATGAAATACTCGAAAGCATACTCAACAAACTCACAATCGAGGTCGAACCCATTGAACCCAACGATCTCCAACTCTTTGATGCTCGTCCTTTTCACTTTATTCACCACAAGAGGCTCCCGTAAGAGACGGCTTTTCTCTCGCGACATGGTCGTAACCACCTACATCCAAAACAATTGATCAAGCTATAGTGAAAAGTAAAAGCTAGCCAAATTATACGAAACAAATAAGAAGTCGATCGATCATTTAAACAATAACACAAAAGACCGCATGTCACTTGAATCATGATCGAGATCCACCACTGCGACATAAAAAGAAAATCAAGATGATGATAACAATCCCCAGAACTTAATTAACTTACCAAAACTCTCAATGTGTGCAAGCGAGGACAAGCATTTATCAAGGTAGTCCAACCAAGGATGCTTCTGTGACCTTGTGTAGGAAAACTTTTCAATGTCAGCCGCTCCACGCAGGTTAGTTCAGCCAGATTCGAAGGAAACATAATTGCCGTCTACAACAAACAAATAGACAAGCATGCAGCTGTTAGCTAGTAAGGAAACATAAAGGGAAATCTACAAGTAGCTAATAATTCGAGTTATCGAAATGAAAATATATTTTGAACTCGATCATGATCCACTCACCGTGTCCATTTTCAGGGTAAGCGTCCGCACCCGAGCAACATAGGCAGAGAGGGCTCGGAAAGCCATTTCAGGGCTGCAAAAATCAAACCCTAAAGTCAACTCCACAAGACGGTGACAGTCGTTGTGCACCATCAGTTCCTCCGTTCGATCATCGACGCCGTGGTAGTGCAAGTGAGTGAGCTTAGGAGCATCCCCGATCTCCAGCACTCTCAGCGACTCGCATCTGTTCACTTCCAAGTACTTAAGCGCCCGAATGCGTCGTAGCCTGAGATTCACAAGCGAATGTGAGTGATACACAACCAACCGTTCGAGTAAAGGACAGTTGGCAACAAAATGCTCGACAACCTCTCCTCGTACGTCCACGAAACCCAAGCTGAGCGACCTCAGGAGCTTGATGTCGGATGCCCGAGTTTTGATGTGATCGAAACAAGCCTCGGGGAAAACATAATGGTGACTACGATTGTCGGTGAAGTAGAAGAGGTCTAGGGACTCGACTGTCTTTGATGCCAACGCGAACTCGAGCCATCGATCCATATCCCCACCCGAGTTGCACTCTTTCTCCAAGAAGAACTGAACTCGGAACTCGCTGATGACCGGAGTTGAGCCATCGTCATCCTGAAGCTGCCTCAAGACTCCGTTCACCCAGTTGATGTACCAACGCCTTTTCTCCTGCACCCACGTGTCCCTCTCCTCGTCGCTCGAGTAAGGCGGGTTGAGGCATGCGATCCCACGAAACACTTCTTCAGCGTCGAAGTTGAGCACCGTGACGGACGATTTCCACAACTCTGTCCACCTGGTCGACAGGACCGAAGTGGCGGCTGCTTCTTTGAGGGTCAACATGGACACGACTTTGCCGAGGATCTCATCCGGCAATTCGCTAATCCGGTCGACATCGATACTACTACTACTACGGCTCAATCCAGAGCCGTCGGGCGCCATTCTTTCTCGTTGGCCGCGGGCGGATCTTTCTTTCCCTATCTTGTGTTCTCTAGCTAGATAATTCGTTAGAGAGAGTTCTGATTCGCACGGCACGTCTTCGGTGTTCTATTGAGGACAGAAAGAAAACGTCCATATATATAACCCTAGCGTGCCAACGTACTCTCCCTTTTCCTTATGGACCACCAAATCCTAGTTACATATTTACTTTTACCTTGCCGAAATGAAAGAAAATGCTATATACATTTTATTGAAATTCTAGTATTCTACTTTCAATGTTTTTATTTGGGTAAATTCCACGTTTCATCTTTGGATTTATTAAAAAAATGTCATTTTTAGTCACTAAAAATATTTAATTGCAATTATAGTCACTCAAATTTGCAACGGTCCACGTTTGGTCACTATTCATTAGTCTCTGTCCAACTCCGTTAATGGAATCCGTTATGTGCTGACGTGGCAAAATTACTCCATTTTTCGGCTTAAATTACTCCATTTTTGAAGTGTCAACTAACGCTCAAACGAACGGAAAGTTGACGATTTGGATATTAGATTGTTTTCGAGAAGGTTTGGCTATTATATTGTTTAAAATGAAAGGTTTGGATATTAAATTGTATTTACCTAAAAGAAAACAATACTTGCCCTGCCCACTGGAAAATATGTGTAGCTATCTTGCATAAAATAAAGCAAAAACGGAGCACATGATTAACTTAAGATAAAAGTAATATTATTTTATCGTCTAGTTGGTGGTCGAGAAGGAAAAGGAAAGACTCTTGCCCGCTAGCTAAACGGGGTTAGCTATCTCAATCTAATAAGCTTAGCTAGGGTTACATATAGATGTTTCTGTCACTACCATGATTGCTCGCTCGCTCGCTCAATATAAAACCAAAGGTGCTCTCTCCGATCCGAAACTACGTACAGAACACAAAATAGGGAAAGAAAGATCCGCCGCCGGCCACCAAGAAACAATGGCGGCCGAATATGACTCACGATTAAACCGCAACAATAGCCGTGGTATTATCGATGTTGACCGGATTAGCGAATTGCCGGATGACATCCTCGGAAGAGTCGTGTCCATGTTGACCCTCAAAGAAGCAGCCGCCACTTCGGTCCTGTCGACCAGGTGGACAAACTTGTGGAAATCGTCCGTCACGGTTCTCGACTTCGACGCCGGAGAAGTATTTCATGATATTGCTTCCCGCAATCCGCCTTACTCGAGCGACGAGGAGAGGGAGGCATGGGTGCAGGAGAAAAGGCGTTGGTACATCAACTGGGTCAACGGAGCTTTGAGGCAGCTTCACGACGACGACGATGGTGCCTCGAAACCGATCATCAACAAGTTTCGAGTCCAGTTCTTCTTGGAGAAAGAGTGCAACTCCGATGGGGACATGGATCGATGGCTCGAGTTTGCGTTCATGTCAAATAATAGACTCGAGTTCTTGGAGCTGTTCTACTTCACTGACAGCCGTTCCCATTACGTTTTCCCCGAGGGTTGTTTCGATCGCATCAAGACTCAGACGTCCGACATCAAGCTCCTCAGATCCTTGAGCTTGAGCTTCGTTGATGTACGAGGAGAGGTGGTCGAGCATTTCGCGGCTAACTGTCCCTTGCTCCCACATCTGGTCCTGCATCAATCACACTCTCTAGTGAGTCTCAGGCTGCGACGTATTCGGGCGCTGAGATACTTGGAAGTAAGCAGATGCAGGCCGATGAAAGTGCTGGAGATCGACGATGCTCCAGGGCTCACTCACCTGCACTACCATGGCCAAGATGATGGAACGAAGGAATTGCGGGTGCACAACAATTGTGGCCGTCTCGTGGAGTTGACACTAGGGTTTGATTTTTGCAAGCCTGAGTTTGCTTTCCGCTCCATCTCTGCCTACGTTGGTCGGCTGCAATCCCTCACGGTGAAAATGAGCCCCGTAAGTAGCAATTGCTTGCTCGCTGCGAGAATATGTTGATTCCAATAATTCCAACTGGAGTTTTCTTTCATTTAATTTGCTCACTAGCTAACTGCATGTTTATTCGTTTGTTTGTTGTAGTCAGTGATTAGGTTTCCTTCGAATATGGCTGAATTGACTTGCCTGGAGCGGCTAACATTACAAAATTTACCTGCGCAAGGCGACATAAGCATCCTAGGCTGGAGTACATGGATAAATGCGTGTCCTCGTCTGCACACATTGAGAGTTAAGGTAAATCGATCAATATTAGGATCCCCATTATCTTATTGAGTTTCTTTTCATAACGAAAAATCACAACGCATACGTTTTTTTTTTGTTTCCTTTTACTCGAACAAGATGAATGACTTCTTACATGTTCGTATTAGGCTAGCTCTTATGTTTTTTTTTTTTTGGTTTAGTATAATCTTCCTAATTTGTTTGATTGTTTCTGATGTAGGTGGCTACGACCATGTCGAAAGGCAAAAGCCTAAGACTGTGGAAGGCTCCAGTGGTGAATAAAGTGAAAAGGACGAGCATCAAAGAGGTCGAGATTGTTGGGTTCAATGGCTTCGACCTTGATTGTGAGTTTGTTGAGTATGCTTTCGAGTATTTTATCGGGATGGAGAAGTTAGTTCTCGACAGAGGGTTGACTATACCAGGTTTTGGTGGACCTTACAACAAGTTTTGCACAGAGCAACAAGCTCAAATAGCAAAACAGCGTGCATTAGAGTTCAAATCAAGAGCACCACCAACACTACTGCAATTTGACGTTGTCTAGGTCGTTTGTTTTCAGTAACATTATTATTAGAGACAAATATTGGTTTACCCAACTTTTGGTCCAAAATTGTAAAAAAGTATTAACACTACACTTGAGGGTGTTGTTGCATGATTAATTACAACTTCTTGAGAATAAACTGATTTGCACTTAAACCACACAATCCATGTATCATGGGCGATTACAAACCCAAAGCCCAAAGAATATAATTATGCTAATTAATCATGTTATGCAAGTTGATTGGCATTTAATTATGGGAGCTCAATATTTTAAAATCGGTTGTCTAAGCAAGCGAACAAAAACGATATTTATCGCATGGACCATTTGTAAAGTGGTATATGCATGCATGGCAAAACTTAATTTGCCATTTCACTTTCTAATTGCTGGTGTTCTGATTCTTTTATGAAAAAGGGTTAAGTCTCACTCATTTGTTATATATTAATCGATTTCTTTATCATGGAACAAGTGGTTTACTACGCTGCATAATTGGCTAATTGAAATTAGTTTCATATTTGATGCCAATATGTGGAGCCAAATATACAATGTTGTCAAATTAGTTTATACCGTTACATTGATTTAAAAAGTGATATGGTTCAATCGCGGTAAAATTTATTTATATGTGACTTTACGGTGGGTTTAACAAAACATACGAGAAGTAGAAAATCATTAACACCAAATGAATGGTGCATTAGTATAATTTATCTTAATACCGTTCTCATATAATTATAATCTCCATCCATATTTCAATAAAATACTACATTATAAATAAAATGATAAATCAATATATTTAAATACAATGTTTAAGGTAAAGATTTAAACGCTTTATATTTGAATTCAATAGATAACATCTTAATGCTCATACTCAATTCCAATAAATTTCTTTCTTTTTGTAAGTTAATTCCACCAAAATGACGCCATTATGGTTTTAGAGACTGGAAATTCACTGTTTAGGTCGATCACTCTTTTTCCTGTTTCTACATCTTATAACCGATTTTGGCCACCGCTTTATAACGATGGTCTTCCCGTCGATTTTGTCTAATACCAATTGAACTTGGCTACTGTACCGGCCGACGTACCAGTAGGGCTGGCAATTTGGTCCAGGACTGTTTGGTTTACCCAAACCGGACAGTGTAACCCGGACCGAGACCGGATAGCAAACAATCCAATCTCATATTCGGGCTTAGATTTGAGGTAAAAAACCCGGATAAAGACCGGATAAGAGACCCCAACACTCAAATCCCCACAAGCTCAATCTAAAATCAAAATCAAATTGGGACCGGACCGGGTCAAGACCGGAGTGTATCCAATCCAATCTTTGGTCCTTATATTCCCGAAAAGACCGGAATGGGATAGGATCAATTTGGTCCAATTTAACCGGACCGGACCGTATAGCCACCCCTACGTACCAGTAGTTTAGAATATCCAAAAGAGCAACATGTCACTAAAGGGTCGTTTGGAAGTTGAGATTCTTCAAATATGTGTATTTGATGAATACATCTATTGTAAATACAAAGATTGTAAGAATTAGATGATTGGAAGAATGTCTTGTTTGGTTGTAGCCATTCAAAAATTTTAAAGAAAAGAAAAAATCACTTTATGAGCTAAAAGTGAAACAAATTAAAGCCAACAATCTCAAAGGAAGAATCTCACCTTTTTGTTGAGATTTAAAATGAGTGATTGTGGGTGATATGAGATTTGAGGGCCACCTCAAATGTATGTATTGAATAAAGTTTTGGAACAAAAGAACGATGGATTCACCAGAATACATGAATTCAAAGAATCATTCATCTAGAATCATAACTTCCAAACAAACTTTTTCATGGCCGTACATCCAATTATATCAACCCCTAAATGCATGCTTCAACAGAGACATCTAAATCCAACTTGCCAAATCTTGTTTCCATGACTCTTCAGGGCAAGTTGATGGTCAAGCAAGGATTGGATTTCCAATCCCCAAACGAGTTGCATGTCCAAACATGCTGAATGGAATTTTCATGATTATAACCCTTAAAAAGCCCAGTGCATGCGCCCATTTCAATCTCACAACTCTCAACTCCTCATATATTATATCAATATAGTGTATTTTGTTTTGCCTGTTTGTGGACAATGTGTTACTCCAAGACCTCCAATGGCTCCCTGAAGTACTTTGGTGAAGCTCTAGCTGCCCTGCAAGATACTCCGAAGGGTAGAGGCCACAAGGACGCAAAGAGGCGAGTGCAGAATGCCGGAGTGCAGTGTTTGAAGCACCAAACCATTATTCCCTTATTCTTATGGAGTGGAAGAGAAAGACGTTCCCATCATGGTAGCCTTGAGGAGGATGTTCCCAAAGCTGATAATGAGTTCAGGGTCTTTGGGGAATTGGATGAAGCAACAAAGGAGGCCATCAAGAGTGATGCAAGGGATAGTGACTACCCTCTGGACTGAGTATTGTGAGAGAGAAGATATGAGTGGATGGAATTTTTAGTAATAATAATAGGGGCTTGCTATTTGCCGCCAACCAAATTGCTATTTGCCGCCAATAAAAAAAAAAAAAAAATATATATATATATATACATATTAGGGTAAGGAGTTTCACAATCTACAACATATCCAACTTTCAGAGAACATATTGAATCAGAAAAATTCAACGCTCGCCGGAAAATTCGCCGGAAAATCATCGGGAAAGCCTATCCTCGACATATACTGCGTACACGCATCAATGAATCATCACTAAGCAGGTGCGTAATTTTTTTGTAGTTTCGAACAATTTTTCCGACGATTTGAAACGAACAGACGGTGGGCCGAAAATTTCCGGCGGCCGGAACCTGGCCGGGCCGAAAATTTCCGGTGGCCGGAACCTGGCCGAGCCGAAAAATTCCGGCGGCCGGAACCAGGCTGAGCCGCAAGATATTTTCGGCCCGGCCAGGTTCCAGCCACCGGAAATTTTCGGCCCGGGCGGCGTGTTCGTCGGCCGGCCGAAAAAAATTTGCGGCCGCGGCGTCGCCGGGCCGAAAGAAATTTTTGGCCGGCCGTCGCACCGGCCGAAAAAGTTTTTCGGCCCGACGACGTATTGGCCGCAGTTTTTTTTCGGCCCGCCCTGTTTTTCGCCGGAAAACTGGAAAACTTGCCGGGAAACTGGAAAACTGGCCGGAAAACTGGAAAACTAGCCGGAAAAAATAAACTTACTTGTTTTCCGACGAGCTGAGGGCGACGGGAGGTTAGCCGACGACGGAAGAACGGTGCCGGCGACGGAGGCACTGGGCTCGTCAACAGAAGTTTTTGTTGGAATGAGTCAAATGTTCATGGGTATCCGAATTTATAGAATGAAAGGAAGGAAAGGGAGGGAAAATTCAAAATTTGAATTCAAATTTTTTTTTTTTTTTGGTTGGCGGCAAATAGCCGTTCACTAATAATAATGGTAGCTAGCTGGTGTACCAAGTTTAGTAGTGGGCCGGGGTGAACCAATGATTTGATGGTTAGTGGATCTGAGTAACTTAACTAGCATTGCATGGTTTTTATCAAGTTCATATGAATGAATTCGAATATGTGTTGTGTTTTTTCGATTTCTTTTTTAATATTATAGTTAGTTATATAAGAATCGAAGAGTATAATATAAATATGAATGAAAATGTAGTATATAATCAAAATCCGATTTCAAAGAAAACATTCAGTCGAGCCAAAATCCAATTGAATTCAGAAAATCATGATGAACGATCATTCTTTTATTTTGTTGGAAAAACCCTCGTTCAATACTTGTTTGATTTTGTTTTAGAAAACAAAAAAAAAATTGTTGGAAAAACAATCACGTTTTGGTTTCGGGCTCAACTTCAATAAGAGGTGTCAAGGAAAAGGCCCAAAAAATGGGCCTCCGATCCAATTCACACAACCCAGTAGGGGAGGAAATAGAGAGTGCTTCTCTTCTCTTCTCTTCTCTTCTCTTCTCAAGGCTACTAGAAGACACGTGGCACTCACACCGGACAGTCATCGCCACCCTGAACCTTCTAGCGGGCGGCCCCTTCAATTTCTTCTTCACTTCTCCAGCAATTTCTAGATTCCTGAACCGCTCGTTGAACCCTTCCTTATATATAAAGACTCTCATAGCACCCCGATCCGATCCGATCCGATCCGATACCTAACCAAGCTGAGACAGAATTCGAAATATATATACATTCGCCGGGATAACAAAATGAAGCCGATCAACGACAAGGAAGACAAGGTGGTGATACGGGCGGTGAGCCACGACGAGGAAGGCCGGAAGCGGGTGGAGAAGACGGAGCTGTCCACCCACAACATCGACACCATCAAGCACGTCGAGAAGAAGCTGAGGGACAAAGGCGTCCACAGGATGGACCGCCACCCGGTCGACGGCGTCGGGATCAGGAACCCGCCTCCCAAGTCAGGCCACGGTGGTAAGTACACGTGGGAGGGCCCCGGCGACCTGGCGGAGAACGAGATGGAGCCTGTCCCCGCCGCGATCGACGAGAAGGATCCCAACTATGTGGATGAGGAGGAGGAGGAGAGGATTCTGAGAGGGGAGAGGAGCGACGTCGCCGGGATTGTGGTCGGAGAGGTGGAGGTTGCCAAGGTTACCGAAGGCAGGGAAGGCGTCGCAAGGGTTGAAATGGATCCTAAGCTCGTTTGATTTGATGATCAGTGGGAATTTACTGTCAGGTTAATTTTGCTGTTTCATTTTTAGTTTTACTTTCAGTTGATTTACTTGAATCTGCGTGCCGTGGTATAACTATAATAACATGGAAGGTGGGTAACTATGTAATAATTAACCGATGAACGAGAAGTTTTAGAAGGTGTAGTTTCTTTTGACAAATCGTTCTCATTCTATCGTCTCAGACTTTCTTTCGACGAATCGTTTTCATTATCTCGTCTCAGCTATCATCAGGCCGAAATGTCGTAACCCGGCCCACAACCTGAAAGGGTCCAGTTGTATTAGATAATGCCAGGCCCAATTTCAGTGCGCGATTGACCGATAATGACAAAAAGAAAGAGATAGGAATCCACTGACCTTGGTCCCACATGCTAAGTTCATCCGCCGGGTTTGGTTGCATTGCATCTAAAACAGAGAGCTAGCGCCTAGCTTAGCTACCCACATCCACTGGAGTCTCAACATCTCTTTGATCTTTCCTTATTCTCTACTCGATTAATTGCTTCGATTCGCGCAAAAGATAGAACGTCTGCAGTTTGATATCGTAAAAGCAATGGAGTGGTGGAGCAGCAAGAGGAAGACATGGTGGGCAGTGTTGTTGGGTCAGGCCGTTTCGCTATCCCTTGCTCTCAGCGGCTTCAGCACCTCCCTCCTAGCCACTATGGGTCTGTATACAACGCTCCAGTATTCTTCCTTGCTGACTTTCTTGGGTTACTGTTCATTTTAGCAACTCTTTTCCCCGCTCTCTTCTTGTACTGAAGAGACTCGTTTTGGCAGGTTTTGATGCGCCCATAACTCAGAGCTGCTTCGGTTACTTCAGTCTAGCCTCGGTTTACGGCGGCATTCTGCTTCACAGACGCCATACACTGCAGGTTTCTTGGTATTGGTATCTGCTAGTCGGATTTCTGGAAGTGCAGGCCAATTTTCTACGTAACCAGCTTTAGTTTTCTTTCTATTCTTAACTCGAATGTGTCCGATCGAGAACAACCCAGTTCCTGTAATTCCCCAAGGATTCAGTAATCAGATGACTAGTTGTGCGTATTGCTGCGATTTTTTCAGGGACCAAAGCGTACCAGTTTTCCTCAATTACCAGTGTCACACTGTTGGTCTGCTTTACCATACCATGGGCCATCATTCTAACTAGGTTGTTCCTGGGCACCCGCTACTCGATCCTGCAGCTGGTTGGTTCAGCGCTTTGTGTAGTTGGTCTTGCTCTAGTTCTCTTATCAGACGCTGATGGCGGTGGAGGTGGAAAAAAAAAAAGGAATAACTCATGATGTTCCGTTTTATTTTGTAGTTAACCTTCATGTAGGACTAATGAGACTTTTCCCAATTCTGCAGGTGGCTCGATGCCTCTTCTGGGTGACACGCTAGTGATTGGGGCATCGATCTTCTTTGCCTTCTCCAATGTTGGTCAGGTAATTGGAAGTTGTCTTTTTGTTTTTGTTTGTTGCTCTAGAGTGTTCCATCACCCCAATTTTGTACTTCGCTTCTCTGCTGAAATTTGCAGGAATTCATTGTCAAGGACAGAGGTCAGATGGAGATGGAGATGTTGTCAATGCTCGGAGTTTTTGGGTTTCTTTTCAGTTTGGTGGAGCTGTATCCTTTTTGATCACATTCTTGGTGGTTTCTTCAAGGGAAAGGCACCTTTGGTTCAAACGAGTTTTCCATAATTACGTTATTGCAGATCTGCATTTGAGTTGCAGAGTCTAGGGTCAGTGAACTGGTCTGTAGATATGGTGAGTAATGTAACCATATTTTCACCAAAGCTCTCATTTATGTCTTATGAATGAACCCCATTTTGTTTGTATGTTTTTTCAGATATGGGCAATTTCTGGCTACACGCTCTCGATGTTTTGTTCATACTCCATTATTCCTTGGATTCTCAAGGTATTGGTATCTTTTTCCTTATGGTCTTCATCGATCTCACTGCAAAAACAACTTCCATAGATCAGCAGGAATTGTGTTCTATGCAGTGGAGTGGAGCCACAATGTTCAATCTCTCCATCCTCACTAGCAATATGTGGGCGGTTGTTATTCGAACCTTCTTCTACCACCAGAATGTAAGTTATAGACTTAATAGTGTCTGTTTATGCATATGGTTTTGAGGTAGCAACTGCAGCAGTCCTCAAAGTGATGGCTTTGAGACTATCAATTGCAGATGGACTGGCTATACTTTCTTGCCTTCGCAGTTGTGATTCTTGGGCTAGTCATTTACGCCATAAAGTAAGTTTTGATCTGATTTTCTTTTTATGAAATATGCTTGTGCAACGTGTTAGTAATGAGCGACTCGTTTCGACTCTTAACAGTGAGAAGGACCCAGTCGCTAAGCATGAAGTAGACAATGAGAATTTGAGTTCAGAATGCCAACGGCTAGTTGCTGATGAAAATCCAGAGGCAGTTGCTGCTGGAAATCAATGTTTAGTTCCATGAAACAGGTTCAGGACCTCATCAGTATCACTACTCAACGGACATCCGCAGTGTCAGTAGTTAGAACTTAGAAACAGAGAAATTGTCGAAGATGATTAGGGTCTGCCATGCATTCTGTTGACAAAGATAGAAGCATAATGTCATTCAGAAGCCTTGTTGTAAATGAATGCTCAGCTCCAAATCACCAGACTTCTAAGTTAGCGATCATTTCGAATAAATCTGTACTGACGTCTCTTCAGATATGGTTGCCAGTCTCTTCACTCTGAATCACCAGTCTTCTAAGCTAGCCATCATTTCGAATAGCTATTAATCTCTAGTGAAGTCGCTTCAGGTATGGTTGCCAGTCTCTTCAAAAATCCTATCAATTTCAAATCTGGTTTCCAGGCTCTTCTGGGTTTTGAAGTGCAGGGGAATCGATGAACCTGGCTGAGATGAAGCCTGGAAGCAAATTTTCATTGAGCACTCTGTAAAATCATCGAACACACTTCTTGTTTGCTTCAGGAGCTTTCTCTTCCATTTGCTGACTTTCTCCATGCTGTAAAATCATCGAACACACTTCTTGTTTGCTTCAGGAGCTTTCTCTTCCATTTGCTGGTATGCTGGTCGATACCATGGGTCATTATTCTCACTTGGCTGGTGCTGGACACCCGCTATTCGATCCTGCAGTTGGTTGGTTCAGCGCTTTGTGTTCTTGGCCTTGCTCTGGTGCTCTTATCTGATGCTTGGACAGATAGCGGAGGAGGTAAAACTATTCCTGATGTACCATTTTCTACCCTTCGTCAGCATTAATGGTGTATCCTAACTCTGCAGGAAGCTCAATGCCTCTTCTTGGTGATGCACTGGTTATTGGCGCAACAATCTTCTTTGCATTGGCCAACGTTGGCGAGGTTATGATGCTCTCCTTTCTTACAAGTGACATGCCACTAGAATTGCAAGATCAACTCCCTTTTTGCTTCTCCCTACATTTCAGGAGTTCATTGTGAAAGACGGAGGACAGATTGAGATGGAGATGCTGTCGATGATCAATGTTTTTGGGTTGCTATGCAGTTTGGTTGAGCTGTATCCTTGCAGTAGGAACTGGCCTCGCTTAATTATCCAGGAAATATGGTTCAAATTGGTAGCAAGTGATCTCTTCAGAAGGGGACCTCATAGGGTTCAGACGAAGTTTTCCATGACTACCTTGTCACTGTAGATCTGTATTTGAGCTGAAGGGTATAGAATCTTTGAACTGGTCCATTGATATGGTGAGTAACTTATCAATCACATCACAGATGCTATCCTCTTCTATGGAGGTTTGCTTTATATGCATTCAGATATGGGCCATCACTGGCTACACCCTCTCAGTTTTTTGCCAATCCTCTATTGGTCTGTACGTTCTGAAGGTACTGAATTTTACTTGTGGTCCTCCGTCGTTGTCATAGTGAATGCGATGCTTTTAGATTGCCAGCTAGGTATGGTGTTCACTAGTTGGGATGATCTGTTTTGTTGTCTTGAAAAGTTGAGTGGAGTCACCATGCTGAATCTCTCTTGCCTGTCTAGTAACATGTGGGCTGTTGTAATCCGAACTATTTTCTACCATCAGAAGGTCAGTAATGGTGTCATTGTCTACATCGTTCTACCGCCAGTAGGAGTTAGGTTTGAGCATTGGTTACAAGCCTTTGAGAACATTGCAGGTGGACTGGCTCTACTTTCTTGCCTTGGCAGTGGTGATTCTTGGATTACTCATTTACTCCACAAAGTAAGTTTTGATCCGGTTGTTCCCTGCCCTCTATATGGAAAGCTTTTCGTATTGGTTGGGTGATTAACTGGTGACTCGCTGGTTCGACTCTCAACAGTGAGAAAGCTCCAGTTCCTGACCATGATCGAGATGGGGTGAAGTCGTGGAGTTCAGAATGTGAAGGACTACTTGATGAAAACGGAGAAGCGACATGCAGGTTCAGTCCCGTGATTTACAATTGAATGGTCATGTCTTTTTTTAGTCTCGGAGAAAGGCAATGTTGTCAGAACCGAACCGGAGTATGAACCGGTAATGCGAACGGCTCGCACTTTAGTGGTCCAACCGGCATTAGACCGTTTAAAAATCGTTAGAGAACCGGTACCTAATAAATGTTATCAGTATAAATAGTGGACATTTCTTAATCAGAGATCATCTCTTTCCTTCGAAATTGTGAAATGGAAATAAGGATTCAATTTGAGAGCCCGACGTTTTTGGTTTTTTTCAATTTTCAATTTTCTACAATTTTTTTAATTAAATTTAGTGGTTGAATGGCAAAAACCGGACGAGCGGCTCGAACGGCTAACCGCCTCGGCCGCTCGCCAACCGCTACATAAAACCGGAGCGGCTTTTAAACTGTTCCGAGCCAATTTTGTGACCGGGTGACGGTTTTACCGGTCGGGCCGAGCGGCTCAGCTCGGCTTTAATAACACTGGAGAAGGGCTCCATGTCAAATTTCTTTTTTTATGAAACTGTGAGTGAGTGATGAATGAAACTGTGATTCAGCCATATATAGAGCTGGATTGGGCCGACTGCTTTACTAGTCTGGGCCGGATCATATGGCAAGCCCGTTAGTACTAGTGACCCATTTGTCGGTGTTGACTGATGAGTAAGCTGAGCAGAAGGAGCTTGGTGGGAATATGCTAGAGGCTTATAAGTTGTAGCGTCAAACACAAGTAGGTGTACCTCTTTTTGGGGCAACATATGAAACTGGAAGGAAGAGTAAAAGATCAGCATGGTCCATGCACAGGTCAGTAATCAATCATTATGTTCATAAACCGAGAAAATGGTCCCTCCAGTCCTGGCTGGTTAGCCTCAACTCGATCGCCGAGTCCCCTACAATAAATAACACCATTCGGTGGTGGTTCGAGTGAGAAGGCATGTCGGTTGTCATGATGTGTTTTTGGGTTTAATTAATTCCTATAGCCGATTGTTACGAGACATAAAAAGTTATTTGTTGACCATCGACATGACTGGAAGTTTGAATTGTCTGCTCTTATGAGTTTGTCAGGTATTCATATAGGTTTGGCGTGTTAAGATTGTTCTTCATACATACACACAAAAAAAAAGATGCTATTGTTGGCTCTGAAAAATACCATCTCATCGAAAAAAATTCACAATATTTTTTCCCCCCCGGTAGTTTGGAAGGCGAATAGGCGATAGGGATCTGCTGGTGGCAGCAGTTACTAAATTCTTATCAAGAAGGGTTGATTGTATGAAGTGATGAATGATAAGTAAGTAAGTAACAGAGTGAAGTACCGACATGTAGTGGAAGAGAACTTACCATTAACATTGCTTTGGGTATTGTCGAGATGGCTTGAAGGAAGCACAAGGCCCAGTTGTATATATGTGTGTCAGTACTCATCATCAGATCAGTAGTGGATCGATCACATTAATTCCAACACGTACGTACGTGTGTTCCTCGCCACATGGTTTTGCAATCATACAATCTGATTATTCAAGAACAAGGCAACCCGCAATGGCTCTTTCTTCACCAGCCATAGCAAATGGCAACTGAAACAGAAAGGGGGAGATTATTTGCCCACTCCACAGCAATGAATGAATGTTTTGGTGTGGATGACAGCAATATCCCTTGCTGGAAATCCTTCTTTCTCCTCCCCCCCGGCCCTTCTGTTCTTTTTGCCCTTTAATTTGTGTGTTGTTTCTGGTTTCCCATGTTACTTTGTTGCTTTGTTGGGTATATGATATTTCATTATAACCAAAGACAAACTGGTGGCTAGATTGGGTAGAGCGATTTGTTTGTCCTTACGTGGGTATGTATTATGTAATGAAGGACATGCCAAGCTGTTGTTGCTTCTTATGGCATAAAGGCGACACCCATTTCACTCAAAAACTGGATGCATTGCAGCCTGTAAAAATTTATGTAAATCTCGATCCGTAAATGATTACTGCCTTAGTGACGGTGGCGCGCAGATGATTTTTTCTTTTGATAATTAGTGGCAGATGATTTAAGACACATAGTTGGTCGAAATGATGATAGCTAGTGAGACACATGAACAAAGAATTTCGGTTTTATATTTGACATTGAGTCAATATATATTATGCTCTCAAATCAATCCACACCTATATTGATTCAGGTCTAATTATTTTAGAATACTTAAAAACCATATAACTATATCAAATACATGTAAACATGTTGTAGTTTACGTTAGTTCGGAAATGAGTTTTCACATATCCATCTTGCAATAATGTAAGATCCATGTATATATAAAAAAAAATTGGTGCAACGAACAACCAAGTATATTATGTTAAATCAAATTCTATCATTTTCTTCTTCTTGGTCTTTAATTTAGTGAATGATTCGAGACAAAACTATGTCATGAGTAGTTGTACCTCGTCATTCAAACACCACCAATATTATGGGAATAGGGTTAACTCAAGATAGATTGATGGACAGACAAGTGTCGAGGTTACATAACCTTGGGAAATAGGTAAAACCTATGTTGGAAAAGGTGTGCTGTCTATTTATATTAGTTCCAAACAAGGCAACCTGAGCTAGCTTCTTGTCTCATGGCAATTCCATTCTTTCCTGCTTCTTGATGGCATAAAGGACCTAATCATACATTAAGGCTTCTTGAGCATCTCATTGACTGAAGATAGAACAGCTTAATTGAGGAACCCACTCGACTTAAACCTGTAATTAAGTTATATTAGTGGAGGGGACATATATTATATATTAGGATGGTACTGCATCACATCCATATTGCATCATATTATTCTTTTTCCTAACTTACCAACCCCCCAATCCATTTTCCTTATTAGACCCCCTTTTTTGTGCCTGTAATTTGATTGAATTAAAAATAAGGTCGTGACTACATATTTCTAGCTACTGTAAGGGGAAGAATTCTAAATCTCTAATAACTAATAGCATGTATCCAGTAGTTTTAGTGAAACTTACAGTTAGGTCTCCTATACGTGGATTTTGTTTACAATTGAAAACTTGTACATTTCGATCAATGTCAACTGTATATCTTTCTGCGATGGAGCTACGTGGCTAGGAGAGTAGGTAATTAAGAAGAGGCTACGATTCCCCTTCCCCTTAATATTTGTTCTGAGACTACTGTGTTTTGTATTAATTTGTTGAGAAAACATTGGAAAGTGGCAGAATAAGGCCTATTAGCCCCTCTTCCTATGAAATGAATGGGGATTATCACTTGGGTTGACTTGGGGAGTAGGTGTAAGTAAATGTAGGAACCAAATTGGTAATTCCACTAAAAATGAAGGGCCTAGGAGGAATGTTACTGAGGAATAATGAGGCCAAGAACAACAAGTAAAACAAAGTGGGATTGGGAGACTTGATATTATTATTATTATTATTATTATTATTATTATTATTATTATTATTATTATTATTATTATTATTATTATTATTCTCTTAATCCCATTTTGGCTTCTCGAGAACACTCATAGTCCATACACACACAACATATTTGCTTCCCAGAAATAAATGTGGGGAACTTCATATGCCATCTACTTTGAAAAAGACAATAAAGCTAATTCCTTTTGGCTAAATGTGCAGTCAACAAACACTAAAATTGGACATTTATGCTTTTGTCTCTTTTTAATTCCTCTTTTTTTTTATGTAATGAATAATGATACATGTGTTATGACAAATGGTATTATCGGACTTTCTGATTTTTGACCAATTATATAATTGAATAGTATCTTTTATAAATTTGGCGGACATTTATCAAAATCATCATTAACTAATACATAATTTCGGATTCATATTTATAATATAAAGATCAGTAGTGGCCAGTGGGACTTCAATATTACTTATGTATATTAGTCATTTTATGAATTTGGTTAGATGGGGAAGATTCCTTTCTTCTTCTCTTGAACTTACCTTTGGGTTCTTGTTGTGTGGATTAGGATAAAAGTATTAGCTGGAACCAAAAAAAAAAAAAAAAACAACCATTTAGTGGCAAACATTGTGATGACGATGGTATAAGAGAAACAATTAATGCATAGATTGACAATGATTCGCCTTTCCAAAAATAATCAAAGGAGTTCATTTCATGCTCATGTTCTTGGAATAAACATGTAAGAGATGACTGAACGTGTAGTTGATTATGTAGGTTGATTAGCTACAAAAATAATTATCTTTTATGAAAATACTATATTGCATAATAATCATCAATATAAGCGAGTTTACATAAATTACTCATGAAGGCAGACAAGATACATTACTCATTTTCGGACCTCTTTCAAGAGTCAATCGACAATTTAAAGTATTGACAGAGATGCAATCTTTTTCCTCCCAGACGATGGTGATTGTCGTCTCCAAAGTTCGAATTTAGAGTGTGGCATCTGTCATCATCTCCACATTGTCGTCGGAATAAGGGTTGCAGAGAAACGATCACGATATTGTAGCACAAATATATAATGTTCAAACTATGAGTCTATGATGACATCCTAATTACTTTTTCTTTGAAAAAGGGAAATCAAACTACAACCATACCATGCTAAGAAATTAAAGTAATTACGAGCTATAAGAATTATTGAGAAAACTTACCGTATCTCAAACACACTTCAAAACTACATCGTAATGTTGGAATATACAAAAATGTAGATTTTCAATAGTTACAGGGAATATCTATGGTACAAGTAAACAATTGACTTATTAGGTATTTGTGCTTCCTTTTAAAAGCAAATTTCCCAAGAAATTGGGATCGTGTTTGATCCACATTTGGTGACGAGCAAGTTGGCCATATGTAAATAATATTAACCTAGCTTAGCTATTATCTACTCCCATGGCGGGGCATGTGCTTGAACACTAAGGTCAATGTGTGCATGACACCATTGTTTTTCTAACTAACATATTATGATAACATATAGATGAGAAGAGAACTATATATATAGGTTCTACTAATTTGGTTTTGGCATGTGTACATGCCTACGTGTTAAGTTGACATATGTAAAAGGGAAATATTAAAATGTTAATAGCATGATTAGCATCATTACTCCCTATACTATCTTGTTTTAACTGGTATGTATTTGTAGTACTTTTCCATTGGCAAAACATGAACATTTGAAATCAGTCTTTTAGGCATTAGTCGATCCTGCTAGTAAATGCATAGTACAAGGTGGGGAAATTATGTAAACTCTAAAGATTATGGGTGTGTATTTGTAATAAATAAAAATTAGCTAGATAGCCTTGCTTGATGAATGTTAACTGCGCGCTGCTGAGTGTGCCGACTAGCTAGCTATATTGGTTTTTTTTTTTTTTTATGGTTAGCTATATTGGTTTTGTTTTATGAGGATTGAAGAAAAAGGTTTGCTCAATAATAGATCACACTATCATCAATGGGGGCAGCCGTTGAGCAGTCTCTTTATTAACCGGCTGCCTGTCTGTATATATATTAATTTCCTTCTGAGGAACAAACGAAATATGTTTTGCTATGTTGAGCGGTCATGAAACTAACCGCTCAAAACATAGGATGTCGCTAGAATCCACCATTGAAGCATAAACCCGGCCTTAAGTTTGTTTGTTGAGAAATCCATTTCTCAGTTGACATTGCTAGGCTAGGCTAAGGCAGAAGGAATATATAGAAAACTAATGATGAAACCATTTGTCCACATTCTGAATCATTAGCCAAATATATTTATACAAAATTTGTGCATGAATGATGATATTATATTTTCTTTCCCCACTTAAGTTAAACCAAATCCCCTATAATATCAAATAAGAATATGTTCAAAGAAGTGTATATTTCTTAGTTTGATTAATTGTTTATGTTATGAGACGACTCAAGTAGTAGAGTATAGAATTGGTATGATTTGCTTATGGATTCAACCCTGATTCATTTGCAATTATAGGTTTACCAAGCAGTAAGAGGGCCAAAAGTAATTGGGACGATGAGAAACTTCTAGTCGTCGTGAGAGGCAATGATGCATTGTGATTTGTGAGTGATAATGAAAATGATTAACCTCTTTTATGTGTGACCAGAAGAATGTAGTATTTTCTTATTCCATGAGCAAATGTTTGTTTGTTAATCAAAGCTCCGCATGATTAAACATGGCAACCCAATTAAAAAGGATGATGTAATAGCTAGCATTCCGAATGGCCTGACTTCAAGTATACATGTCTCATATTGGCTTAAGAAGTTTTTTTTTATCCATTACTATTAGTTATGATGTCTCCAACTCGTAAAGGGAGAGTATCTGTAGAGGGAAGTGCTCCTAAAAGAAAAGAGTACTCGTCAATACATGCAAAGGAGCACTTTGAATATTAGACCAACCATTAACGATAGTACTAACTTACAACAAATTAACTCGAATATTAGATCGAGTCAGATATTTGATTGTTTTTCTTTCTTATAGGTAGTCAAAGTTTTTGAAACTAAAGTAGTCTTATGCCCCATCAAAAAATAACTACCTCATATCATATGGGATGATATAGAGATGTAAGAGGGCTAACTACAAATTATGCACACCAGACCATATATACTACTAGTTCTAATAATAATGAGGCATTTCACCTCCAAGACATATTAGGTGTATTCATAATTTCATATAAGTCATATTGCACCAATTATTCATTCCTTAGGATTTTTAGCATTAACTCTAGAAGATATTCATAATCAATCAATCAATAATTACGAACCTCCCACATTAATCTTCAATATCAAGTCATACTTAATTCCTAAATAATTTTTTCCCAAATACAACAAACAAAATTAGCCTAATTAATATCTGCTCCCCACCTAATTCCTCAACATCACAATACAAAACATATGTTAATTACTAACTCAATAATAAAATAATATTTGGATTAATGACACAATCAATCATGACCAACCTCCAACTTCAAAAAAAATTATATAAGAAATTAAAGGAAATCGAGAACCAGCATACACTCTCGCCGGCATGCCGACAAGCCACCGGAACTCAACCGGCGGTGGACTACGTAATCATTTCTAACTTGGTTGGACACCTGCCTTTCCCAACCATTTCTAAATAAAATAAGTAAACGGCACTCTTTGTTGGCCTAGAACAGTTAGGTTGGGTCTTAGAGCCTCACGAAGAAGGTGACATTTCCTCAAAATAACCCCAAAAGGATTTCCTAAGAACAGAGCAGAAGGAAAAGAAAATCACATAATCAGAAACATGTGGTGGACAATGTTATGGTTCGGTTTGGTTCAATATACAAAACCAACCTGATATGATATTTATATTCTACATAAATCAATTAGAAGTACGGAAACTGTATCTTGATCTACAAGCCGAAATATAATTACAAATTTTATCAAATCAATATTGATTGACCTATTGGGCCATATTGAATTTAGTAACTTGATCATAATTTCTTCTATGAATGGTGTATGATTTTATTTTGAATAACAAAGGTGTTAATGAAACAACAGAGGTGGAAAAAACATTCAAGGCGAAAGAGGAGAGATAAAAAAAAAAAAAAAACACAAAGAGCTAGAAACTAAGAAAAAGTCTCAAAGGATCATAAAAGTATAGGGTCATCAACTAACATGATCAACAATGTTGTTCAGCACTTTGAGCTAGGAATATGATATACATAGTGCGATTTCTTTGCATGATCAAAGTCCATTATAAAATCAAGCCCAAACATTTTGATTCGAAAAATCAAATCGACTTAAGAGTGCATATACGCTAAGTCTAATCGAACCATGCAAAGGATTCGGTCTAAATCCAACCCGGTTTCCGGTCCAATTCCCTTACCCCTATTTATTTACAAACATACAAGGACTTCTTACCTCTTACAAATAGAGAGAAAAAGGAAATGGAAAGAAAAGAACAGAGAACAGTGCTACTGAAGACTTGAAAGCCACAATAAGATATTTGAGCGCCCCTATAAAACCCACCATTATTGTCCACTTCTTCTCCTCAGCACCCCAAAAAACAAACATTTTCTCCTGTTTCACTCTCCCCCTTCCGCCATTGCCAGACTCCCCTGCTTCTGCTTGGAGCTCTGAAGCAGAGCAATAGCAAAAAAACAGAGTGAGAAATAGTTCACATTTCTCAGCTCCACCAGAGATGAAATGTACACTCCTTGATTAGCTGCTTAAGATCTCGCCCAACCATTCCAATCTCCCCCCCTTTTCTTCCAGATCTAACCCCCTTTTTTTCCAGCCTTCCAATTCGTTGGCTGTGTCTGAAAAAAAAGCGAAGGAGGAGGAGAAAGAATGGAGTACACGACGAGGGCAATTCCGGAATCGTTCCGGGGAGCGAGAGACGACTTTACGCTTCAATTCTCGATGGTGTGGGATCAGATCAGAGCTCCGTTGATCGTCCCACTGCTCCGGCTGGCCGTCGCCGTCTGTCTAATAATGTCGGTCATGCTGTTCATCGAGCGGGTGTACATGGGCGTCGTCATTATTCTGATCAAACTGTTCGGCCGGAGGCCGGAGAAGCGGTATAAATGGGAGCCGATGAAGGACGACGTCGAGCTGGGCAACTCCGGCTACCCCATGGTCTTGATCCAAGTCCCAATGTACAACGAACGTGAGGTTAGTTAAACAAAAAAAAAAAAATCTACACTCTAAGCAAGTTGGATTCCTTTGGGGACCAGTGTTTCCCGGCCAGTTCTGCTCGCCGGTCGAACCACGTACGACAGACCGGGTTGTTGCAATACTTCGTTGCCACACATTGAGTAGAGTATGTGGTTAAATTTATTCACCGATATAATCAATTGATTCTTGTTTGTGAATTATAGGTGTATCAGCTTTCGATCGGAGCAGCTTGTGGGCTATCTTGGCCATCGGACCGGATCATAATTCAAGTGCTTGACGATTCGACCGATCCCACGATAAAGGTAGGTTAAGTCGGTTTATTACTTTCACCTACCCGATCTTTCGCTCAAATTTTGATTGAATTATGGTTTGATTGGTGATTTAGGACATGGTGGAGTTAGAGTGCCAGAGATGGGCAAGCAAAGGGATCAACATCAAGTACGAAATTAGAGACAATAGGAATGGGTACAAGGCGGGAGCCTTGAAGGAAGGAATGAAGCGAAGCTACGTTAAGAACTGCCACTATGTGGCGATATTCGATGCCGATTTCCAGCCCGAGCCCGATTTCTTGTGGCGCACCATCCCCTTCCTCGTGCACAACCCTGAGATCGGTCTAGTTCAAGCCCGTTGGAAATTCGGTATGTTGCTATTAGCTATATCTAGTTTTATTTTTACCTACGTGTCGTTTTTTTTTTATAAATTTCACAATGCATTCGAGTTCCGTGTCTTCTTGATTTCGACCGCAAAATAATATATTTTTAATACTTAATTGGTGCTCAAAAGGCAGGACATGACATTCACTGGTTTTCATGTTTTAGGTCGTTAAATTCAGGGTTTGACTATGTGTTTTTTTAATATAAATTTAGCTATTTTTGTGTGGTAATTACTTATTTTTTATGATTTATTATCTGAAGTTTTTTAAGTGACTGTCGGTGGTTTTGTGCTGTGGGAAATTAATTTTCATTTTTTCGGTTTTTTATAATATATAGTTTTGTTGGGTTGTGGAGGAGGAAAGGGATTGGTGGAGTATTGGGAGAGTGAAATTGGGTCCTACCTCGTGTTTCTTTTCAGTCCACTCCTTGCTGGATGGACACGTGGCGGGTGTTGTTTGGTTAGCTTTTAGGTGGACCCACATGCTCTCTGTGAGCTTGCTGAGAGATTAATTAAGTGGGTAGTTGTGTTTGTGTTGCTGCATGTTGTTTTTTTTCTTCCCCTTCTTCTTTTGTCTTCAATTTGACAATAAAATTTTAACTTACTATTAAGAGGGTGATCAATCTAATAGGGAATCATTAATAAGAGGACAATTAGTAGGTTGTATGTCAAATCCAAACATGGCATCATTACTAGTGGGCAAATTTCACGAAAAATAGTTCATTTTGCACCTTAGTTTGATTGTACGATGCATTTATATTATTTCATCTTATAATCATTTACAAAACAAACATGCACATTGTTTGATCGTGCTTGAAATATTATTACGACGATATACCTTCATGAATATCCGTCATTCTGTTTGATTATAGAATGGTCATTTTTATCTGGAACTTGAGAAATTATATGATAGGTTTATCTTTGTTTTCTCCCCTTCATCTTTGAAGTGTTTATACTCAATCAACAACAAGAAAAAGGTTATTTCACATGCAACATACATGTCATGGAAAAGGAAGTGCTTAGGAATAATTAATAACACATTTAAAAAATGGACCACCCACAAGCCTATTTACATGAATCACCCACCTAATTGAATTTTGGCAACTACTTCCTTCCCATCACTACACCACACCTTTCCTTTTTTGCAAAAAAGGACTCTATTGGAATAGGAGAAGATAACGTACAAACCTCACCTCCAATGGAAAATGAAATCCAAGAATCTTGGGGTCCAAATCCACCCACAACAAATAATGCTTGAATGTGACTACAATTGGGTTGGGTAGAACATGAAGGGGCATGTTTGGCCATTACATTTTTGGGAATACATGGGTCAAGGCTAGATTCTTTTTCCTCAAAAACAAATTGTTACCTCATATATTTTTTGGCATATTTATCTTCCCAAAAATAGTTCTTTTTTCTAAAATTCATAATGAAGTATGAATTTTGGCAAGAAGAAAGGATTGCACATAGAGGAATTTGGTGATCATGCAAATCGTGAAAGCCTACACAACGATGATAGCACGAAAAATAACATATAACAATTAAGAATATTAATTGAGCAGTTAAAAACGCGTGAGCGGATCCAACAATATCAACCCGTACCGCTTCACTACTATCTGCATGATAAGCAAACCTTGCACATTGAGTGTAGCAATTATCATATTCATTTTTTTGTGTTGTTGATAAAACTTGGTTGCTTTTTAAGCTCATTAGTCATTTGAGCACCTCGTGGTGTAGATGGCGAGTGATATATATATATATATAAATATAATTGTATTCGCCAGCAAGCAAACCATAGCAAGCTAAGCATATGCATGTGCAGGCTCTAATGGTGGACCTCATGCTCATGTCGTAATCCTTGTCCCTGTCTGCCTAACAAAAACTGCACTAGATTTCGATTTTGTTTTGTTTTTTTTAATGATTATAAAATCTACACAATGTTCGCCAGCTGTGCATTTGTAGTTGACGTGTATTTCTCTTGTTCATTTTTGGATTTTGTTAGTGAATGCTGACGAATGCCTGATGACAAGAATGCAAGAGATGTCATTGAACTACCATTTCTCCGTCGAACAAGAAGTCGGGTCCTCCACCTACGCCTTCTTCGGGTTCAACGGCACGGCGGGTGTGTGGAGGATCGGCGCACTGAATGAAGCCGGCGGGTGGAAGGACAGAACCACCGTCGAGGACATGGACCTCGCCGTCCGGGCCAGTCTTAAGGGCTGGAAGTTCTTGTACCTCGACGACCTCAGGGTACGTAACTTCACAATCCTATATTTATTTATTTATTAAATCCTATAGAAACTGGTTCTTGATAGATACGGCATTAGAATTGATATACAAAACGCTTAATTAGGCCGGATTGATTCAATTATAGGACGATGAAAAGAACAAAATGAAAGGACATGCATGCAATGTGACGTAACATCAATTTGTGGGGATCCCTCGTAATTAATTAAGGGGCCAACACGCGACGCGAGAGGGAGGGGACAAAAATTCTTTCATTCCAATTAGTTTGCTGAAGTAAAGACCACAAGCGCTAAGCTTTGTCTGGCTATGAAGCTGGAAGGGTTGCGGCGTTATGTTTCCTTTGTCTTGTCTGGTTACATGGGAATGGAGGGTTCTTTTCCTTGCACTCTTTCATTTCATGTCTGTCGAAGGAAATTACAGGAAGATTGATGGAAATAAATGGTCGGTCGGTCGGTTGGAAATTAACAGGTGAAAAATGAGCTGCCAAGTACGTTCAAGGCCTACCGTTATCAGCAGCACCGGTGGTCTTGTGGTCCAGCCAACCTCTTCAGGAAGATGATCAAGGAAATCGTCATGAACAAGGTTCGTTTCGGTGATCTCCATGCACATGCTTAATTATAAGCGTTGGATTGTACATCTTTATAGTCATTTCTGTTACCATTTTGCCAACTAGCTAGCTAGCTTTGTTTTACCATATTAAGGAGCTAGCGCTATAGCTGACCCCATATATTCTCGATTTGTTTTTGTTGGGAGCTCAGAAAGTGACACTGTGGAAGAAAGTCCATGTGATCTACAGCTTCTTCTTCGTCCGGAAGATTGTAGCCCACATCATCACCTTCGTATTCTACTGCGTCGTCTTGCCTGCCACCGTCGTGGTACCTGAAGTGGAGGTCCCCAAGTGGGGGCTCGTCTACATTCCCTCTATCATTACCGTCCTCAACTCGGTCGGCACTCCTAGGTCACTCCACTTGGTGATCTTCTGGATCGTGTTTGAGAACGTCATATCCCTCCATCGAACTAAGGCCACCTTCATAGGCTTGCTGGAGGCAGGGAGGGTGAATGAATGGATCGTGACTGAGAAGCTAGGCGATGCCCTTAAGACCAAATCCACTAAGGCACCCAAGAAGCCTCGATTCAGACTCAGCGAGAGGTAATATATTAACCCCTTTACTCGCTTATAAGTTGATTCATCTCTCTTGTCATCTCAAAGTTAGGATTGTGATACATTGGATCGTCAATCAATCTGATTGCAGGCTTCATGTCTTGGAGATTCTGACCGGGTTTTATCTCCTGACCTGTGGCTTATACGACCTGGCCTACGGTCAATATCGCTACTACTTGTACCTCTTCGTTCAAGCCGTAGCGTTCTTCATTGTTGGATCGGGTTATGTCGGCACATTCGTCTCTCATTCTTGATGAACACGCGCGATGTGATATTTAGCGATGAAAATGCTCGCCGCTGAATTTCTCAACTTGGTTGGTTGGGGTGGGGAGAAAAATATTACTCCTTTGTTGTTCTTACACTTCCTCTTCTTATTTATTTTGTGTAAAGGGTGGCGAAAGAAAGACCGACCATCATATTCAATTCTTTTGGGGTTGGGGGCATAAAAAGTGTTGGAGGATGGAACGAAGAAGAGAAGGGTTATTGGGGTAAATTTCCTATCTAGGATTTCTTGTGAATATATGTGATAGTAAAAGTTGAAAGAAATTAAAAGAGGTATTTGGAAAGAATTGTTACATTTTACATACGAGAGGTGGGCAATAGAAAGAAGAGGTAAATAGAAGAACAAAGTTGTTTGTGTTCTAAGTAGAGTTGAAAAAATGTATTTGTGAGTTGCAGCAATTTGTTTTGGGTCGGTTATACTTTTTTTCTATAGCTACCAATGTTGGGGTTTGAAATTTAGGTTGGAAGGAATAAATAAATAAAAATTATTCCTTTTATGTGGTTTTCATGACATAGTTGATAAGTCAATTCAATGAATAATCTGGTGTTTAGTTAAGGATGTACACTTTGCAGTGGCAAGACCACTCCACTAATTTGTAGTTTTCCATCAAATTTTGGGAGCTAGTCATTTAAGGTTAGAAAAGGTTATGTATATGAAGTAATCTCAGGATTTTGTGACCCCTTACTTGAAGTAGTAATATGATGTTTTATCGGAACATTTTATATGAAAAATACACAGAGTTATTGTATTGATGGATTAATATATTGCAATCTATTCCATTTGATTACCATATAATTACAGGAGCTAATGTGCAACGGTAACATATGTGTAAAAAAAGTACATATAATATAGAAAAAAAAATGAAAATGTATTATAATGTTAAATCTTCAATAATCACTACTTTTTTTTTCCAGTCAAGCATTACTCAAGTAGGTGTGTTTTAGGTTCAATCCAACCACAGATGTGCACTTCACTAGTAGGTAGGATGTCTTCCATCGCATCATCATCATAGTCGAACATGTGATATTTACACATATCTAGCAAATATAACACAATACTTCCTTTGAAAAAACATTTAGGGAAGATTATTTTGTTTCCATTCCTAGAATTTTCGCCACAGTGGAGAAAATTCTTTCTACAAAAAGATTGTTTACTAGAAAGCACACAAAAAAGAATCACTATATTTCATCAAAAAAGAAAAAAAAATGCAATCGAATGCTACAACGATCTGGAACCCTTTTTGGAGACAAATCTCCTCTCGCTCCCTGAGTATCCTCGCTCAATCCAGTCATCCACCGGATATAAAAGACTAGATTATTAGAGAACATACCGATTTTCACCTCTATTCATATATATAAAAGATTAGTCATGACTCATGACTAGGTAGGATCTTAAATATTTTTTCCTTACAATTACATAAAATGAGGGGGTATTTGGAAAAAATTGTTACTAGGTAGGATCTTAAATCTCCTATCTAAGATTTCTTGTGAATATGTGTGGTAGTAAAGGTCGAAAGAAATTAAAGCGAGTATTTGGAAAGAATTGTTACATTTTTACATACGAGAGGTGGGCAATAGAAAGAAAAGAAAAATGGAAGAACAAAGTTGTTTGTGTTCTAGAGTAGAAAGAGTGTAATTCTGAGTTGCTGCAATTGGTTTGAAGTCTATTATATATATAATTTTTATAGTTACCAATGTTAGAGGTTCAACTTTGGGTTGGAAGAAATAAATAATTATTATATATATCTTTTTGCCTGTTTCTATCACATATTTAATGAATCAATTCATTGAATAATTTGGTGTTTAAATATACTCTCTGAGAAGAGCAAATTTTGTATTGGTTAAGGATGCACGATTTGCAGTGTCAAGACAAATCCACTAATTTGTAGTTTTGCATAAAATTTAGACCGGTAGTCATTTAAGATTAGAGTACAACGACAATCGATTCCACTTGATTCATATAATTAATTTCAAGAGCTAGAGTACAACGGCAACATATGTGTAAAAATGTACATTAGGAAAAATGTATATATAATGATTCCACTGGATCATCATCATAGTGGAAGGTATAATATTTATAAATATATAGCGAATTTAACACAATGTTTATGTTGACAGAACGTTTAGGAAAGTTTACTTATTTTCCATGTTGGAATTTTTGCCACAGTCAAGAAAACATTATCTTTCTACAAAAGACCTGATTATTAGAGAACACACTAAAAAAAAAAAAATTGCAGCCGGACACTACAACGATATGGAACCCTTTTCCAAGAAAAATCTCCTCTCGCTCCCTGGGAATCCTCTCTCAATATCTTCATCCATTGTATATAAAAGACTACTTTATTAGAAAATATACTGATAGCAAAACATTATCTTTCTACCAAAAAGAAAAAAACAAATCTTAATCCAAGGAAAATAAATTAACTTTTCTAAAAAAAACACTAGTTTTTATAAAGAAAAAAAATACACCTTTCTACCAAAAAGAAAAAATCATAAATGTGAATAGATCAACTAATCCCGTGAAAACTATAAATAAAATAAATTACATATACAAAATATTACCAACAAATCTGGATTGAGTCGATCTTCTGAATTTTTTGTTGGCTTCCAAAAGTTAGACTTCTCTTGGTGGGCAGTAGAATTTAATGTCTCGTTATCCATTTTAAGGCACTAATTAGAAAGTCCAGATTTCTCTGTTCCTTCTTTAATACGGTGCAAGATGGGTCATAGCGAGAGTATTTTCTACTTACTCCCTGGGAATCCTCCCATACTCTATGTTCCCTCACTCGCGCCAATACTTACTCCATCCTAAAATATGTTTTTCATCCAACTTACCCAAAATTTAGTTGAAGGACAATCTTAGTCCCTCAACAAATATAATTAAACCTCTATTGTGGCATTCACAATGTTAATGAATATAATCATATTTAGCGATGAAAATGCTTGCCGCTGAATTTCTCAACTTGGTTGGTTGGGGTGGGGAGAAAAATATTACTCCTTTGTTGTTCTAACACTTCCTTTTCTTATTTATTTTGTGTAAAGGGTGGCGAAAGAAAGACCGACCATCATATTCAATTCTTTTGGGGTTGGGGGCATAAAAGGTGTTGGAGGATGGAACGAAGAAGAGAAGGGTTATTGGGGTAAATTTCTTATCTAGGATATCTTGTGAATATATGTGATAGTAAAGGTTGAAAGAAATTAAAAGAGGTATTTGGAAAGAATTGTTACATTTTACATACGAGAGGTGTGCAATAGAAAGAGGAGGTAAATGGAAGGACAAAGTTGTTTATGTTCTAAGTAGTGTAGAAAAAGTGTACTTGTGAGTTGCAGCAATTTGTTTTGGGTCCCTTATACTTTTTTCTATAGCTACCAATGTTGGGGTTTGAAACTTTAGGTTGGAAGGAATAAATAAAAAAAATTATTCCTTTTGTGTGGTTTTCATGAGATATTTGTTGAGTTGATTCGTTGAATTATTTTTTGCTAAATTTATCGTTTACGAAAAAACTTATATTAATTAAGGATGCACACTTTTTACTCGCGCATGACCACTCCACTAATTTGTAGTTTTGCATCAAATTTGAACTGCTAGTCATTTAAGGTTAGAAAAATTTGTGTATAAGAACTCATCTTACTAGAGTAGGGTCCGGCCCGTTGGATTTGATCTGCCAAGGATGTGGAGGCCCTTTGTGTTCATGATGATGGGGAGGCCAAATCTGCCAAGGATGTGCCAACTGAGAATGATGCACTCGCCATTTTCAGGAACACGGCGAACTTGAAGCAGACTGGTGAGAAGAGGAAGGGCAGGATGTTCTCCTACCTCTGCCGTTGAATGTCTAGCTTGCCAAGTTCTCTCGGATTGTTGCTCAGTCTTCCCACTAGACTTCCTGTTGGACTTGTTCAGTTTGTTATTTCTATTTTGTTGAACTTGATGGTTGCATCAGCAGTGTTCTTATCAACTTTTAGTCGCTGCTTTTGTAATTCAGGGTTGTGTTCATGTTGTAGTTGCATTAACAGCCTTCTTATCAATATTCAGTCGTTGCTGTTGTGATTCAGTTTTACGTTCTTTTGCATCGACAGCCATTTTGATCAACATAAAAGCCCACAACCTCTTGGCCTTGCGTTGCTGGAAGAAGCAAGCGTTGACGGCAGCCCACATCTGACGGGAAGAGATACAGATCGAGACCGTGGTTCGGGCTAGGGTCTTGGGTGAAGGTCCTGGTTGACCATCCCGCAGAGGCTCACAAGTTGCAAACTCCAGCTCATACGACGAGCAAGCCCAAGAACATAGAACCAAGATATGAAAGAAGAGCTATAGCTCGACTGGAAAGGAGAAAACTGAAATCCAGAACGGCTGGAAATTCGATTGAAAACTGCCCAAGACACAGGCACGAGCACTAAATCAAGAAAAGGAAACAATAGCAGAAAAATAAAATGTTTTGGGCTACTGCTAGTCACCTAAAAGGAGCCGACGGCAGCCCCCGGAATGAGAAAAGGAAAGCTGGAAGAGGAGAGAAGGTAGAGCAAATTTCAATTGGGAAAGGTAGAGAGAGGGGGAAATGGTTGTTTTACAGCTGTTGGTTGGGTACCAAATTCGAGAATTTCTCTCTCCAAACGAAACCGATAAGGAAGAGGGAATCTTTAGGCGGCTGCTGAGAGCATATCCTTTAGGGTTAATAGAGAGCATTTAGCTTCATGGGCTTTCATTCTCTTTGGGCCTCTTTATTCTATTTCTTGTGGGCTTTATTCTATTATTGGAATTTGGAGCAACAAGAAGTCATAGGTAGGAGTGGTAGATTTCAAAGTGATGTTATAGTTATTAAATGGTTACAAATCTTTAATTTTGTAATAATTCGATTATAAATTTTTTATTTAGAACAAAACGGTCAAAATTAAACAGGCTAACCATTTCATAGAAGTTTAAACTTTTGTTACTTTGTCGATACAAATTAAACTTTTGGTAACTGTTTAGTACAAAGTCCAAAAGTTTGAACGATTAATCATTGTTATAGTTCGCTCCAATTGAGGATGGTGGTTTTGGTAATTTATGTAAATGAGATTATCGTAATACATTATGATACTGAGGGAATTCAACACCTCACAAACAGGTTCCAAACTGTTTTTTTGTTTAGAAAAAGTTATGTTTCTTACTTTCTTGGTTTTGATAATGAAAGGTCAATAGAGGGCATTCTTATTCGGCAAAACAAGTATATCGATGAACACATGATCTGACATCTTATATATCGTTCAAGTGGTTAGTGTCATGTACTTGACGAACATATGACCGGACCTCAAAACATGCACAAATATTTAATATGTAACGATTGGGCAACAAACCTTTGCACTTAATAATAAACGGTGAAGTGATCTGTTTTATACAATTTTAAAATTTTATCACTGTACCGATACAAATTAAAGATTTGTGACTGTTTTATACTAAAGGTAAAAGTTTGTTACCATTTATACTAATTACCCGTACATTTGGATATGATTATTTTGCATTGGGGTATTTTACAATGACGTTAGGCTATCGGCTATCCACAACACAAACAGAATGGACTGCTTATTTCTTCTTTGTAAGTAGTAAAATGAACCGATTGATTATTCCATTCAAGCGCTTTGTTATCACAGATCTACAACCAATTGCAGCCGATTGATAATGATTGGCCTTTTCTTTGTCCACTCGTTTTGCACTAAATTAAGAGCTTTTTTTCCTCAGAAAAATTAAAATTTATCTCTGTTTTTAAAAACTATATATTTATAATAGTAATCGGTTTTGACAATGCACGAGCCAATCAAGCAATGCTCTCGATACTAGATCTACCAACATATTATGTACCATTTTCTATATTTCTTCTTTGCTTTTCTATCAACATATTGGATATTCATAAAACATCCACACGAATTAGTAATTTTTTAATGGTTTCTCTTAGTACTAGTGATTCAGTATCTTTTCTCAATTGATAATGCATACTCGTAATTGATGAAATATTAGTAGAAAAAATAAATGAAATACTATAATATGTAGATATTCTTGGATACTCAGACTCAAATCGTATATAGATTCGATATATATTTAGCACATCAATCATATATGTCTATTACATTAAACTAGTTAGGGTAAGACAACAAGCATCCACTATACTTCTCCAATTGGACCAGCTTCCATTTCTAAAAAGAATTATGTACATATATTGTTTAATCAGTTGGATCAATCAACTCTAATTATATGGCATGAGGTTCTCGATCAAATATTTCAGATCCACCTATGCGATAGAATGAGGTCGTTTTAGGAAGTTAAAATTGGGACTTTTTTATTCAAATTTGAATTATGAGTCGTCACTGAAAAAGCTGGTACATTAACACGTATAGAGTCAATGGTTTATTCTTCCATTATCAATCTAATCTTGATATAATTTCTATTGTAGGGGTCGTTTGGTTTTGGTGATTGTTTGGTTGGGATAGTTACAATGCATTATTTTTTTTCTGCACAAACTATACATGCATTGTTTGCTTGATGTGATGAAAACTATAGTAATATCTCAAGTTTTTTGTGAGATTGTTTGTTTGAGATTATTGGAGTGTTTTCTTCTTCCAACTATGTCCATACCTTTTGATGTGTTTTGCTTTTTGTATATTAAAAATAAAGGATAAAAGTGACATTTCACCCAGAAAGCAATATATCTTATTTAAATACTAGAATAACTATAATAAAAACCAAACGATATAAACTACAATACATCAATTTTCTTGTATGCATGTATACTATTATGCATGCATTGATAACAATGCATTTAGTTAACTATCACCAAAACCAAACGACCCCTTAGTTGCAATGGAATGATTTGCCAATAAACTAGACAACTACCACAAAATTCTTATTGGGCATTTATCTCCTCGAAATTGCTAGGTAGAAATCACATATGGTATAGAGAAATACAACTGTGCTAAATGATCGATGATACGATAGAGTTGAACACTTCAACAATCACCTTAAGCTTATGACACATCCATACTTGAAGTATGAGGTATATTAACCTATGTGAAGAAAACGAAAGAAAAAAAGCAATTTGGTTTCGATCTTTAACTGTTTGTGTGTAAAGAACCCGTTGATTTCAGTAATTCGACTTATTTTGAAATATTTAATTAATAATAATTCCAATACCACATACACTAATAGTATGGACATCCCAATTCTCAAGAATTGTTAAATGTACACAACACAATTTACATTGGATGATAATCAATGACGTGTATGAAAATTGTGGTGAGAATGTTAAACAAAATTTTTATCGATAATATAGGTTGGTTTGGGTGGATTAATCGTTAATGTGACACTTGTATAGTCAAATAACTCGTTAATTATCCATGTGGTATCTTAGTAGTAAGTTATATAAAGTATCTCGTTTAATTGAACTGTTCATATTTGCTTTTGACGATAACAAAAAAATAAAACGAGTTATTTCCAAATACCTTAAGGTAAGAGTTATTTTTTTTCTCAAGGCTCTATGAAATGTGAAGTGCTGAAGGGGCGAGGCGAAACTCTTACCGTTTTCATCCCCTGTTTTTTTCAGTTTAGTCTTTTTAGGCCCCGCAGTTATTTTCCCTCATTGTCTTTGTTGGGCTTTGTGTGGTTCAGTTTAAGATAGGTAATAAGAATGAAACGAGGGATGGAATTGGAAGTTTGCGATGAGTTAGTTGTGACTTGTGAGTCTCTCGGTGCAATACTCAGTAGCAGAGGCCTCTGTTCGGCTACCATAATTATTTCCATCACCTGCTGCTCTTCTTCAAATGCATCAAGTTACAGTATCCACCTCTGCTGCATACATTTTTCTCATACTGCCTTGCCTACATGTCGCTTCCCGAAAATCCGTCACCGGAGAGACGTCAACAATGATTGGCCGCCCTGGCAAAAACAGATCATAAACACGCAAGAATCCAATCAAACACACAATTTTCAGATCTAATAGCCATATTGCATCATAAAAAAAACCGCAAGCCATCAATAACTAACAGAGAAGCGCCACTAATCAGAACAATCAGTTCAAACTGCAAAATTTATCATCATTACAGCCCCTATAAGCTCAAAAAGCTTTCTGAGAGATCAATAGCTAGCTGAAAACCATCAGGAACCACAACAATCAAATGCTTCCATTACATCACCTATTCTATTATATTTATAAGAGCAATTTGTTAGTATTGTTAACTAGTTTGTGCAGTTTATGAACAATTAGCAGGTTTGCCCGAGTGGTTTAAGGGGGAAGACTTAAGATCTTCTGCACATAAGTGCGCGTGGGTTCGAACCCCACAGCCTGCAATTATTTTAACAAATGTTCTTTATCTTTTTTCTGTTGCATATGGAATGTACGATTGAAATCTCAAGGCAAGACAGTTCAAAACTAATTTCTAAATATTTTATGCATGCTTTCACAGGTAAACGAAACACTACTTCTCGTTAGGTAAAGATACACCATTGTGCACTCTACTTATTGGTTGTTGCATGTCTTGAACATCTTAAAATTTGTCGCTTTTTAGTGTATGTGTTAATATATATACATTAAAAAGGTAAGTTTGCAGCAACTAAATATTTTGTTTATCCTCTTGAAAATTGAAATACATCTTGGAGGAACAAGGATAAAATAAAGAAGGAAGGTGGGGACAAAGAAGAAGAGTTGGGTGCTCGAATTATTATCAAAATCAAATAGGTATTATAACTCTGTGGTTAGCCATTGTGAGAAGTAGTGGATACTTGTCTCTGGGATTGCATGACTGATAGTAGTGTGGTGAAACTTTCTTTAGTGAGTAGACCGTACTTATCTATCATGTTTAGAGGGTTATCAATTCAGTGTCGATTAACCACTAACCGATATGAAGTCGAGGCACATAATTTCAAGTAGCCAAAGTTAAAAGCAAGTTAACCATAGAAACATGAGAACGGTGGGGGATTATATTGGACCATGCTTCTAAAGTCTAAACATTTCCAAAACTCATAGAAGCTCACAAAAAACAAAACAGCTCAGTTAATACAACGTTCCGAACCACGGCCAAAAAGGACAACTTTGGCCCATCGCAGAAAATTATTCAAACCGATATCTTTGGGTTAACCCACAATCCAAACCTACATAAAAAAAAGATTATTCTGATATCTGGCCGCCAAAATCCACACACCCTCTGCGTCACATTCATCGCTCTCGCTCCTCAGTTATCTTAGTATGGCTCGACAGGCTTCCTGAAGTTGGCTCCGGCATAAACAGCTTCCGATCCCAGCTCTTCCTCAATTCTCAACAGCTGGTTGTACTTCGCCAGACGCTCAGATCGGCAAGGTGCTCCGGTCTTGATTTGTCCCTGCAAGTGGTTCGAGTAAAACCGATGAGTGAAGCAAAGTCAGCAGCAACTGAGACCGGTATGAGATTGATATTACCGTGGATAGTCCGACTGAGAGATCAGCAATGAAGGTGTCCTCGGTTTCACCACTGCGATGGCTGGCCATCACGCCCCATCCAGCGCGCTTCGACATCTTCACAGCCTCAATACTCTCGGTCACGGATCCAATTTGGTTAACCTTGAGGAGGAGAGCATTGCAAGCCTTGTCCTTGATGGCTTTCTCGACCCTCTGTCGAAAAGAAACCCAGAAGATTTATTAGCATGGGTAAAATTGATACTGTACACAGACAGAAAAAAAAAAAATGATATGAAGGGAAGAGGTTTATATGGAGCTTGACCTTGGGGTTGGTGACCAGGAGATCATCTCCGACAATTTGAACCTTCTCTCCGATTTCACTGGTCATCTTGTTGTAGTGTTCCCAGTCATCTTGGTCAAAGGGGTCTTCAATGGACACAATTGGGTACTCTGTAGCAAACGACTTGTACAGGTCCTTGAGGGCTTCCCCAGAGATCTTGTCAGCGCCATTGTTGTTCTGCAAAATAAGATGACACACAACTAAGCCGTCTACCCTGCAAATCATTCGTGTTTCCTTAGGGGAGTAGTGACAATTGGAGCAGAACCATACCTCTTCCTTAAAGTTCAGGTCGTACTTCTTGTCTGAGGTGTAAAACTCAGATGCAGCAACATCCATTCCAATAACCACCTAATCAAGGCAAGTTAAGACTTTGTTATTAAGATGTTCACAAACGATCTCCCAAGAAGCTATTGAATTGAGATGGTAATGAGCAAACTGACCTTGTCTGAATAACCAGCTTTGGCAATAGCAGTCTTAAGCAACTCAAGACCTTCCTTGTTTTCCTGATATAACAAATTATGTAATAGCAGTTTAGCCAACTAATCGAAGGAGTGAAACTTCTTTATATTCATCTGGAAACTACAGCGTCTAAGCTAATACCTGAATGTTAGGGGCAAAGCCTCCCTCGTCACCAACATTAGTTGCATCCTGGCCGTACTTCTTCTTGATCACAGACTGCAAACAAATGACGGATTCTATCAATCATAATAGCCAAATAAATTGCAGGAAGCCCATCCATTGCAGATTCTATAGAAAAAATCCACAAAATTAACTAATAGTTCACAAAGAAATACCACAAGATATACATCAGCAGCCATATTTATCATAGCAAAAACAAATAATGAGGAGACTAACAGAGACACCAACCTTCAAATGATGGTAGACCTCAGCACCCATCTTCATGGCTTCCTTGAATGAGGAAGCTCCGGTGGGAAGAATCATGAACTCCTGCATAGCGAGCTTGTTTCCAGCATGTGATCCACCATTGATGACATTGAAAGCAGGAACTGGAAGCACCAGCTTGGAGTTGCCAGCAAGGTTTGCAATGTGCTGCATCCAGAAACCATGTAGATTTATCAGACACCGTTACAGCAGAAACCAGCACTCTAAATAACCATAACCAAGCAACGAGCAGGACAACCACTGCTACTACTGAAATGGCCTGAAAATGAGCAATCATTCAGACAGTAGTCTACCTTGTAGAGTGGGATGCCCTTGGCATGAGCTCCAGCTTTGCAGACTGCAAGAGACACAGCCAGAATGGCATTTGCTCCAAGCTGGAACGGAGGAGGTACACAAAAGGAATCAGACCAAGAACGAAATCCGAAACGAGATTCAGCAATGAAACATTCTTAGGCAATCAACGGCAGGGTGATCTGTTAGCCTAATAACATACCTTCTGCTTGCACCAACCCCACTCGTTAACAGTTCCATCGAGTTGCTGAACCATCAAGGTATCGATAGCAGTCTGCTCAGCAGGGTCCTGTTGAAATGAAATAGAATAAAACAAAAACCATTTCAGTTCAACCGAACTTAATCTCAGCTGATCCGAAAAAGGAGAATGAACCGCGATTGATCGAATGCCACAACTGACCTTGCCGATCAATGCAGGGCCGATAATGGAGTTCACATTGTTAACAGCCTACAAGCCAAATCGAAAATTTAAAAACAAGCAGTTTCAGAAATCAGACAGGCAGTAAGGTAATAGGGATCGAGAATCTCAGATGCAATCACCATTGGTGTGGTGACTAGCTCACCTTAGAGACACCTTTCCCAAGGTAGTCAGATCCTCCATCCCTCAGCTCAAGAGCCTCGTAAATACCTTCACAGAAGAAGGAAGAATCAAATTAAACAACCATTTCCTATCTATCTCACAGTTTCCTAAAATAGCTCAGAAGCTACGTACCGGTAGAAGCACCGCTCGGAACGGCGGCTCTTGCCAAGTAGCCATCGGACAGCTTGATATCAGTCTACACACAACCACCGAAATGAAAAAAAAACTCAAATCAATCAATCAAAGCTCCATCGAAACAAGCTCGGAAACAACATCCTCAATGCGCCATAATAATCATCATGAGTTTCATACATCGTGCATCGTATTCGATTAATCAAACGGCGAAACCGATTATGGAAACCATCGCGAGAGATAAGGATAGATAGAGATGGAACGAACCTCAACGGTGGGGTTACCGCGACTGTCGAAGATCTGGCGAGCCTTGACAGAAACGATGGTGATCGCCATGGACGAGGAAGCTTTTTTTAGATCTAGAAAATTACGAGGGAGATGGAATAGAGAGTATCGACAGAAGGCAGTTCGAGTAGTGACCAAAGGCGGAAGACAACCGGTATATGTAGGACAAAATTCCGGGGAGCCCAGGAAAACTCATGGCCGTCGGATGAGATCGACGGTTGAGATGTCCATCTCGTTTTTTCTCCCGCTGAACTCTCTCCCACGGCAAAACGTGGATATTCCCCTCTCGGCCCTTAAAAAAATAAAATAAAAAACTATGGGCCTCCGGTGCAGTTTGCTTGACTTTCGGTGCTTCGTGAGAGGCGTGCTTTATTTTGGTAAAAGGACTTAAAAAGGTTCAAGTTGCCTGCTTTTCTGTGGTTTCTAGCCCGAGGTTAGCCCTATTCCTTTCCTTGTGATCAAAATGAGTAATTGTGAATTTTTGGAGCAGACATGGAATAATCGGTGAACATAATAGAAGATTTCTTATTTCAGAATTTAGTATGTTTCAATAAAATTGTAATCGAGATTTTTGTAATGTTCAGTTTGTACGAGAAAAGATATATGCTCTGATTCATTACTAACTGCTTTGCCCATAGCATGACATTGGCCATTATGTAAACATCAAGCTAGAATTAGGAACTTTCCAAAGGTGATTAGTGGTATTTGAATAAGTGCTAAAAATGTAATAAAATTGCTTCTAGATATCGACTAGTCAGATAGTCAACTATATAGTTAAGTTAATATGAATAATTGATACTAAACTAATCCAAAGAACAAAACAATGACGTATTCAGTAACTTAATTAGGCTGCCCCGAGGCGTGGTTAGTGAAGTATACATGACATGGTATTGGAATGAACCTCTAGTTTGGTTCATCAATCAAGAGAGCATCTGCTCAGTCACTTTTTGTGAGGTATAGATGACATGGTTCTTCACTCTAGTTTGGAAGTTCAATCAAGTTCCGGGTTTCTTTGTTGTGTTGTCATAGCCATGCCCAGTCAGCCTTGCATTTTGTTTTATACTAAAATAAAAGCTAAACCTGAGAAGACATTGACAAACAAAAATATAAGTAAGATTTGGATGCATAGGCCATTGCTGCAACAAGGCACAGTTTCGCAGCAGCAACTTCGTACTCAAGGGTCAGAAATCAGAATACTCTTTCTAACTTTAACCAAATAGGAGAAGGGCAGGCAGAGTCTGAAGAGGAGAAGTTAATCATACCCAGGTCTCATATGACCGCTAAAGCACGAGGTATGGTCTCTTCAGCTGTGCATGAGCTTCCTTCATCCTCTCCATTGATAATGAAGGTGTATCTGAATTCTTCATTTGCTTCAACTTCGGTGCTTCCTGATATTGCTTCATCTGCTTCTCTTGCTTCCTTTTCCCGGGCACCTTACCATGGAATGAATGAGAGAGCATCCTAACTCCTATATGCCTCTTTTGGTGCCATGATCTGCCCAAATTCGTTTCTCCTGTCAATACGAAGATCCTTAAATTGATCGTAATCCTTATCCTTGTTCTTCTTCTCATTGGCATCATCAGTGTCCACAATGCCAACAAGCTTGCTCTTCTTCTTATCCATAGTTCTACCGCCCCAGTCAATGCTTTCTTTCAGGGACCCTTGCTGATGGAGCCGCTTCACTACACCTGACAATCCTCTACCAATAGGGACTTCATGAAACATCTCATCTGGGGCTACTTCTTTAGCATCCTCCGACATAGGGTCTTCATCTTTAACCGCCTTGCTTACTTCCGGAGACCCACCAGCTTTATCTTCTATCTTCTCATGAGTAGCTACAGCTGAATCGTCTTCATTATCGAGAACATCTGTGGCATCAGCCTTGCGGGCATCTGAAGAATCAAAAGAAAGTTTGTTGGTTCCCGTATCAGCAAAGTATACATAGATAAATGAAACGACAGAGCAAGAAAGAGGACAAACAAACTGAAGTTGAAAGAAAAGAGAAGTGACACCCATAATTGACTAAGCAATATAACCTCAATGATTCCTTGATCCTAAAAAGCTTCAGAATTGAGGAAAAAGAGGGAAATTACCTTGATCAAGCTGCAGGCCCCTAACAAACCCTTCAACCTCCGTGAAGACGACCTTGCCTTTTTGTGATTCTTCAGTTGCAGAGTTTTGCTCATCAGCTGCCTGACTGCTCTTAATGGTGGTGGCAAGACGAGCAATTGCTTCAGGGCCAACTAGAGCCTTCTTCACTTGCTTTTCCAGTGCCAGCTTTCTTGCTCTTTCAACAGATTTGTGGAGATCATCCTCTTCCATACCCATATCATTAACTTCCTCTTCAGCAGCAGCAGGAACCGTTTGCCTTAATCGTAATGCGTCAGATACCGCTTCCGCTTTAGCTAAGGCTGACTGATATGCACAGTTTCTCTTTCCTGCCTCGGATCTCTCTTGCTCTTCTCCGGCCTTACTTCTACTGCCACTCCTAGAACTAAGATCACCCGTACCTAACCCTATGGAGATGGCTTCTGCTTCAAGAGCGTATATAACTTATCATTCTTCCTCAGAGACGGCTTTTTCATTGGCTTCTTAAACTGAAACATTTATTCTCTAGATAGTAATCAGACGAGATTCTTCCGGATGAGTTTAGATCTTTGGCACGTATATTTTTCTATACACAACAATAACGAAAGAATGAAAGAACAAATAACTAATCAATATTCTTCATCATCAGACCGAAACATACATATTTATAGGAGTCAGACTTCCCCTCTACTCCTAATGGGATAAGGCTAAGGTCATTTTACCCTTTCCTAGTTGAACCAAGTAACCTTAATGGCTAATTATTCCTTATTAAGCTAGAAAACATAAATAAGAGTAATAAAACATATTGAATTGTTAAGACCCAAAAATAATAATCGTCACACCTTGTAGTCTTCTACGCAACTGGGGGGACTAGAGCTCTAAAACAAAACAAAAAGATTCATGGCAGGACACGTCCCTTTCAACTGGTCTGAACCACCCTGGTAATAGCAGGAAACAACATACCTCCTCCATTTTTTTTCTCTGCTTCACCACTGAAACGTCTCCTACCATCCAAGGCCAGCCCTGAAATAAAGTACCAAGCTTAAAAGTCTACTTTCATTGCAGAAAGTTTCCCTTATTTATGGAGGAAACTGTTACATTAGAGTTGAACAAGACCACTAAACACCAAGTTGTAACATTACATTCATACCTAATCTGCTGGTTCATCGTATGGGGGAAACATCTTTTTCTCTGCCAGAGGGTCATCATTGAACCTTAAAGATATACAAAGATTAGCATTGCGTCTACATGTCAAACTGTTCAATCAGTAGCAGCTACAGAAGCATATTCCACTTACTTGTCATCATAGGCTTCTTCCTGGCCTTATAAGCTTCATTTTGGCACTTCTGCTCCCCAATTTTGACATTTTCAAGCCCATCAACCTCTGTTGAATCAGACCAAAAATCTCTCTTACACAAAACTCAAGCCGTCAATTTGAATTCTGAACATAAAGCAGCAAGCGGAACAAGGCAATTCAATAAAATTTTACCACCATTGATGTAGCCATCAGCAAGAATACTCTGATCTTTAAGAGTCAAAACAAATGCTCCACCTTCTATTACCTTATCAAGGACATCTAGATTTTTAACTCCAGCCAAATCATCTGTCAAGTTGCAATCATTACAATAAATAAACTGCCATGATAATCTAACAGCAGGGAACTGGGAAAAGAAACTTTCAATATTGAACCGCAACTCTCAATTCTCAACCAGAACCAGGAACCAGGAACTAGGCAGGAACCCTTCATATTTTTCACTTTCAACGGAGAAAAGAAACTAGAGAACGAACACGGAAACCCTAGAACCGGTTGAAAGGGAGAAATCGCGAGACGACGAATGTGGAGATAGAAGCTTTACCCCAAAACTGCATTGCCGCCGATCGAGAGAGCTCGCCGGAAGTAGAAATCCACAGGGTTTTCGCTCTCTCCCTCCCTCCTACAGTCCCACTTACTTCCTCAGTGTGAACCAGGGTTTTCGCTAAAAGGCTGAATTTGGGATCGTTTTTGGAACACTGCGGCGGGAACTCTCTCGGCAGCGCGCGTAAAGAAGACAAGACCCCTTAAACAGGCCGAAACTGATATTTAGGCCTGGCCCAGGAAAGTTTAGGCCCGAAGACTAAGCGGGTCGTGATCGGGACTAGGCCCACCCACCAACGGCTGTAACCGCCAACAACCGCCAAGAGGACGATTCTCTAGCCTCCGGCGTCGCGTTCATTCTCATCGTCAAAACCGAAGAGAAAACAGATCTTTTTGCTTGTTGGCATTGTCACTCTTCAAACACTGCTGCAAGTGTGAGACCAGTCCAGCCGCAATAAACAACAGGAACTCAGTCGAGCTGAAGAAATAAGATAGAGCAGCTCATTGAAGAAGAGAAACCGAGCTAGGAAAAAGGCGGGATCTTTAATCGAGGGGACGACCCAAACGTGGCTTGCTGATGGAGTTGGATCTTGGTTCGCTACTTCACGCCCTGATTCCCACCTGGAACTCTGTAAGCATCTCCTCCTAGCCAAGCTCCGTATAATGCCTGATTTTTTTCTGACGAGTTCTAATGGCAATTCGTGCTTAGGTTGCTGTATTGGGTGTGTATTTCGGGTATCTGGCGATTGCTGGATCTATATTGCCTGGGAAAGTAGTTTCGGGTGTTACCTTACAGGATGGCTCCCGTCTCCATTATCGCTGCAATGGTTTGTTCTAGTCTCTTCTCGATGTTTGAAACTTCATTCTGTTTTATATGCTGATTAGAGGCCTCTTTGACAGGCTTGCTGTCTTTGTTATTGCTGGTTGGGCTGCTTGGTGTTGGAGCTCAGATGGAGATCGTTTCAGCTACTGTGAGTTCCGTTCCGTGGCAATGTTCCGAATTCTGGGGTAATTGGTTTTCGTTGTGCTGATGGTTCTCTGAGAGCAATGTTTGCAGGTGATATCAGAGAGAGGACTTGAGCTTCTGTCAGCAACATTTATATTCAGTGTTGTGGTGAGTGATGAGCTTACAAGATTTTTCCACTTTTGGCTCGGAATTGAGTTTTTGGCGTTCATGTCATTTGATATTCAGTGGAGAAATTGGAATGCAGGTGACAATGATGCTGTATGTAGCTGGTCGCTTGTCAAAGAATAAGGTTTCTTCCCTTAGGCCTCATGTCACTGGGAATCTTATAGAAGACTGGTACTCTGGCCACATATAAATCCTTATAACTTCACAATGATGTTTTTTTCCTTGCTAGGATGATTTTTGCAAATTGAAGTTTCCTGGTAATCTTTATTCCATTTTTGTAACATGGATAAGGGACATTGTGCTTTTGCTGAACTTAAAGCTGTCATCCCTTGTGTGCAAACATGAACTTAGATTTTTATGAGCAATGATTAAGTATCACAACTATTGGAGCCATTCTTCCTTCATGAGCGTACTTGTAGTTCATAACTTGGAGCATTTCAGTTAAATCTAGAACTTATGGTGATAACACTGGAAAAGCAGACTTCTAGTGCACAAAAACTTGTGCAACAGACAAACATTGGATCATCCACATGCTCTTCCCAATTCATAATGTATTGATTCTGCCCACCTGAGTGATTCTGAAATTATTTTCTTCTTGTGCTATTCTTCAGGTGGTTTGGGATACAGCTCAATCCTCAGTTTTTTAGTATTGATTTAAAGTATGTAAGCTTGTTCCCATTTGGCTTCACTTGGTTCTTTCGGTAAAAGCATTGAGGCTAACTGTAAATTAGTTTTCTTCTGCAGATTCTTCTTTGTTAGAGCTGGAATGATGGGATGGCTGTTTATAAATCTGTCAGTTTTAGCAAAGAGTATCCAAAATGGTACCTTGAACCAGTCAATGATCCTTTACCAAAGCTTCTGTACAGTAAGTTGCAATTGTATACTTGGTAGTGTGATTTCTTTTAAGAAATAGGTCTGATACCCCTGGTGAATCCTTTGCTCTCTGCATCCTTTTTGCAGTTATACATCCTAGACTACTTCTTCTACGAAGAATACATGACCTCTACGTAAGTACACCTGAAGAACATGTTCTTGGTCCCAATTCATGAGCTGCTGTTGTTTTTCTGTGGCCAAAACTCCAGAATGATCTTATTCCATCCGTGACTTTCTGGCTTATCTTCACTGTTCTCATCTCTAGATGGGACATAATTGCCGAGAGATTGGGCTTTATGCTGGTGTTTGGGGATCTTGTCTGGATTCCTTTTACCTTTAGCATTCAGGTATTTAACTTTGCACTTCAAATTCAGCTTGGTCTTTATTTCATCCTAGAACACACGAACTGTGGAAGTACTTCTTCAATTATCCATGAGTAATTATCTTTGTATGCTCCACTCCCTAATCTCTAACCAGTTTAGAGAAAAACTTGGCATACCTTATATCAGATATGATCAAAATTTTAAACAGGGATGGTGGCTGCTAAGAAACAACGTGGAACTAACAACAGCAGCCGTCATTGCTAATTGCTTTGTTTTCCTGTTGGGGTAAACTTCTTCCAAGAGTAATGCACTGCTGCTCTATTTCACTTGTTTATAAGTAGTACCTAAACTCACGTTGCTGGAATGTATTAAATCTTGTACAGATATATGGTATTCAGAGGAGCTAACAAGCAGAAACACGATTTCAAGAAGGATCCCAAAGCGCCAATTTGGGGACGGGCGCCGAGAGTCATTGGAGGAAAACTGCTTGCTTCTGGATATTGGTATGTCTGACTGTCTGTGTTAATTCTTCCCCCAATCATGACATGCTAAGCTTTGTCGGTGATTGATGCTTCGCTCCAACTTATGATCTTGACGCTATGTGATGTTGTTCTTCATGAAGGGGAATCGCCAGGCATTGCAATTATCTCGGGGACTTAATGCTGGCTTTGTCATTCAGCCTTCCATGCGGAATAAGGTGATTTTTCCCGCCCAGCTTCGCATTTTTATGTCATTTTTGCCCTGAGCTTCACCCTCGAAAGCTCATTTCCTGCCTGCCATTTACTTGCAGCTCTCCGGTTCCATACTTCTACCCAATCTATCTCCTGATCCTGCTGATATGGAGAGAGAGAAGAGATGAAGCTCGCTGCGCTGAGAAGTACAGAGAAGTGTGGGCAGAATACCGTCAATTGGTTCCGTGGAGGATATTGCCATACTTGTATTAGAACTAACTCTGGGAATGAACTTTCGGTTCTTGCTTTGTATGCTTGTGTACGCTTAAGTCTTAACCACTCTAGTCAGTTCCTTAACTTGCTACTTGCTGTCATTACTTCTTTGGGCTACTATTAATGGCATGAAACAACGCCGCGCTCTGTTTATTAACAAAGGAGAATAGCGTATCCTCTGTTGCTAGAAAGAAAATCTAGTGCAGCAATGGCGGAAAACAGTGGAATGATTTCGGATAAAAAAAATAGTACTGCTTGAGTTTTGGCGGAAAACAGAGGGACCCGAAACGCAGAATGTTTTTGCGGCTCTCAAAACCAAAATCGAAACGCGATATCTTGATGATATCGCACGTTATTTTGGCGATCTGTGACTGGCAGGCCACCCGGTTGGCGCCTTATTACGGTTTTAACTGTTGGACAGTCGAGTCGAGGGTGTAAGGAGGGTTTTAGCTGGAGAAGGAGCTCAGAAACCACCGCCGAAGCTCTGCAATGGGGGCGAGGCAGTTGCCGCGGCGTCTCCTTCCCATACTCAGTTCCCCAACTCCCATAAATAAGTTCCCTCCGACCTTCTCTTCTTTTTCTTCTCCTTTCTGCTCGCTCTCTCCGCCACGGCAAGCCGAAGACCAGGAACGCCATGAACTAGTTGGAAAGCTGCTGGGCCTCCTTCAGGAAGGCGGCGAATCGGCGGCTTACCAATTCACCAAATCACTCGTTCTTTCAAAGTCTCGGTTTTCGTCACCCTCCGATCTGCTCTCTTTCATCTCCGTCGCTTCTCCATCGTTGAGACCAACTCTCTCCCACATGCTGCTGGCCATAAGCTGCGAGTCCAAAATGGAAGGCCTAGGTTACAGGGAAAGGAGGGATCTTTCTCCATTTTTAACTGCTAGGGAGTGTATGGGGACGCTGGTGGAGATGAAGCAGTTTGAAAAGGTGCTGGCTTTGGTTGCCGAGACAATGGAGTTGGGTTTCAGGCTTGATACGTTCATGTACGGGAAAGCTGTGCAAGCCGCTGTGAAGTCGGGGGATCTGAAGAAGGGTACGGAGCTTTTTGAGTCGATGAAGAGTTGTGGAGTGCGTCCTAATGTGTTTGTTTTCAATGTCCTGATCGGTGGACTGTGCAAGGAGAGGAGAATCCGGGATGCCGAGAAGAAATGTGCAAGTGGAACTTGGCTGCTAATAAAGTGACGTATAATACATTGATCGATGGGTATTGTAAAGTAGGGGAAGTAGATGCAGCATTTGGTTTGAGAGATAGGATGAGGAAAGAGAACGTTGAGCCGAGCGTTGTAACTTTCAACACGCTGCTAAGTGCCTTGTGTAAGGCTAAGAGAATGGGAGAAGCCCAAATACTGTTGAAGGAGATGAAGGAATATGGGTTTGAGCAGGATGGCTTTACTGTATCCATACTTTTGGATGGTATGTCGAAGAGTGGCGATGGAGCAGGCGCATTGGAATTGTACGAGACAGCCATTTCTGACGGAGTTCGGATCAATAACTACACCAGTAGTATTCTTTTGAACGGGCTGTGCAAAGAAGGTAGAGTTGACAAGGCTGAAGAGGTTTTGTCGAAACTGGAGAGTCGTCTGGCTCCTGATGAAGCGGTTTACAACAATATTGTGAACGGGTACTGTCTGGTTGGCGACATGGATAGAGCGATTTTGACCTTGGAGCGCATGGAAAGAATTGGGTTGAGACCAAATAGTATCACTTTCAATTGCTTGATTCACAAGTTTTGCGAAATGCAGAAGATGAACGAGGCGGAGAAGTGGATCGAGAACATGGTAAAGAAGGGAGTTGCCCCAACTGTGGAGACTTATAACACTCTGATTGATGGCTATGGACAAGCTTGTGTATTTGACCGGTGTTTTGAACTTCTAGATGAAATGGAAACCAAAGGGTTAAAGCCCAATGTCGTAAGTTATGGTTCATTGATAAACCGTTTTTGCAAGCAGGGAAAGATCCTTGAAGCAGAAATAGTGCTTAGAGATATGTTGGGAAAGGGGGTTCTTGCCAATACACAGATATACAATATGCTCATTGATGGCAGCTGTTTGGCTGGGAAGTTGAATGATGCTTTGAGATTCTTTGATGAGATGTCGAGGAGTGAAATCCCGTTTACACTTGTGACCTTCAATGCATTGATTAACGGTCTTTGTAAAAAGGGGAAGTTAACTGAAGCTGAAGACTTGGTTCAAGAAATTACCAACCATGGTATTAGCCCAGATGTCATAACCTACAACTGCTTCATCTCTGGGTATGCAAATGCTGGAAAGAGGCAGAAATGTCTCGAGGTCTACGAAACTATGAAGAAGTCAGGAATCAGACCTACTGTAAGTACGTACCATCCCTTGATCAATGTCTGTAGCAAGGAAGGGGTGGAGATTGTGGAGAAACTGTTCAATGAAATGTCACAAATGAACTTGGTTCCTGACAGAGTTGTGTATAATGCCATTATCTTTTCCCTTGTGGAGGCTGGACTTGTTGAAAGAGCCTTCAGTTTACATGATGAGATGAAAGCTAGGGGCATTCTACCAGACAAGATGACCTACAATAGTCTGATTCTGGGATGCCTTAGAGAAGGGAAGTTGTCGGAAGTGAACAATCTCGTCGTCGACATGAAGGCCAGAGGGATAGCCCTAAAAGCTGATACTTACAGTATTCTGATTAAAGGCTACTGTGAACTAAAGGATTTTGGTGGAGCATACTCTTGGTACAGAGAAATGTACGACAATGATCTCTTGCCAAACGTCGGTATGTGCAATGAACTAGCCTCTGGCCTTCGAGAGCAAGGGAAAGAGGAAGAATCCCAGATTTTGTGCTCGGAATTGAGCATTAAAGGTGTAGATGATCCGAACCCCAGTGAGGACCTTCCCTATCAACATGTGATCTGTTAAATGAAGTTATTTGGGGGAGCTTCTTCATATTCATAAGGCGTGATATTGGCATAATGATCTTGGTTCTACTTCAAGTGAAAAGTTTGTAACTGTTACCTTGTACTCTTGAGTTATATGTACAGATGGCATTTCCTCTTCTGTTATCTTATTTGTCTGAGATGCTTTTGGAGAAGCCTAAAAGGGTAATGCACAACGATTCATTAGGCTGCGAATATTTTGGTCTGCTCCTTTATGCTCTATGTCTGCAAATAACTTCACCAGTGCCTGCTTTCTACCTTCTGCATTGTCTCCCACAGAATCGACCACACACCCAACTGAAATTTAGATGCAAGTTTCTGAGTAGATTGGGTTTATTGGAGAATGGAGACCCAATTCAACGTTGTGTTACTCAAGAAGGGATTTTCATTTCAGGATAGTAAATGTTAAAAGGATGTTTAATACGAATTAAGTCTTGTGACTTGAGTTATGCTGGTCCTTTCCAGAAAAAAATTATTGCTGTTGGTAATAGGTTAAAGAACAAATATTTCACCTATACTTCAGTGGGGTGCTGGGTGGCAGTAGGTGGTGAGAAGCTCCCTTTCCCCCCCTTTACTTTTCCTCTCCAGTTTTTCTTTTCAACACATTTTGGGTGTTCCGAAAACAATGATGCAGGTAGAACAAGATAAGCTTCGTTGTAGTTGAGTGCAGTGGAGGGTTCCTTTTGTCTCAACATAGACATCAGTTGAATCATCCCTTCTTCGTTCTCTTGTTTTTCTTTTGGCTTCTGGTTTTCTTAAACTGGGTGAAAAAAGAGGGGAGGACAAGTAGGGTGTGGGAGCCATTCAAAGCAAAGCACCGATCGTTCATCTCATCACATGGCCAGCTGACCATGACCGAGGCATCGACGGTAAATGGGCCTGGGGTGGCGATTTGGGCGAATGGCAAATCCATAAATATTCGACAAACTCAAAAGATTTGGGTTGTGTTAGTGTGTGGTATATAAATCACGATTGAATCTCTCCTAATAATTCGAATTATTTGGATCAACTGATTTTTGATAGGCTGATAAAAAAACAAAATCACAGAATTGGGCTTTTGTCTATAAAAGTCCATTTGAATAACACTGGTAGTTACCAACCATACAAATCATCTCATCTGTAATTTGATTTGAAGATTTGAGTCCAATGTACAATGAGTTATTCTTACAACGAGTTGTTATCAAGAATAAAAATCAAGAAAGGAAAATAAAGCAGAATTTATTTGACTATTATGTCACTTCATGAACAACCCTATTCACATAACAACGTACAACATAAAACATAGGGGATAATCTGTTTCTGGGCACTTACCCAATGAAACTAATAAGACCTTATTCACACGCCCAAGTTAAATTTATTTGAGCATGCATTTTTACTCGAGACAAGTTTCCGAGAGTAGCAATGTCCTATGCTTAGTGTTAGCTTGGATGTTGTTGTCAACCTAGAACTAAAGATTTAAGCATGGGAGTAGGTCAATGGCCAATCACAACAACGACACTCTCTAATTTAAATCAAGAAATTGGTGCTTAAGGTTGGAGAGTGACAAATATAACATATAAATGTTAACAATGGCCTAGGTATACTGTGTGTATGGCTTGACTTGACTTACTAGTCGAGGTAAACCCTAATTCATTGATACTCACACAACTTGATTCATAACCAACCATCTATGGTTCGTGGTTATACGACTTTGTATACTATTTTACTTATAATGAAGCCTATTCACGTCAAATATGGTATAAAAATTACCTCATAATTTTATATATATTGGCGTCTTCGGTGAGCTCACTTTTTTGGGTGCATTCAGTGCACTCGATTCCTAACCGTCATTTTAAACATGCGATTTATGTTTATGTCAATCATCACTTATGATGTGATGAAAAATAACGCACATGAATTTGCCCAAAAACCATTAAAGATTTGCTTTAATTTGAAGGATTTAGAATTTAGAGATTTAGGGTTAGGATTAGGGTTTACAATTTGAGGTTTAGGGGTAGAACTCAAAATTGGAGATATAGGGGTTAGGGTAATCCACTAATTATTCATGAACAAGGAAAATTTTCTTGATCCAACAATTTCTCCCAATTTTTCTCCCTTCCCCTGATTTCCCTCCTACATGAAGAGAGTGGTAGGGAGTGTACATGGGCGTTGCGCCGTGCTTGGGCCGGCCCAGGCCCGGGCACGGTTCGAAGCGTGTCGTGCCTATTCGTGCTCGTGCCATGCTCGTATTCGTATTTAATGAAAATGAAGAAAACAAAAGAGAGAATGAAAAAGAATGTGAAAATTGGACAGAGAAAGATAGTATTAACCGATAATGTTTGAGAAAAGTAACAAATAAGGGAGAAAAGAAAATTGGAAATATAACGAGTGTGATTTGGCTTTGTTTAATTATTCGTCCATTTTTACTTATGGTAGTAATTACGTATATATCTTTATGACACTTCTAACATATAATTCTTTTTATATTTGTTTTCTATCAAATAAATATTATTTTCGTGCCATGTTCGTTCTTATACTCAATAAAGTCTCGAAAATATTAGGCCCGACACAACCCACTTATATACCGTGTCGTGCTCGTGCACGTGCCTATGAAGTTTAGACCCGACACGACCCATAAATTATTCGTACTCGTGTCAGGCTGGCCCATTTATTTTGTGATCGTGCTCGTGTCGTGCTCTAACCGTGCGTGCCGTGCTAGCCCGTGGGCGGCACGGCCCGTTGCCCACGTACAGTAGGGAGGCATGAGGCATTAATAAAAAATAGAAAGAAGGGAAGATCTAACCTTGAACTTTGGACATTGATTTGACAAACTATTATCATTGTACACATCCAGAAGTCAGGGCACTTAGTTCTTTTCAAAAGATTCCAAGTTGAACACCTGAATATTAAATTAATTTAAAAGTCAAAGAACTTGAATCATCTTTTCAAGTATTTTTTTTATGAATAAAAGAGTTTGTCACAAGAGAAAGAAACAAACTAATAAACAATCAGCCAAAGGCATAAATATAGGAGACATTGACCCTACACAAAAGTCACACATCCACAAAGTTTCTCAATGATTGGTTCCTAAAAGATAGGATATAAATATATTCACATTGGAGCTATAGTTAGATTGTTGTTTAATGACTTTAATGTTCTGTCACCTCATTTTATTTTATTTTATGTTTTGTATATTATGTATTATACATTTTTAATCACGAGTTATATAATACATATAATCTACAAAATCGATTTATCAAGAGAAAAAAAACAACTCTGCATGAAGTGGATTCAGTGGATGACCACATTCTCACTAGCAGAAACCCTTCAGTCACCATTTCACATTCCACTTAAGCATCTTGTCGGACTAGCAAACAACACTAATGTATACATCCCAAGACAAACATTGTTGGCAATAGGTGGATTCAGTAAGGATGACCATATTCTTGCAAGCAGGAACCGTTTCATTGTCATCATTTCCTTATCCAAATATTTTGTTCCGAATTATCGAGGATGTCCACCAAAGTGTGATCTTCCCACTAGTTGAGCTTCACCACCAAGTTGTATAATTTTCAAAGACACCCTGTCATGTTATCATGTCCTCGAGACTACAATTCAAAATCCATATGTGCATCCCCAAACGCCAAGAATTTTGCTCCAAAATCATGGTTTTATTCTTTCTCTCGACCAAACTATTCTCTTTCGACATACGTACTATTCTACCTCACTGTCAAAATGGTGTTTCTGTCAAGATCATCCAAAAATACCATTTATCATGTTGTTTAATAAAACTAAACTGATCAGGGTGTAATTGCTTATGCATTAAAGTGTTTTTTTCACATACTTTTCAGATGACTTATTGAAAATTTTCCATTACTATAGTTACCAAGCAACACTTCTATATGAATGGGAGGTGAGGAGTTCACATGTATTTACCTAGTTTGCTACTTTCGAGTTTTTGCAACCAACTAGTCTTTTGTACTTCCTATCACTTCTATACAACTTGTTCGGAGTTAAAGCTGTTCAAAACATGTTGATGCTTTAGATGACATCCTAAGCACATTTTAAGCATTTATGTGTTGTTATTGTTTTTAGTGTCTTAAAACAATAAATATAAAAACTATAGTTAAAAAAACTATAGTTAAACTAATATCCCCTAAAAGCTTGCGGTTTTTTTCCTGATTGTTGATGCTAGTTGGTTATGTACTGGTTGCGTTGGTTGTCTGGTGCTCTCCCCTCGCTGGTTGTTTTTCTTTTTTACCTTTCTTTTGCTCCTGTGTCTCCTCCCTCTTCTCTTTTATCGGGTTTTTCTATTTTGTGTGGGCAGGGGCTTCCTGGTTCGCCTATCTCTTTTTGGCGCTCGCACTTCTCGTTCTGGCCTTTTTCTTTTGTTGCTGTGTTCGTCCGTTTGGACTCGTTTTTTGGTTTATTAATGCAGTTATCACCATTATAAAAAAAAACTTAAGCTCAACTAATATCCCCTAAAAAGTTTGCGGTTTTCCGGAAACGAGGAACCTCATCTTTCTCATCCATTTTATGTCTTCCAATCACCCAATGTTTTGGCGACACAAAAATAGTGGGTTGGTCATACTTTATCGTCCAAGAACAAAGACTCACAATGTCAATTTGCCAAAGAAAATATGAGGTCATGTGTATATTTTCAAAAGTATTTATGACATCTATGGTTCTTTGTCTCCTAAAAAGGTTAACAATACGACATGTAATTGACCTACTATCAACTAAAACTCACACCAGCATAAAATCAAGAGATATATCATCTTTATATTTCCTTTTTACTTCTTAGTGTCGTCACGTAAGAGGGCATGAATACATAGAAAGAAGAATCGTATCAACTTTGCCTTGCATAAGATAACAAAAGTCATAACTCAGGTCACACTTCATACTAAACGATGAACATGGTATATCAACACTTATTCTATGTACCAGATGATACACACCCCATAATCATATCCACTTTCCAGGGCTCAAGCCTCCATGACTACCTTCATACTATTATTTCTTCATCCCTTCAATTGTTGAAGTATTTCTAATTTTGTATCTATTAAACTAAGATGCTAAGACTGAAGTTGAAATGGGATCTAGTACTTATTTACAACTGATTTTACGTCAATATAAGTAGCTTAGGTTCCAAGATGGGGTGAAATGACATCATTTCATATCAAAATAATATGATATTCTGAATACTAAGATACTAGTTCATATTGTTGGGTCGGTTGAAATTGAGGGAGCATAACATAAAGGCCATGTCATGCTCTTATTGTGCTCTTGTCCAACAATGGCAAGACAATATAGCATGATGTGACTTTTATTAAATTGATTTACAAAATTTTTGACTTAGTTCTCTAAGAATTTTTTATAAAAAAAAGAATTTGTACGAAAAGATATATCCGACCCCACAATCACTGACACCAACCATAATAACGGTTTGCACTTTTCCACTATGGACGAAGTCACTGTGGAAAAGCAACCACAACGATATAAATAATTAGTAAGCTAGGAAATAAATAAAGGACTACACTAGATAATACTATTGAAATGAGAGGCATATGTTCACCACAACGATATGTCATTCAGAAAATTCAATTTCTTTCCGATTGTTAATCTTGATTCACAGGGACGCTGATTTGATTACATATTGAACTTCAAGTCTTCAATCTAATAATAAATGGTCGCAATTTTATTTTTAGCCATGAAAAGATAAATAAATCATATAATAAGATGAAAGTAGTGTTCCATTTCGAAAACAAAAAATTAAATTGTATTATAATAATTGAATCTTTAAATCTAAATATCAATATTGTAAAAAAAATATAATAAATAATTAACTTTATTCCAACAACTCGAATTATTAATAAAAATCCCAAATTTAAATCCAAACGAATAACAAACTTTCCCTCCACTTCCCTGACATTCGGCCAGGAGGAAGGGAGCGAGAGGAGAGGGAATAGGGATGGACGAATGCAACCGGTAGTAAAGGTTGCCAATGAGCGCACAAGCGTGCCGGTAGCAGACTAGATAAAGGGGTGTGCTGAATAAATAAATAAATAAACAATTTATTTATTATGCATGACGACGGTCACGTGACTTCCCAAAACACATGCTACCGCCTAAGATTCACTAGATGTTTATTATTCTTGCAGTATATTTTAAAAAACGTAACACAAAATACATATTTTTGGCATTGAAAATGTAATAATTTGATCAGAATTATATTATCCTACTAAGTTAGGATGTTGGAACTCAAGTGGCAATTAGAATCCAATCAAATCGATCAATCTATACTTTTATATTTTGGTACCTAAATTTTATTTTTTATACGAAAAATATCATTGGAAAATTATATTTTGGTACCTAAATTTTTTTATAATATTTTAGTACCTGAACTTTTCGAAAATTTACATATTGGTCCAAGGCTTGGATGTCATTTGAATTCATGGATCAATCCACCAAACATTTGATCCAATCCATGAATCCACCAATCTATTTTATCCATAAATCCGCCAATCCATAAATCCAATCCATGTGCCACCTCTAATAGTAATCATGGAAAACTAGCAACCAGATATCAGTTTAATTTTATTTCTAGATCACATAGAGAAACTATGGTACCAAATTTGTAATAAAAGATTCAGAAATATTTCGCTAAGTCAATCTACACCGAGATTTAACATGTGCATTGATATAGAAATGACACCCATGAGAATTGATTAGCCTAGTAATTAGACTAGGGATAAGAATGACAAACTTGTAGCCCCAACTCGACCAGTTAGAAGTATTCTAAAAGAGGTGGATGAAGCAAACTAGATATGCATAATCTAAAAGTTTCTATAATCTTTTTGTTGAGACGTCATCGATTATAATAACTCAAAACAAATTGAATTTGGTTAGATCATATCATCAGTAAAATTAATCATCAATAGATTCATTTCGAACATTATCGAACGATAATTCGCTCATCACGTCAACCACTCCTCATTAATGAATCATGCTGCGTTGAATATGTGAAGTGACGACTAGTGATGGTTTTACTATATCCCTATGTTTAAGATACTTTAGGTGACAAGACATCCTTAGGAGAAGAAACTACCATGTTTTCCAACTAGTAAAGGGTTCATGTTCATAGGAGGGGTGGGGGGCGTGATTATGACGAAATGATAAAAATCGGGTTCAAAACATTAGAAAAGCAAAACTCCAATGAGTAGAGTGTATTCCTAAGAGTATGTATTGATATGAAAATTTTCAAATTAAGTATTGTGTTTCCTCGCTAAATTAGTCTCCTATATAGATCAATGAAAAGGCTTGAAGAGAAACGCGCACCCTCAAAATCTGTTTCGAATAAGACAAAATGCATGAAAAGAAAGCAGACAAAGTAAAAAGACTTGGGTCAAAAGCCGGTATATGTAACGGACTTCACGGGCAAATGTATGGTGTCAAAGAGAAGAAAAGGGAAGAAACTTAAAGCAAAGTTGAAAAAGGGAAAGCAAGAAGATAAAACCCTAGTTCGGACGCTGGACAAGACCGGCATGGACGCCACATGTTGACTCGTTTCGCCACGTATTTCTTAATTATCTTAATGTCGCCGAATCAACTCACGTGTTTACACCCTCTGCTGGATTCTCCACTAGCCGCGATCATCAATGCTTCACATGCCAGTTGTTTTAAATATCATCCCTCAACAAACTCCGCTAAACTTGAGTGACACCTAAAACATCTCCTTACGCAAATAACCCCACACTCCCACACTTTTCCTGCTCCTCTATTATGATTAGAACAAGTGTAAGAAAACCTTCTCTTAAACGAAAAACCTAGTAAGTTCCATTAGGTAACCAAGTAGTATGGTATTTTGTCATAGGGTAAATTCACTTACCACTTACAATGCAATCAAAAGCAACTATTGTTATTTTGTTTAATTTACAACTAGCCAAGAATTCACCACTAGCAACAAAATCTAATCTCGCCATTGACTTGTCAAGAACCAATCGCAGACTAAATCCTAGCCACAAATCATAACAAACCTTAGAAGGCCAAAAATGGAATTTCCCCATCCATATTATGGGAGAGCACGTAAAAATATTATTATATTACGGTTGGCCTAGTGATAATGCAAATACGTTTACCACTGAACGTTGCCGCCACCCTACCATGCTAAACTCGCCAATTAACCAACTTTACCGCGGGAAAAAGAAAAAATAAAAGGAATAAAGAGAAGAATTTTTTTACCGGGAGAGCCAGTCACCTAGCAGGAAGTAATAATAGGGTTAAATTATAAAACCCGCTGGTCCCTCGCGTTCGGTCTCTCCTTAGCTAACTCTCTCTCTCTCTCTATGAAGTCTCCTCTCTCAATCCCACCTCCTGGTTTTTCTCCGTTCTCTCACTAGGAAGAGCTCTGCACTTAACTCTACCTCTCTCTCTCTCGCGGACCGACTGAAACAGATCTCCAGCATTGACTCAATCGTTCAGGTAACTCCGTTTTTAATGAAATATAAATCTTCCCCTTGTTAATGCCCCCTTTGAAGGTTTTTAGCTTTGTTTTTTTATTTATTTCTGTTATGTTTGGGCCAAAAGCAACAACAGAAAGAGAGTAAATTGGCTTATTGCGAGGAGATAAGAATCGCTGGAGGTGATTTCAGTTTTTTTTTTTTTCCTTCGTCTCGTGCCAATTTGCTGCTGTTGATTTTTCCATTTTTACACAATTAATTTTTACTATTGTTGTTAGCATTCAATCGTAGTTACTGTTTTTCACTTAATAAACGATTCTCCAGGCTTTTTCGTTTTTCTTCTGTTTTTGGGTTTGGTAAACAATCTCCTTTCTCCTCTCTTTGCTCTACCACAGAGCTAATGTGAGAGCTCCACAGATCTGCCAGGTAACTGCTCCCAGAGGAATTATGGCCGACTGTTAGGAGAGGAGGGTTTTTCTCTAAATCCCTATTTTGCTGATTTTTTTTTTTTTTTTTGTGTTTGATTCTATCTAGGATTCGTCTATCTACAATAATGCCTCTAGAATTGGACAAAGAAGAGGGAAGCAATTTCGTTTTGGGCTAGAAGAGCCGCATCAAAGGAGCAGAATTCAGGCAGTTGGGTGGGGAGAAAAACTAAAATTTTCCTCTACTGTGAGTTGAGGAGAAGACTCACAGGGGTTTCTGACGGGATGGATTCGGGCTTGAGGTCGTTTTTTCAGGCGCCGTCGGTGATCTACACCGACGGGCAGGGTAATCCAGTGCAGCAGCAGCAGCACTCCGACTGGTTGTCGGGGTTTACATCTCCGGCGGGTGGGGAATTCGAGGCATGCAATGCAATTGAATTGGACAGATGGAAGGATATTCCTTTCACATGCCTGCTGGGTCTGGATGAGAGCAGGACTCTAGAGATGGGAGGAGATCTTCTTGCTTCTTCTGCATGGAATACAACACCCTTTAATTTGGGAGTTCATGATCCAGGTAAAATATGCTGTCAGATTTTGTTGTTTAAGAGTGGATTTTGGTGTAGCTTTATGAAAGTTAAGAAGGGTTGTTAAATTTTTGGGAGATTTTTGCAGTTCCTGCTCAGTACGACCTCAATTTACCTCATGAGAGCACGGCGGATTCGTCGTCATTTGGGGGAATAGACTTTCTCTTTGCTCCTGTGACACCACACAAGGCGATGGACGGAACCCCTGCAGCAATGGAGAGAGATGTGAGAGTGGAGAGTAGACATGGTTTGTCTTGTGGAGAAACAGCAGACAAGCAAGCTGCTATCAGTCCACTTAACCTTGAGTTTACTTCTGAGGCTAGGAATGTTGTTCTGGTTCCGGATCCAGTTCCGGATTCTTCATCGACGATTGGGTTGACGACACAGGAGAATCAGAACAGGGAGAAGGTGGACTTCAGTGTCATCGACTTGAACAAAACACCACCAACGAAGAAACCCAAGAGGAAGAAGCACGTACCCAAAGTGCTGGTGGAAGGCAAGAAACCAAAGACCCCAAAACCACAGACCCCGAAGCAGCCCAAGAGGAAGTATGAGAAGAAGAACAAGTTGAGTCCTCCAGCTGCTGATGCTGCTGCTGCTGTTGCTAATGGTAGTGGAGAGGTAGAGATCCCGAACAGTGAAGAGTCTGCCACATCAAATGCGAATCAGACCGGCAAGAGGAAGAACATGAAGTCTGACACCCTAACTTCTCCGGTGACTAAAGAGGGCACACCAAGGATTAAGAGGAAGTACACAAGGAAGGGCTCAAGAGACAGTCCAACAGGAACAGTTGGGGAATCAGAAGCAATCTCTGGAGGTAAGAGAATATATAGCCTGCAAATATCGTTAATTTGTTCAAGAAGCATTTGAGGGGAGTCCAAAGTCATGACCAATTTGCTCTTACTGTTTTTGTGCAGGAAAGTCGGGATGTACGACTCTTCCTAGAGAAGCAACAGGGGAATCTGTGGATCCACAAGGTCGTCCTCAACCTGCCAAAAAGAGCTGTAGGAGGGCGTTAGATTTTAGTTCAGAAGAAGCAGGAAATCAAAGGTTTACAAAGAAGCTATCCTCACCTAGTTTGGTGTCTGAGCCAGTTGCAAAAAGCCAAACGGCGTCCATTTCTTTTGGAGATGGAATTGAAGTGAGGATGCAGAATACTTCCACAGGATCTCCATTCGACTTCGAAAGTTCCGTCACAGACCTGCTTAAAAGTTATTCACCGAAGGCAGGAAATCAAGCAAACACTAAAGGAAAAGGGATGTTAGCCACTCAGTCCATGCAGCAATACAACACCCAAATTTCACTTTCTAATGCATCAAGCTGTAGTGGCTCAGTCAGAACTTTGACTGAGCTCGGTGAAGCAAGTGTTTCACGGAACACAAATTCCAGTCCTAGTGAACCAGGCATAAATGTGGCTGGGCATTTTTACAATGGGTTCTCTATATGCCAGACATGGCCTTGGACACTAATGCCAGAGTGTCGGAAAAAGAGGGGCGAAAAGGCCCAAAATTCTGCTGTGTCTAGCATACCTATTGTCTCCCCAGCTGCCAGAACAGTCGATCACTTTTCTTATTATGCTCATTCTCACGAAAACAGACTTCTTTCTGGGACAGTTGGAAAAGCAGAATCTGCTGGCTTTCTTCAATATAACCTCCACAGTTCCAGTCCACTAAATGAGATTGATAAGTCAACAAAAAGAAGGTCTAAAGCTCCTGTTCGGGTTCACGATCTGGGTTCTCTTGTCACTATCCCTCAGCATAACAATCAGCACATTCAGAACTTAAACAGGCGTGAGGTACGTATGGGAGCCTTACTTGCAGGTCCTCAAGCAACCTTAAAGAAGCCAAAGAAGAATAGTAAACGGGATTCTCTAGGTAGATATGCATCCTCAAGTACTCATGACAAAGGACAACACGGGAGGATGGTTTTATTTAATCAGAACCAATTCTCAGGTCAGCCTTTGGAACCAGAACTGTCACTGAATAGATAAGTTTCATAAGGTTCTATACTGTTTTCCTTATATCTTAGTGCTTGATGCAGGTTCCCTGGACATGCTATTCAACCAGATGCTCAATGTGGATGAGTTAGCTGAGCAATTAAAGCACCTTAACATCAATAGGGAACGCCCTAAAACAACTTCAGCATCAAAAGAACTAGTTCCCTACAGGGCCAGCAAAAGCAAAAAGAAGCAGAATGCAATGGTTATCTACAGAGGGGATGATAGGATGGTTCCATTTGAAACCGTGAAGAGAAAGCGACCCAGGGCAAAGGTTGAAATAGATGACGAAACACTTAGGGTGTTTAATCTTCTACTAAAAAGCATAGACAGTGAAGGTATTGATGGAACGGATGAAGCAAAGGCAAAGTATTGGGAAGAGGAGAGAAGGATCTTCCGTGGGCGCACAAATACATTTATAGCAAGAATGCATCTTGTACAAGGTAACACAAACAGTTCGTCCATGCTTTAGTTTGATGATGTACTTACAATATTTGAATCCAATCATATACAGGTGGCTCTCATCTTACATGCCATGCCCTATTGATGACATCAGGGTTTATATTGCTACCAAATACGAAATTAAACACTGTGGTTGAATACTGACGTCCAATTTAGTATATTAGACTAGAAGTTTCAAGGAGGGCACTCAAATAAGTTTCAATGAAATGTTATGAAGTCTATCAAACTTTGATGCCTACGGTATTTTTACGATTTCAGTTAGACTTCCCATAATCAGCCTTAGTACGTCGCATCTGGTTATGCTATTCCTGCACCCTAAAAAGTCTTTCTTAAAAGTGGATTTTGGAAATCTCCCCAGTATGGGCACCATGGGATCTCAAATGACTTCTGAAATTATCTCATGTCCTTTATCATTTTCTAACATTACATTGCAACTTTTGAAGGGGATAGGCGCTTCTCGAAATGGAAAGGATCAGTTGTGGATTCAGTTATTGGAGTGTTTCTGACTCAAAACGTTTCAGACCATCTTTCTAGGTAAGGACAGGTTTTCAAGGTAATCCATTGAATAACTATATCAGATTATAAATAGAAAGGGAGATCGGCTTACATTTCCGTTTTCATTTCAGCTCTGCATTTATGGCAATGGCTGCTCGTTTCCCCATTAAGAGAAATCAGGAGCCACAGTGCGAAGAGGGAGGGTCCATAGTGATCAACCCGACAGTTTCTATGCCAGATGACGAATGCTTGAACTGGGATGAAATGTCGAATCAATCCATTTCTGACCAGATTTCCATGACTCTTTGTGACCCTCAGCTTGAAGAAACAGAAGTGGCCCATAACCTGGATTCCACAAGCAGCACGAGCACTAATATTTGCTTGACACCTGGCACAGAGAATTACGCTGAATCAGTGATCTCCTCTCAGACTTCATCACAAAACTCAAATTCGCCAGTCAGTCAAACTTTTGACAACATTAAAGAGTCATGCACAGAGACCAACTCGCAAGAAGCGGATACTTGCGATGGTGGAGCCCAACTCTACAGCTTGGGTGGAGGTAATAGTTCTTTAGTTGAGCTGCAACAGAATGCTCAATCTGGTTATACCATAATACCGAAGGAACCATTGAAAAACCTTTCAGGAGGGATGTCTGATATTGTGGAGAGTAGTGATAAATTTGAGAAGGAGAAGTCCTCACAGAACACATCAGGGTCAAACTTGATTAACAATGCCTCTTCCAAAGGCAAGGATATAAAAGATTTGGATGCTGCTAAGAGAAAGGCAAAAAGTAGAAGGGTTGGTGATGAGATCAAAGATGATGACTGGGAGGCACTAAGAAGAAGTGTATTGCCAAATGGAATAAACAAGGAGAGAGCAGAGAACGCAAAGGACTCGGTGGACTGGGAAGCTGTAAGATGTTCAGACGTGGATGTGATTGCCAGGACGATCAAAGCTCGTGGAATGAACAACGTGCTTGCAGGACGCTTGAAGGTACATAGATTAACATCACACATTGTACTGCTTAACCGAGGGCTATCATTAAATTCCCTAGTATTTCATTACCACTGACCATTCACTAACTTGCAGGAGTTTCTTAATAAACTGATAACCTACCATGGAAGCATAGATCTCGAGTGGTTAAGAGATGTTCCCCCAGACAGAGCAAAGTAAGTACAAAAGTCTCAATTTTAAAGCATTGCACTTCACTGGATGAACATATTCTGGACGTACTTGAGAACAATGAGCTCTTGCAAATGCAATCAACACTAGTTTTTTTTTGTCAAGGAAAAGTAAGCACTACTTACTATTGTAGGGAGTATCTGCTAAGCTTCAATGGACTGGGGCTGAAAAGTGTAGAGTGTGTCCGGCTTTTGACGCTTCATCACCTAGCCTTTCCAGTAAGTTTCAACATATATAGTTCTGAAACCTATAAGGATTTGTTACTCGTACAACCACTCATAACTTCACCAAGAACAGGTCGACACGAATGTTGGGCGTATAGCTGTCCGACTTGGATGGGTCCCCCTGCAACCACTGCCTGATTCACTTCAGTTGCATCTACTGGAAATGTAAGCATCACCAACCATGATAAAATTGAGAAAGGGAATAAATGCATGGCCACTGCAAGGCGTTAACGCTGTGTTCACTCTGCAGGTATCCTATACTGGACACAATTCAGAAGTATTTATGGCCTCGACTGTGCAAACTTGATCAGAAAACACTGTAAAGACAAAACCCTAATTATTTTATTTTGTACACATCATCTGTATGTGAATACATGTGCATGGTTCCATTATCTTCTGCTTTTAAGTGACATATTTGGCCTAATGGACAACAAATGGCAGGTACGAATTGCATTACCAGCTGATCACATTTGGAAAGGCATGTTCCCTTCACATTTAAACCGCTACTGGAGTTATCATTTTATTATTGAAGCTAAAGTCAAACATGAATCTTTCAAATTAATGCAGGTTTTTTGTACAAAAAGCAAGCCAAACTGTAATGCGTGCCCAATGAGAGGAGAATGTAGACATTTTGCCAGTGCATTTGCAAGGTATGTTGTGCACAATTTGCTATTTTTACTAAGATTGGAACAGATTGCAATTGAAGGCACATAGTGCAGAATTAGTTTAGACATTCATAATAAACTTTCCGACAAATATTATACTTGAAACTAGATACAAATCTGAAGTTTGAACTAATGCTAGATAACGTTGACGAAACAAAGGAATCATCAGGGAAAATTACCATAAAAGCAAAGTTACCATTTGCTTCGTGCAGTAGTTAAAATAGTGTACTGGAATCATCTTATTGTCTTCAGACCAGTTTGAAGAAAGCAATACCCTCCCTGTGAGACTTATGAATTTGGTACTCAAATGTGTCGATGCAGTTCCAAACTCCTTCCAGGACCAGAGGAAAAAAGAATAGTTACTGCACAACCTCAAGACCGGCCAACTTTCACCGGCCCAGTTATGCAAAATGTTCAAAGACCTATATTACCTCCACCAACTATATGTGAAGAAACTCAGCAGTCAGTATCTCACTCAACGTCAACTGTGCCCGAACAAGAAAGTTGCCAGCCAGGGATGTTGCACCTGCCAACAGTAAAAGCAAGAGCCAACTGTGAGCCCATCATTGAGGAGCCATTATCACCAGAACCACAATGCACTCAAGTCGAAATAGATGACATTGAAGATGCCTTTTATGAGGATCCTGATGAAATCCCCACTCTTAATTTGAATGGGGAGATTCCTACCATCCCATTGAATGTTCAAGAGCTTGCTCAGAATATCGAGACGTATATCAAACATAACATGCAACTTCGTGAAGGTGACATTTCATTGGACTTGGTTGCTATGGCTACAGAGGCTACATACATTCCTCCACCCAAGCTTAAAAACATTAGCCGGCTAAGAACTGAGCACCAAGTGTAAGTAGCCATTTCCCTCCCAAAATATTCTATATGTGCTTCTTTGGATGGAATATATTTATTGTAGCGTGCTAGTCCAACATATACTAATTCATTTTCTATTCTATAATTCGGCAGATATGAGCTACATGATACTCATCCTCTTGTAAAAAGGGTTAGTGAATTCTGCAAGTTTCTCAAATAATCAGTTTATTCACTCTATTGTAACAAAAAAAACTAACTGATTTTTGCTCACGGTTCAGTTGGAGAAGCGAGAAGCTGATGATCCATCTCCATATCTCCTTGCAATATGGACCCCAGGTATGTGAACTTTGTTTCAAAGAGTGAATGACCTAAACTCCGCAATTTTCAAACTACTATTGATTTTTTCCTCAACTACTACCTTCACTAGGTGAAACGGCAAAGTCTGTTGTCCCACCTCAGACAATATGCACATCACAGTCACAGGGGAAATTATGCGATGAAGGGACATGTCTCTCATGCTGCAGCTTCTTGGAAGCAAGACGTCAAGTAGTTAGAGGAACTATTCTGGTGAGCAAAATGCGCATTATTATGCAGTATAACTCATTGAAATATACTACGCTGTCTGGATTGCTGACAGATGCACATACCACATGACACAGATACCCTGTCGAACAGCGATGAGAGGAAGTTTCCCACTCAATGGAACATACTATCAAGTGAATGAGGTAATCATAGCTTTACAGCATCTTTTTTCTCTCTAGTTATTAGAAGGATAGTAATACAACATACCTTTTTTTCCTACAGGTATTTGCTGACCACGAGACTAGTAAAAATCCAATTGATGTACCCAGGGAGTGGCTATGGGATCTACCCAGACGAACTGTCTACTTTGGAACATCTGTACCAACAATATTTAGGGGTAAAGTTATGAAACTGTTTGTTTGATTACCGTGTTCTACGAAACAAGAAACAGTCATGCAACAGGATCTAAGAACTGTCTATACTTATTTACAGGTTTGACTACCGAGCAAATCCAACAATGTTTCTGGAAAGGTATGAATTGTGTTGCTCTCCTTTCTTTTTCTGTCCTAAATGTATAAACTGTAAATCATAGCCACGCTGCAAAGGTTCAATAAAGTTACTCCTACGAGGAATACATGTAACTAGGACAAGTTTTACTTAAGTTTGCTTTTCCAATACAGGATTTGTTTGCATTAGGGGGTTCGACAGAAAGACGAGAGCACCACGTCCTCTGCAGCCGAGACTGCACTTACCAGCCAGCAAGATGAAGGAAAAGGAAAAGGACAAGAATATAGCAGATGATGATGAATAGAGAGTTTGTCCAAAACCTTTTTCCGAACCAAATCTTGCCGTGACAGTGAAACCATGCTTGAGGACACAATAAGTTGCAGGGATCACATTCAATGACAGGCTCGGTAACCCGAACGAGTTGTTGGATTTCCCATAATATAGGGTGTAGGATTGTGCATACATAGCAGAAAACTGTAATTTCTCAGAGTTGTGCTCATATTTGAGCATTTTTCTTACTTCAGGTTAACTATCCCCCAAATATCACTTGTGTCTTTCCTAGTTACATATAAAACTATGTCAATGACCATCATTCATCAGAATCAGAATGGTTCAGGAGTAGCTGATGCATTAGCTTGCTAACATGATTACTCGAATGGAGCTTTAACTTCTCCTAATTGGATCAGAGCAAACTCACAACTGACTTTCTGCTAGATAAAAATCCTAAGCTGCAACAGAAGCACATGTTCAATCTGCTTACTCAAACAGCATCGATACAATTGTTCTCTCTGTACCAGGCTTACATGCGAAGAAATTACCTAAACGAGATGAAAATTCTCTCGACATGAACTACTTCAGTCAGATATCGAAGAATACTACGCGAACTTAATTTCCAAACAATCTCAGGTCACTTAGAACGACGAGAAAACAGCTCAAATCATATCAAAATCACTCAGAATAACTGGAATTCGCAAGTTGAAGCATGATTTCATTAAATGCCCAAGGCTTTTCGCTACAGAAATGAAGAGAGGGAGAGTTGCAGGTAATGTAGAACGCACCTTTCCTCCTTCGGCGGCGAGCGAGCAGAGCGAAAGAGGGACTGACTGCTGAGGAGGAGAATTGACCGAGGAGCCGGAGACATATGCGTTTAGGCGGTTCCGCCGATTTGCCGCTTCTCATAAAAGTTTTTAGGCGCCATTTCGTTTTCCCTCCTGCTTTGCTGATCTTTTTTAGAGCGTTCTTTGAAATTTAATACATTACGTGGGCCGTGGGCTAGTACGTACCGCTTCGTGAATCTAGTGGGCTTTTTACTCTGAGAAATTGGATTCGCCAAGCCCGTCCGTCAAAAGGAGGTCGGATCGGACCGGTCTATAAAAGCCTTCATATGTAAGATTTTATAGGGTTTGTGTATTCCAAAAAAGTTCACCATAATTGAAATAAAAAGATCAGCTATAAATAAGTTCCTTATTAAAAATGATCTAGGAAAAATTTATGTCAAACAAAATTAAGTGAACTACTTTAATATAGTTTACAGAGTGGAACAAGTTTATCAAGATCTTTATGAAATGAGAGAAATCCTTAACACACTTAATATTATTAATTAATGACCAATTCATGAGTTTTAAGGACACTTATTTATCAATCGAGAATTGGAAATGAGAGCTTCTTACTTTTCGAGACCAAGCATATAATGTCTTGGGATTCTTGAGTGCTATCGTAGTAATCGAGACGTATGTATACATAACAACACACGATTTTGGGAGTGAATGTCATTATTTGTGTTTATAACTATACGGAGCAAGGAAAATGATATACAATTATATCTTAATGATGAGATTATTTAGACTTTACTTAATCATATAGTTCAAAACTTGATAAACGATGACAGTCATATTCCTTTATATATGTGTTTTTTATGTTATTGAGAAAAAAAAAACATAGTAATTAGTAACACAAACAGCCTCCAGCTCATGAGATTTAAGGGTCGTGATGTCATTAAAGCTAGCAGTGGATCTGAATTTTCTCCCCATTAGCCAAGTTTAATAAGGCAACATGACGAATTAATTATGATTAGTGAAGGAGAAGACAGTTGATTCCAGTGGCTTAATATTAAGCAGTCGTGGATCCACTAGACGACAAAGGGGAGTGGTGGCCAACCTGCATGCAGCAGCCAGCAGGTCTGGAGGAAAAAAAGTCGCATCTTAATGATCGTAATTAGGCAACTTGCACTGCTTGCTAATTAACAATTACCACTGACCTAATCACAATTTGTCGTATTTGTTTCCTGTGAGGGATTTGGGAGGGTTATAAAAGAATTATGAGGATGGTGCTGTAATTCACCAGTAAATGTTCAATTCAATTCTTTCATTTTCAGTGGGTAATGTGCCTCCCCGTAGTGAAACTACGGCGCAGCCGGCAGCACCTGGACAGAAAACGAACCCGGAAAGGGGAAACCCACCAACCAACGAACCAACGAGAATCCAAATCTCCCTTTTTCCTTTTGATAAACACCCGGAATATGGGTCACCGGGTGACATCCGATTCAAACAAGTATTTGGTTACATGAAATGTTATTAATGGTACAAATATTAAAAAGGATAGATCCCAAAAGAATCGGGCATTTCATCCAGTTCTGACAACTCCAACATCATTAACTCATAATATTCCGAGGGAGTCAATTCATGTTGTTTCATGTATCGTAGAGACTTTACCGTTATCTCAACTGGCAAGAAAGCCTCGTGACCATATGTCAAAGAGAAAGGAGTCACTCTCATACTACTACGTGGTGACATCCTATAAGCACATAGTGCCTCTGATAGCACCTCATGCCAATTCCTTGGATTGTCCTCAATTATTTTGGACAAAATCCCTTTTACCACCTTATTGGATGCTTCTGCTTGACCATTGGCTTGAGCATAATAAGGTGTGGAGTGGATGCCATACGATCAAATAGGTTAAAAGTGTCAAATAAATGAATAGGAGGCTCACAAGGTCGCAATAATTTGTCGAGTCCCAATTCACCTTCAAACGAGCACTCGTTACATTCTCTCGGACCAAAAGACCAGAGCAAGCCATGCAATCCACAACCCACCTAGTCGTCTCCCAACTAGGGGTGGGCATTAGGTTCGGTTTTACCGAACCGAACCGAATAAAAACCGACCAAAACCGAAATATTTGTTGTTAGGTTCGAAATTCGGCTGCAAGATGGAGACATTTCGGAAATCAGGTTCGTTTGAACCGAACCGAAATTCCGAATAACCGACCGAAATTCCGAATATATTAACCCAGCGGCCCAGCCTGAAAGTCTCAGCCCAATATTGGATTGGGCTTCTTGGGCCCAGGGCGGCAAGGCCTGCTCGGCTGCTCCCCTTGCACTTGACAGAGGACCCACACCCACCGCCAGCCCAGTAACCACCGCCAGCCCAGTACCCGACCCCCCAGCCCAGTACCCACCGCCACCGTCGTCCGCTCCGCGTCTGCGAGGTGCGACTTGCGAGCTAAACCTAGGCGCCGAATTGACGAAATCGCGAGAAAGGCCAGAGGGAAAGGGAGCAGCCGATTCCGAATTCCGACTTCCGACGCTTGCAGCGCAGCGACTGCCGACCCGACTGTGACTCCTCCTCCACAGCTCCACTGCCGGAGCCCCGAGCACGGCGACGTCAACACTCAACAGGCACTGGTCGGCGCTCGCCCTCAACCTCACTGCTCGATCCTGCTCGCCCCCCTCTCGCAATCCACCGGCTGCCGAGTCTCCTCCCGTCTCCCGACGTCGACGGACTGATTCCGTGATTCTCAATCTTCTGCCGACTCCAACTCTGAAGTCAGACTCCAAAGTCCAAACTTCCAAAGCCACAATCGACATGACTGCCTCCACCAGTCGGAAACCGAACAAACAAAAGGATACCGACGGCCAGCTCATGTCAAATTTTCACAAAAAAAAAAAAATGACAGCAGGCAAAAAGGGGGCAGCAGGGGTACTTCGGTTTGAGCCTCCAAACCGAATTACAGCTTAATTCGGTCGGGGCGTTGGGGAGTTCGGAAATTCGGGATAACCTGGTTCGGTTCGGTTCAAACCAAACCGACCGAACGCCCACCCCTACTCCCAACCATATAATCTGATCACAAATATTAAGGTTGAGCATGCATACAAAAATTGTCGAATTGTTTTCGGTTGATATCTTGAACCAGACTATCCAATTAATCGTGATTGATACAAATAATTATGAGTGTTGATATACCCTTCATGCTCAATCTTATTATTGTTCGTGAAAGTAAATTACACGAATCACTATCAATAGTCAATCAGAATTAGTTCATCATAAATTTCAAGCACGAATTCCAAAGGGTACACGAAATGTCATTTTCTTTCGATTCTGGAGACTACAGATCACATAATCAGGCCGAGGCTATTCTCCACCGATAATGAAGTCTATTGACCCTATTCTCCACGGATGATAAGTCCATTAAGCACCAATTTGTGCCAATTTATTTTCGGATGGACTTTTCGTAATTTACTGGGCGACGAAAGCCATTTCTATGGATTTTGAAGGCTATAGGTCACGGATTCGGCCTGAGGCTATTCTTCAACGATGATTAAGTCCATTAAGCACCGATTTGGACGAATTTATTCCAGGTCAATTTTTGGCAGATTCCAAAGGGGTACCATCACAGATTTCAGGCTATTTTTCCGAAATGCAATTTTCTTTCGATTCTGGAGGCTACTGATCACGGAATTAGGCCGAGGCTATTCTCCACCGATAATGAAGTCTATTGATCCTATTCTCCACGGATGATAAGTCCATTAAGCACCGATTTGGGCCAATTTATTTTTGGATGCCTTTTTCGTAATTTACGGGGCGACGAAAGCCATTTTCTTTGGATTTTGAAGGCTACAGGTCACGAATTCGGCCTGAGGATATTCTTCAATGATTATTAAGTCCATTAAGCACCGATTTGGGCCTATTTTTCCGGGTCAATTTTTGACTGATTTCAAAGGGGTATCATCACAGATTTCGGGCTATTTTTTCAAAATGCAATTTTCTTTCGATTCTGGAGGCTATAGATCACGAAATCAGGCCGAGTCTATTCTCCACCGATAATGAAGTCTATTGATCATATTCTCCACGGATGATAAGTCCATTAAGCACCGATTTGGGCCAATTTATTTTTGGATGGCATTTTCGTAATTTACGGGGCGACGAAAGCCATTTTCTTTGGATTTTGAATGCTACAGGTCACGGATTCGGCCTGAAGACATTCTTCAACGATGATTAAGTACATTAAGCACCGATTTGGGAAGATTTATTCGGGGTCAATTTTTGCAGATTCCAAAGGGGTACCATCACATATTTTGGGCTATTTTTCCGAAATGCCATTTTCTTTCGATTCTGGAGGCTATTGATCACGAAATTAGGCCGAGGCTATTCTCCACCGATAATGAAGTCTATTAATCCTATTCTCCACAGATGATAGGTCCATTAAGCACCGATTTAGGCCAATTTATTTTCGGATGGCATTTTCGTAATTTACGGGGTCACGAAAGCCATTTTCTTTGGATTTTGAATGCTATAGGTCACAGATTCGGCATGAGGATATTCTTCAACGATGATTAAGTCCATTAAGCACCGATTTGGGCATATTTATTCCAGGTCAATTTTTGGCAAATTCCAAAGGAGTACCATCACAGATTTCAGGCTATTTTTCCGAAATGCCATCTTTTCGATTCTGAAGGCTATAGATCACGGAATCAGTTCGAGTCTATTATCCACCGATAATGAAGTCTATTGATCCTATTATCCACAGATGATAAGTCCATTAAGCACCGATTTGGGACAATTTATTTTCGGATGGCATTTTTGTAATTTATGGGACGACGAAAGCCATTTGCTTTGGATTTTGAAGGCTACAGGTCACAGATTCGGTCTGAGGTTATTCTTCAACGATGATTAAGTCCATTAAGCACCAATTTGGGCAGATTTATTCCGGGTCAATTTTTGGCAGATTCCAAAGGGGTACCATCACAGATTTCGGGCTATTTTTCCGAAATGCCATTTTCTTTCAATTTTGGAGGCTACTGATCACGGAATTAGGCCAGGACTATTCTCCACCGATAATGAAGTCTATTGATCCTATTCTCCACGAATGATAAGTCCATAAGCACCGATTTGGGCCAAATTATTTTCGGATGATATTTTCGTAATTTACTGGGTGACGAAAGCCATTTTCTTTGGATTCTGAAGGCTACAGGTCACGGATTCGTACTGAGGACATTCTTCAACGATGATTAAGTACATTAAGCACCTATTTGGGCAGATTTATTCGGAGTCAATTTTTGGCAGATTCCAAAGGGGAACCATCACATATTTCGGATTATTTTTCGGAAATGCCATTTTCTTTCGATTCTAGAGGCTACTGATCACGGAATTAGGCCGAGGCTATTCTCCACCAATATTGAAGTCTATTGATCCTATTCTCCATGGATGATAAGTTCATTAAGCACCGATTTGGGCCAATTTATTTTCGAATGACATTTTCGTAATTTATGGGGTGACGAAAACCATTTTCTTTGGATTTTGAAGTCTATAGTTCACAGATTCGTCATGGGGATATTCTTCAACGATGATTAAGTCCATTAAGCACCGATTTGGGCAGATTTATTCCGGGTCAATTTTTGGCAGATTCCAAAGAAGTACCATCACAGATTTCGGGCTATTTTCCGAAATACCATCTTCTTTCGATTCTGCAGGCTATAGATCACGGAATCGGGCCGAGTCTATTCTCCACCGATAATAAAGTCTATTGATCCTATTATCTACGGATGATAAGTCCATTAAGCATCGATTTGGGACAATTTATTTTCGGATGACATTTTCGTAATTTACGGGGCGACGAAAGCCATTTTCTTTGGATTTTGAAGGCTACAGGTCACAGATTCGGCCTGAGGTTATTCTTCAATGATGATTAAGTTCATTAAGCACCAATTTGGGCAGATTTATTCTTGGTCAATTTTTGGCAGATTCCAAATGGGTACCATCACAGATTTCGGGCTATTTTTCCGAAATGCCATTTTCTTTCGATTCTGGAGGCTACTGATCACGGAATTATGACGAGGCTATTCTCCACCGATAATGAAGTCTATTGATCATATTCTCCACGGATGATAAGTCCATTAAGCATAGATTTGGGCCAATTTATTTTCGAATGGTATTTTCGTAATTTACGGGGTGAAGAAAGCCATTTTCTTTGGATTTTGAAGGCAAAAAGTCACGGATGCGGCCTGAGGACATTCTTCAACAATGATTAAGTACATTAAGCACCGTTTTGGGCAGATTTGTTCGGGGTCAATTTTTGGCAGATTCCAAAGGGGTACCATCACATATTTCGGACGATTTTTCCGAAATGCCATTTTCTTTCGATTCTGGAGGCTACTGATCACGCAATTAGGCCGAGGCTATTCTCCACCGATATTTAAGTCTATTGGTCCAATTATCCATGGATGATAAGTCCATTAAGTATCGATTTGGGCCAATTTATTTTCGGATGACATTTTCGTAATTTACGGGGTGACGAAAGCCATTTTCTTTGGATTTTGAAGTCTACAGGTCACGGATTAGGCCTGAGGTTATTCTTCAACGATGATTAAGTCCATTAAGCACCGATTTGGGCAGATTTATTCCTGGTCAATTTTTGGCAGATTCCAAAGGGGCACCACCACAGATTTCGGGCTGTTTTTCCGAAATACCATCGTCTTTCGATTCTGGAGGCTATAGATCACGGAATCAGGCCGAGTCTATTCTCCACCGATAATGAAGTCTATTGATCCTATTCTCCACGGATGATAAGTCCATTAAGCACCGATTTGAGCCAATTAATTTTCGGATGGCAATTTCGTAATTTATAAGGTGATGAAAGCCATTTTCTTTGGATTTTGAAGTCTATAGGTCACGGATTCGGCCTCAGGACATTCTTCAACGATGATTAAGTATAATAAGCACCGATTTGGGCAGATTTATTCGGGGTCAATTTTTTGGCAGATTCCAAAGGGGAACCATCACATATGTCGGATGATTTTTCCGAAATGCCATTTTATTTCGATTCTGGAGGCTACTGATCACGGAATTAGGCCGAGGCTATTCTCCACCAATATTGAAGTATATTGATCCTATTCTCCATGGATGATAAGTTCATTAAGCACCGATTTGGGCCAATTTATTTTCAAATGCATTTTCGTAATTTACGGGGCGACGAATGTCATTTTCTTTGTATTTTTAAGGCTACAGGTCACCGGTTCGGCTTGAGGCTATTCTTCAACGATGATTATGTCCATTAAGCACCGATTTGGGCGGATTTATTTTGGGTCAATTTTTGACAGATTCCAAAGGGGTACCATCACAAATTTCCGGCGATTTTTCCGAAATGTCATTTTCTTTCGATCTGGAGGCTACAGATCACGAAATCAGGGCGAGGCTATTCTCCACCGATAATGAATTCTATTGATCTTATTCTCCACGGATAATAAGTCCATTAAGCACCGATTTTGGCCAATTTATTTTCGGATTCCATTTTCGTAATTTACGAGGCGTCGAAAGGCCATATTCTTTGGATTTTGAAGGCTATAGGTCATGGATTCGGCGTGAGGCTATTCTTCAACGATGATTAAGTCCATTAAACACCGATTTGGACGGATTTATTCCTGATCAATTTTTGCAGATTCCAAAGGGGTACCATCACAGATTTCAGGGGATTTTTCCGAAATGTCATTTTCTTTCGATTCTGGAGGCTACAGATCATGGAATCAGGCCGAGGTTTTTCTCCACCGATAATGAAGTCTATTGATACTATTCTCCATGGATGATAAGTCCATTAGGCACCAATTTGGGCCAATTTATTTTCGGAATGTATTTTCGTTGTTTACGGGGCATCGAATCCTATTCTTCACTGATGATAAGTCCATTAAACACCGATTTGTGCAAATTTATTTTACGATGGCATTTCGTAATTTATGGGGCGACGAAAGGCCATTTTCTTTGGATTTTGAAGGCTACAGGTCACGGATTTGGCTTGAGGCTATTCTTCAATGATGATTAAGTCCATTAAGCACCGATTTTGGCGGATTTATTCCGGGTCAATTTTTGGCAGATTCCAAAGGGGTACCATCACAGATTTCAGACGATTTTTCCGTAATGCCATTTTCTTTCGATTTTGGAGGCTACAGATCTCGGAATCAGGCCGAGGCTATTCTCCACCGATAATGAAGTCTATTGATCATATTCTCCATGGATGATAAATACATTAAGCACCGATTTGGGCTAATTTATTTTCGGATGGCATTTTTCATAATTTACGGGGCGACGAAAGGTCATTTTCTTTGGATTTTGAAGGCTATAGGTCACGAATTCTGCCTGAGGCTATTCTTCAACGTTGATTAAGCCATTAAGCACCGATTTAGGCTGATTTATTCCCGGTCAATTTTTTGCATATTCGAAAGGGATACCATCATAGATTTCGGGCGATTTTTCCGAAATGCCATTTTCTTTTCGTTCTGGAGGCTACAGATAACGGAATCAGGCTGAGGCTATTTTTCACCGATAAATAAGTCTATTGATCCTATTCTCCATCGATGATAAGTCCATTAAGCACCGATTTGGGCCAATTTATTTTTGGATAGCATTTTCGTAATTTATGGGCCGACGAAAGCCATTTTCTTTGGATTTTAAAGGCTACAAGTCACGGATCCGGCGTGAGGCTATTCTTCAACGACGATTAAGTCCATTATGCACTGATTTGGGCGGATTTATTCCGGGTCAATTTTTGGCAGATTCCATAGGGGTACCATCACGGATTTTGGACGATTTTTCAGAGATGTCATTTTCTTTTGATTCTGGAGGCTATAGATCACGGAACCAAGCAGAAGCTATTCTCCATCGATAATGAAGTCTATTGATCCTATTCTCCACGGATGATAAGTCCATTAAGCACCGATTTGGGCCAATTGATTTTCGGATGGCATTTTTCGTATTTTACGTGGCAACGAAAGACCATTTTCTTTCGATTTTGAAGGCTACAGGTCACGGATTCGGCCTCAGGCTATTCTTCAACGAAGATTTAGTCCATTATGCACCGATTTTGGCGGATTTATTCCGGACTAATTTTTGGCAGTTTCCAAAGGTGTACCATCACACATTTCGGGCGATTTTCCGAAATGCCATTTTCTTTTGATTCTGGAGGCTACAGATCACGGAATCAGGCCGAGGCTATTCTCCACCGATAAAGAAAACTATTGATCCTATTCTCCACTAATGATAACTCCATCAAGCACCGATTTGTGCCCATTTATTTTTGGATGTCATTTCGTAATTTACGGGGCGACGAAAAATCATTTTCTTTTTATTTTGAAGGCTACAGGTCACGGATTCGGCCTGAGGCTATTCTTCAACGATGATTAAGTCCATTAAGCACCGATTTTGGCGAATTTATTCCGGGACAATTTTTGGCAGATTCCAAAGGGGTACCATCACAGATTTCATGCGATTTTTCCGAAATGCCATTTTCTTTCGATTATGGAGGCTACAGATCCTGGAATCAGGACGAGCCTATTTTCCACTGATAAAGAACTCTATTGATCCTATTCTCCACGAATGATAAGTCCATTAAGCACTGA